ATCTCCTTGGCATTTACATATCTCTGGATACCATCTCCTTGAATAAATGGCATACTTGAATAAATGGTTGCTAAGTAATGTTCATTTCCTTTCTCTTAAAAGGGGGTAGATACTCCTCTCGTACTTACAGTTGTCGGTAATATGCTCTAAAGGTCATAGTGCAGGATGATTCCTCTTCCTTGAGTCCTGAGTTACAGTGGATCGTTGTATCTACTCTACCGACCAGCCAACTTGAAGTTACTATATCGGGGCCGTAGTGGCTCTCACATCTGATGGTCCAGCCCCATTGCAAATCTCTATGACTCTTCAGGAGTCCGTAGTAAGTACAAATCCGTGGAGAAGCATGTCATGATCTCTGTAGCATCCTTTCATAGCCGTTGTGAGCTAATCAGACCATGGCTTCGATAGTCTTGCTCATATCGGGTGAGATCTTTTCACTTCTTACATTTCATGTCTCGAAATGACTATTTTTGAAGGAGGGGAGAGTCCCTTAATAATATATTGTATTCCGTGCCATTTCTCGTGCTATGATAATTTGTTACTCACTAATTCAACTATAAATGCATGAGTAAGTGTTTTGTCAGGATCAGAAACCAGGTTGGTTGATCATGGTGTCTATGCTTGAGAAGCATCCCCATCAGATTAATGTGTCCTCGGTAGTTATCATCGAAGAGTTCAGGAAAATACTTCCTCGACATAAGGCATACTCAAATGTGACAATGCATCCTCGATCAAGGAGCCAATGTATATATTATCAAGCTCTGAGAGCCTTTATGACCTTATTAAGTGAAGGTACACACTATCTTTCAGTCAACATGCCATTATTATATTTGCAATACATGTCTCGGACTAAGTTGCATGATAAACATACCCCAAGAATTCTACGGCAAAATAAGTAGAGATAGTAACTCTCACAGCTGATCCCTCGAGGATAGCAGGAACATCAAGTTCGCTCTAACCTTAGAGTGTTCATACTTTAAACCCGGGATATAGACCATCGGTCTAATGCACATAGTGGTAGCCCACTCGAGTACTCATGGGAGCTGGCGTATCACATATACCCAGTTACACCCAGTTAAACATGACTAGTCATTTGAACGGACATCCTATTCAGGACCGCTCTCGAGACGGACATCCTCTTCAGGACCGTCCTCGAAAGTGCCGTGTATTCAATATCCAGACATTCATTGGGTCATGCTACCCTTAACTGTTACGACTAACAGTCTAAATTTGAGGAGCTCGTACCCAGTTTCCTCGAGGATATCCTCTTCAGGATCGTCCTTGAAAAGACATTCTCTTCAGAATCGTCTATACAAAGGTATCCTCTTCAGGATCGCCTGCAAACAAGCCGTGTACTTAACATTCGGCCATTATAAGCACTTTACAAATAACTCATAAGCCGTGTAATCGACATCCGGTATTGAGAAAGGCCTAGATTTTCATGATCATGAACAATGGGTGGACTATCCCTCGAACCTAAACACGTGTTTTACACCTCAATGAGAACTAGACTTGTTTTCTAGTATGCTCTCTTGGATCGATAAACTATATCATCCAATGCAAATGAATTTATTCTCGAGATTCTCGAGTTTACTTTGCGCCTTGTCAACACAGGCCTACTTCTTCGATTATGGTGGTTGCCCATCCATCTCCTTCTGATAGACACCATTTTGTTGCCTGAACCCTACGAGTATGGGGGCTTCTTAACCAGGCACTTCCTCGAACTGAGCGGCGGGAATTACACTCTCATCTACAGTCTCGGTCTGCCAAATACCACCCCAAGACTTGGGGCGTCTGAGATGAGTAATAGCTCCGGGGTTATCTATAACGAGGAGTGTTTATATATGGGAGATTGTAAGGTGTCTGGAAGGTGTGTAAGGTGTTTTGAGAGGTGTTTGGAAGGTTGCATTTTTGTTTTTTCGATGATTATTGGTCTACGGATCTCTTCCTATGACTATTCTCGACAGTCCTCAGACTGGAGCATCGTTCCTTCTCACACTAATGCGTAATACCTCCTCGATTCTTGCTCGAGTCTCGAGCAAAAATATTATACGCCTACTCGGGTTCGACACATCAACCTGGTTCATACTTTTCAAACCCGGACAAAGGGTTCTATGCTTTATTTCTCGGGACATGAGAAATGGCAAGCGGGTCGGTTGGGTGGATATAAATAAGCTTAAACGCTTGTGTACCTTCTTCAAGGTCAGACGATTGTAATTCTTGAGTTTTGTCTGGAGTTCTACTCGAGAGAATCTTCTCGAGTCTCATATCCCTGTTTTGACGTGATCACATGCGGCATCTTCTACGGTGTCTTCTACTCTCTTCTGTCCATCCTCGACAATTGAGGATTCTTATGGTGACAGTCTCTACTCTCTAATGCTGTATCACACTCGAGCTGGTCTTCTCGAGACTTCGAATTTCTTAACAGGAGGTCATATTGGGGCAAGTTCTCGATGTGCAATTCAACCCAGACAATATTCCTTCTCAAACTTATGTCCTCGACATCGAGTATCTTCATGCTTCTCAATCCACTACTCTGTGGATGTTCTTGAAGGTTTGGGTCTATTACTTCTCGATCAGAAGCATACATCACAGTTCCCCATTATACTCCTCGTTTCGATGGTTAATATATCTTAGCCGCTCCTAATGACGCTAATTTTGAGACTAGTGGGAATCCCCACTACGTTTCTTTCTCGATTCTCTCAATGAGTAGGCCACCTATTTCGATATTTCCTTGGAGCATATCGAGGGAGTCATCGCACAAGGGCTTCTTAACTAACGTCTGGGTCAATGACGTAAATCGCAGTTTTTGACCAGATTCTTCATTCGGGCAGATGTTGCACCTTTAGAAGTTATTGATAACACATCTCTATATTTCGAGTAGCGGACATCTCCACTACATTTTTTTATTATCTTCTCAAGCAACAGGGCATCTGCCTTAGTATCTCTCTGGGGCAGATTACTGAGATCATAGCATACCGACTACTTACTCAAAAGTCTGATGACTCTTCTTTCTTCACAAATTGGCATAAATGTCAATCGCCCTTTGTGATACATACATTCGACAAAGTGCGCGCAAATGCTTTCCTTGCTTTGCTTTTCCTTCGATGCTAACCTTCGCAGGTTCTCGATTCAAGTAAGTTCTTCCCGAACTTGAGGAAACTTTATACTTCATATTATCAAGCCTACTTTATCTTTAGACTTCGAAGTATAGGCTTGATAAGGGGCACTGGACGAGTCCAAATTAGTACGGCCCGCGACTAGGCCGGTCCAAGTTCGGTGAAATGTCTAACCGGCCTCTGGAAGCTTCTAGGTCGGTTCCTTATTACTTTCCTACTGAGAAAGGATTTCATAACCTAGCTCTATAAATAGGGATCAACCCCTCACATCAAAGGTACGGTCTATGCACCCCAATTTCATACTTCTCTTGCAAATATTCTTATTGACTTAAGCATCAGAGTGTCTACCCTCAGGTGACCTCGAGGCCCTCTTTTGCAGGTTTTAGGGTTTTGATACCGTCTTGGCCGCCGGTTTAGTCGACTGGAGACGTCGGTGCAAATCCATGCTTTGTCAGAAGTAGTGATGATCAACAGCATGTAGACTTGATTAATAAGAGTAAGCATAATGTAAAGTACATTTTCAACATTGATCAATACCAATACTTCAACTCTAAAATAAGAGTTATATATACTCCGTCGGTCCTATAAAAATAGTCAAAATTAAATTTTGAGTTTTGTATTATTTTTAGTACAAATTTAAAAATTCAATGTAAAGTATATTTGCGGGACAGAGATAATATATGGTAATTTTTTGATTGATTATCTCATCCATGATCGAAATACTTATAATTAAGTACCCAGCATTTTTCTAAAGGGAGAAACAGTGCTTCATTACTACTATCTTATTTCAAATACAACGTTATTGAGAGCTCTTCCACACTTTTGTTGTGTTTTGTGGGAAGGAGAACTTCGATCCAGTTGTTCCTTGTTTCTTGTGATAATACCATGCATGGTCGCGGACTTAGAAGTTTTTGCCGTGGGCTGATTTTCTACTATTGACTTGAGTCAAGACTCGAGAGGGGGGTTTTCGTGGAGTGAGCGATTCAGATTAGATTAATGCCCAACTCTATTAATTGAGGGACTACAAAGAGTTTCAGACAACTTGGTTTATTAAACTGTCCAAAAACTTTTCAAAAAAAAAAAAAAATGTCCAAAAACACGAGACTCCAAGTGGTACTCGTACATGTTAATTATTAAGTAATTCATTAAGCCAGAGTCTTATCAAGTGGTAAAAAGCGATTACCATACACGTACAGAGAGGCTATAAATTTTGAAAAGATCAATCAACAATCAACGGACCTAAATCTAAAAGGTCTTCTTTTTTGAACTAGATAACCTAACATATGAAATTGTCTCATAACGCCCCGACAGGCTACAACAGTTTTCAAAACATCCCGGTACGGATTTGATGAAACATCATCATCATTATTTATAATATTATTATTATTATTATTTTTGGTTAAGGTTATAGTTATATAACACTATTTAGAAAAAGTCAAGTGCCTTTTCTAATACTACTATTATTAATTAACTTTTAAAAGCTTAATTAACAGTCACCTCAGCTCTCTATTGAATTAAGGATTTGGGGATAAGAAAATTTGCATGACAAGATCCAGGCAAAATATCTCTAAATTCTAATAGCACTTTATATTGACTATAACATTGGTTAAAATTTTGACACGTGTTCAATAATTTATTAAATAGAGTTAACCTATTATTGAATTAAAGTATTAATAGTGAATTATTTAGACACGTGAATGTGTGATTTCTTTCAATTAAAATTTCGTTTCCATCAAACAGCAACGGGGATGTGGAGTGACACCATGATCATGCATGGTTCGCATAGGTTGGAAGCAAACTAATATAGATATAATCATGGATCACAAGTTTTACACAAACATGATTTGCAAGCATGAATTAACAAACTAGAGTTATACGTCCAAAAAAAAAAAAAAGGTTGCATAAGTTGTATCAATTTCGTACAATACAATAATGTTTTATTTTGAAACTGAATACTTGTCTAGACTTGTCGCTTACAGATTCAGACATCAATATGATGAACACCAAGTAAACGAAAACTTAAAATCAATCGACTATGTTTTTTTCAGGTCTCAAATCTCTCAACCAAAGACGGAAACACACACATTATACACACTCCAACTAGCAAGATGAAGAGTATTTGAAGGCGAATCGATCCCATCATTCGAAAAATATGTCTGATGAACCTGAAAAAAATTTGAAAATCGTGTCAGAATTATTAATTAAGAAACCATTTTAACCCAAATGTGGTGTCCATACTATTTAAAGAATATTGTATTTTCTCACTATCATAAAATCCGTCAAATAGTAGCTAGCTAGATAATTTGACTAACCCGGAATCAAGCTTTCTAATGCGATGGCGGCGGCTGTTTTGAGAACTGTTCTCGAAAAACTTTCCTTACGTCCAGATGAGTCGCCGTCGGCATTACTCATCTCCGGGGAGGTCTCGTACAAACGGTACGAGAAGTTCAGTATTCCAAACTCACCATCCTCTTTAGCCCTGTTAACGTAGTAATTTGCAACGGTGAGTTGATCGCCGTTTCTTTTGTCGAAAAGCCACTTTATCGACATTTTCAACTCCCCGACATACTTGTCGGCCGCAAAGCTTCTCTCGCAGTACAATTTGATGACGAGGAACGTGTCGTCACGCTTGACGGCCTCGTAGTCGAGGTTGTAGAAAGCCCTCAGGTTCCACGTCGGGTTGGTCTCTCCCGCGTAGTCCACCGGAGTTTTGTACTTGGTCGGTTTCCCGTCGATGGTCACTTCCGCGTACACTTTCATTCTGCCGAATTCCCTGACGTCTAAGAGACCCGTGGCCGAATTTAACGTGAGATCCAAAAACCAGCAGCCTCCCGCCATTAAATTCCACAACTTTATTAACTTAACTACGTACGAACTCAATTAGTTAAGTTGTATCAATCTTGCTTTAAATGTTGTATACGAGGATTGATGCAATATATATAGAGACATAGTACAAAATATATGCCGTGTGTGCCATGCAAGTAGTATTAAGAAGGGGGAAAAAAAAAGACTTGTGCGGTAGGGGACGAAGACTTTGACCAAGTCTCACTTGTAAGGAATTGGTGGATTGATGTTTGCTAATACTAGCTAGGAGAAAAGTTTACGCGTGAGTAATTTGATGTTTTTAAACATTTATTTATCTTCTACTTGGTACTTGTAATATAACCAAGCTTTCAACTTGATCACCGCAACAACTATTGATTCCGGGGAAAATAAAGTATATATTGATAAGCATAACTATAGTGACTAACTAATGGTGTGTATATATATTATATTATTATAAGGATCCAATTTTGTAACCCAATGTTTGCCATTATTGAGTAATTATTGGCTTCACGAATTATAACTTAGTAATTATAATAAACAAATTTGGCTTGACGAATTATTGTCATTTCACAAATTATTTTCATTGTATATTTCCGCAATACCAAATAATGCTCATGTCGATCGTTTTTCTCTTTTTTTTTGGGGGTGGGGTGAGTGACCAGTTCAGTATTTACGGAAATCAACTTGCCCTAGCTAGTTGCTGTCATGTACAGAAGCAAAAAAAAAAAAACAAATTACATACTCTGAAAAGGTTTCATGCTAGTGGTGATGATGGAGACTTGATCAAGGGCTTAAGCTCCTAGGCAAGAACCATGTACTTGTTAATTACAGTAGTACTAGTTATTGTGGTCAATGAATTTCGGAATTACTTTTCCATCAAAAAACGCGCACCGAAGGGCCTTTCTCCGAAACAAGATTTTGTTCATGTTCGATACTACCTACATGGCAACTTACATTTTTATTTTATCTTATTTGATTACAGACTTGATGTTGTATAGATAATGTGTTCGAATAAGTGATTACAGATTTGATGTTCGAATAAGGCAAGACTTAATGTTGTATAGATATTGTGTTCGAATAAGTGACATTTTTATTTTATCTTATTTGATTACAGACTTGATGTTGGATAGATAATGTGATTTGTGTGATTGTGTTTTAAATCTTGCCTTTCTATATTGTACCAAAAAATTTGATTATTGTAAAGTCATGGTGGTAGTGATCTGTAAGAATGTACTCCCTCCAGTCGTTTTGATTTGTCTTAAATTTCATATAATACAAATTTTTAATTAATAAAAAAAATCTTACAAATATTTCTCAATAATAAAGAGAACACAATGAATGTGAAAATATATTTTAAATTTTTTTAATTAAAAGTATATACTCGGTGAAATTTATGACAAATCAAAATGACTTATATCAAAGACCGAAGGTAGTAATACTCATGAGTATGAGTACTTTTTTTTTTTTTTTTGGTTAATTAAAGAAAGCTCATACTTTATAAGAAAAAAAAAGAATTACATTTCGGGTATAAGAAACCTAAATTATATCATGTTGTAGTCAAGGACTAACTCCTAAGAGAGCGGCTTCAAGCTATTGTACTCCACTAGTCAAATTACCATTCATTACATAATTATTCATTTCGTAGAATTAAGATTTCATAGACATTGGTTCCTAGGCCGGTAACAACTGTAGATGGTATCAATCTCGATAACCAATTCTGGACACTAGCAAAAGGAAGACAACTTTCATCGTTATAATTGAGGAACTTTATTGCCAGAAAAAAAAAAGAAAAAAAAAAGAAGAAGTGGAAGAAAATAACAATTTATTTTGAACTTACAGTGCCCATCTCACGTTTTCAATTAGAGTAAAATGTTCAAATGGTCCTTTATATTGGAACTTACTTGAATTTACGTCCCTAACATCAACATTTCAATATCGTAGTTCCAAACATTATCTTCTCAAATTTTTTTTGTTCCATTTCATTGTTCCGACCACTTTTCCGTCCAGCTCGATGTTGACCGGCCGTTGACATGCCGGAATCAGGGACATTTTTGTCTTTTCACTTAATTTAAACTCCTATTAAAATTTAAATCATTCAAAATATTATAAAATTTACATTTTATTATTTAATTATTAAAATATTATTTATTAATTTAAAATATTATTACAAAATTTTAAAATTTACATTATTTTTAAAATTACTTTTTTCATTTACCATTTATCTTAGATACAAAGTAATTGGTAATTATATTACACTTTTAACCCTGAACCCACTGTAACTTAAAATATTTATCAGAGTTATAGTTAATAATTCAAAATTAAAAATCCAATATTTTAAAAGAAGTAAAATTTCCAAAACTGTGGACGTTTCCGTCGGTTAAGATATATCGACAAAATAGTCGACAAAATGTTAATTTTTTTTTTCCGTCTTTCTTTTTAAGCTGTGCTTTGAAACGATGACTTCAATATTGAAGTGACAAATATAGATTTTGTCGACCTTATCGTCGCTTGTCTTACCTCGTTGATAAAGTCAACAGAAATATTTTTTTTAATTATTATTTTCTTTTTCCCATATTTGCAAGTACTGTCTTCTAATATAATATCTTCAGCTGTTCATCGATTGGGCTAGCTACATAATTATTTGAAAATGGTTCTCAATATTCCATTACATGTATTTTGGGTAAAATAAAAAATTAAATTATTTCCATGTTACAAAAAATGAAATACTCCCTCCGTCTCACAATTCTTGTCCAGTTTGAATTTTTATTTTTAGTTCATATTGTACTAAAAGTGAAATCTCAAAGTGGATAATAATTTTGGGACAGAAGGAGTAATTTTTTACAATAAAAAATAATCATTTATACAACCAACTAAGTAAATTTCGGAGATTGTGATTGCCCTAGAAGCTTTATTTGCCCACCAATCAACCTGAAAGCAGAAGTTCTCTTTCCTCCTCTTCTTTGAGAGTAAAAGCAGATTTTATGTTCGATTAATTAATTACATTACTAAAAAATAAGACTTTCTGCGACGGCGATGGCAACTTCTCTCAACATTATGGCAGTTACTTTTACAAGCAACCCACAACACGACCCAGAATTTTCACTGCCTTGATGATCACATCCAGAAATATTCCCATTTTCCCCTTTTGATCCTTTGCAGCAGCAGCAAGTATGATCAACAACATGTTCATAAAGCCGGTGTGAAATTTTGAGCACCCCAAAATCACCTCCTTTGTCGTTAACCCTAATCACCTCGTGTTCTTCACATTTCGGAACAACATCATCGGCGATATTCCTGTTTCCGAAAAGTTGCTTCAAGCTCAAGTTAACTTGACCGACATATGTATCTCGCGAAAAGGATCTTTTACAGTACAATTTGATGACAATGAGAGTGTCCGGGAGGACATTTTGCTCGGTGAGGACGTATGATATCTTTGCATTCCACTGGGGACTGGTCCGACCAGCTCGGTCCGCCCGAGTTTTAACCATCAAACCCGGTTCCCCATTGATGGAAACCTCTGCGTATACTTTCATTTCCCGGCCGCAACTTATTCCTCGAACATCTTCGAGGTTAGTAGCAGAAATTATGGTGAGATCTAAATTCCAGCTCCCCATGTTTCTATTTATGCGTAATGTAACTTTGTTTTATATGATTTGGGTACAAAAATATGTATCAAATTAATTTGTATGAATTGAAAATGTTGAGGCTTAAAAAAAAAAAGGGATCAATGTGATTGGAGTGATCTGTTTGTTGATTTGTTGTGCTTTATATATATAGTAGTGTTGCCCATGCCTGCCTGCTAATATTTTTCTCTCTTTTTTTTCTTGAGAACTTGAAATACGTCGTGAATCCATGGGACCAAGACTTTCAATCCGAGGAAATTAGAACTTGACGAGGTCTGATTGATCTGTATTAAAAAATAGGAGGTGATTCACAAATCAGTTAGTTGCATATATATACATATATAAAGATAAAATAGTATATAACAGGTTCATTCATGGCTCTCTAATATCTTTGCATCTCTACTTGAACAAATGTTATATATGCAAGTAGCTAAAAATGGTATTTTACCCATTCATTATTTCCAGTGATTTGAGAAAATGGATTCAATATAGAAGTATTTTACTCATCACAATGATGCATGCATATCTATTTACTCATTCATTATAATAGATGGTATACACGTGTCTAAAAAAAACAAAAGAACTCATAGTGAATCTTAAAATTCGTACTAAAAAAAGTTATTAAATTTCAAAAATCAATGTGAATTATGTTTTTAATAGAGAGAATAATACTATTAATTAGTCGTCATTATATTTTTCTGGTCATTTATTCACCATTGTGAGCGTATTATTTGGTATGGCTGACTACATATTTAAATATGTAATGAAATTATGAAACGACAATATTTCATCAGTTTCAGAATGACAGTTTAATCAAAATGGTTCAATGAAGAGCATTTTGTTTGGAATGAGCATTATAGAATTTTCCATCTGATTCATTAAACAATAATTCATTTGTCTTGTACTTTCCCCTTTTTGATATACTATACTATTGGGTTTTCAAAATTATTACATCAATTAGTTTAAATTTAAGTCGGATAAGTCTTTTTCGAATGATAAATTCATGAAAGTTAACTAACAAGCTTCTGTTAACATTTTTTCTCTTTTCTTTTTTCTCACTATATCACCTGTCAATCACGGGCTACATTTATGTTCACAATAACACATGAATTTATTGATGGATTTTGTTAACTATTTCATGCATGATACTCCCTCCGATCCTTAATATAAGGTATTTTGATTTGTTCTATGTTTCACTTTGTACTTATTATAAATTAACAAAAAAATCTTTAAAATATATCATAACAATCAAGAGAACACAACGAATGTGAAAATATAATTTTAAAGTTTTTCCGTCAATTAAAAATTCGTACTAGGTGAAACCTAGGACAAATCAAAATGTCTTATATTAAGAACCGGAGGGAGTATGTTGAAAACTAACTAAAGAAATGAATTCATACCCACGACAAGTTTTAATATTTAAGTAACTAGGCTTCGGCCTCTCTTCTTTGTACCAAAAAAAATCCAGAGAAATGAATGCTTTCTTTTTTCCAAATATGGAAAAATCGGTGCCGCCATTTTACCTGTTTTTCGGGTCAGACGGGTGCGTGTTAGTTTTTCCCCTTCTTTAGCTACGGAGACTGAAGACTGTAGAGTGAGCATAAGCTGCCTATTAAGAGAAATGGTCATGATAAAGGAAAGCCATTATTAAAGTTTATTTATTTATTTTTTAATCGAACGCATAAATCCACTGTCAACATTCAACAATACCAGATTCATTCTGCCCGAAAGGATGATATTTTCGCATATTGGTATTATTCGTGGTATTCGATTCAATAATTGTTGGACTGCGATTGGGTGTTGGAGCTAAAACACGAGTTTAGAGTGGCAAATTTTGCAACAGATTATCTAACATCTTTAGCTGCTCAAGGACATGAAAGTTTGTTTACACTTGAAACTTCACCATTTGGAATAAAACTTTAGTTAGAGCATGATGCGATTAGAGTAATATATCCCCAGAATGTGTTTGTATAATTGTTTCTTAGGTCATTGCCTCCATTCTTGTTTAAAAAAAAATACTCACAAGATCGATAATGAGTTCAGTTTAGGGCCTTTAGGCAAACGAATTTGGGATTAAAACCACAAATAATGGCACATACAAAGTAGAAAATGCAATTATACTTCTAGGTTGAAAAATTAGCTTTCAATGAAATGCTGCCAAAGTACTAACACTAACTGAATTTTTTGTGTGTAGCAGTAGTGTCACTCTACAATCAACTTCATACTCTCCGGTTTTTAGCATAAGACATTTTAATTTGTTTTAAATTTCATTTATCATGTTCTTCTAGTCAAAAATAAAATTTTAAAAATACTTTATAATAATTAGATTTCCATAAATGTGAAAATATATTTTTAAAATTGTATTTTCAATTAGAAGAACATGATAAATGAAATTTAGGACAAATCAAAATATTTTATAATAAGGACAAAAACGGCTCAAGATATTTTGGGGCCTAAAGCGATTTTCAAATTTGAGGCTTAAAATCATAATTTAATATATTGGTATTTTTTAAAATATTAATCTAGTTTATGAAAAGAAAACTCTATGATTCTCGTTACCAAAATTAATCAATTACTGAACTAATGAGTACCCGTAAATTTCACTACTAAGAATTGTTTAAACATTAGAAAAAAAGATGACATGGTCAATTATGTATAGAGCATCATTATTAAACCACTATGCAGCATGAACACCGCTAATAAAGAAGAAAGAAAATGGGAAGATTAAAGAGTTATTAGTTGTGAAGATAATAATTAAACTCTTTCAAGTAGTATTTAAACATTTCAAAATTCTACCAGTTAAGAGTTCATATCATAACCAAATTTAGAGGCCTAAATTTTAGGTTGATAATTTGAAATTTTGAATTAATGTTGAGATAATTTTGGATTTTTGGCCTCTTAATCCATTTTACTTTTTTAATCTTTTGAAATACATGTTATTTTATTAATAATGCATAAAATTTTGGGGCCTTCCAAAATTTGGGGTCTAAAACCCTATCTTCACTAACCTTACCCTAAGGACGCCTCAGAATAAGGATCAGAAAAATAAATTATTATAGTTGTTTTATATATCGGAAGTACTAAGAAGTATTTGCTTTGTGCCGTGTGAATCTTGTTTGTGAAGAAATGCCGCAGTTAAATGCGTGTTGTGATCAAATCAAAAATCGATTCTAGTCAAGAACAATATACAACAACTAATGTACACATACATATGTAATAAACGGGGTTTTACTTGATTCGAATCATACCAACCGTATGCGGAAAGTTGGAATGTGACTTTTCTTTCAGACCTTCAGAGTTTTTTCTCCATATCTTCGTTTAATTTGGACTAAAAATGCAACTTCCCCATTCTACTCCACCAGGCGATCAACTCCGTCGCGCCTTTAGAATGTCTTCTCCCATACATACATATATATATATATATATATATATATATATATGTCACGATAGAGTCTCCGGCAGCTTAGGTGATCAAATTCCTGCGAATTACAGACTTACAGTACTCTACCGGAGAAATATTTCCGGTATCCCAAAAAAAATATAATTAAACAAAATTAACCAAACTATTTAATTTTTCTTTTAACTCAAGCGACATTTTGTTATTTTTGTCTTGCATCACCAGTGGCAAATAAAAATTGGTACCATTACTTATACTATTCAATTTGTTCTGATACGTACACAAAGTTATAAGCACGACCTCTCTCACACAGATATAATTCACATTATAATTTGTGAATTTCAACGAATTTTAGTTACAAGATCGAAAATGTTTAGGAGGCATTATGAACAGTAAAATATAGGTTGAGAGCTAGACCTTAATTAATCGATATGATTACAAATGGGATCATGGGTTTCAAAAGGATCTGATCATTGGAGCTGCGACCTTGTTCTCCATAAATTATGCACTGGCTGCAGGAACGAATATTGAACTAGTAAGACTTGAAAACCAAATTCGGGACTAATTTATAACATGTATACTGTGAATGTAGATTCCAAAGAATCAAATTGATTCATATTTTCCTTGCTACGAAAATTAAAACTTTCATGTATACATCTCTTCTCTGAGACTTCGCCGTGAAGCGTTGACCTGCCAAAAAGTCGTCGTGGTCCCTTCCTTGCAAATACGAGGTACCTTCCTATATGCACATCTACATAACAAAGAAATTTAAATGAAGACAACAAATTCCAATAATTTTTTAATTTTAATTATTTTTTTAGTTTATAATACAATCTAAAGTCTGTTGAATTAAATTATAATACATTAAAGTATAACAATAAATTCTTTTTTAATGTATGCTAATTGTTTAATTTTTTTTGGTGCAAAATTAGTTTTAGTTAAATAATCTTATTCCTTAGATTGAAAAAATAGATTAAAAATTAGTATCATTACTATTAAACCATATTATTAAAAAATTAATATGTTTATGTAAATCAAACATGACTTAAAAATATGTAATTATAAATTTGTAAATTAGAGTTTAAAAATAAATAGTTTTTTTAAAAGATCGTATAGTATATTTTTATAGTTATGAAAAAAGAAATTAAAAAAATAGAAAAAATAAAATAAAAACGGAAAAGAGACTATTTTGTTATTTTTACAAATTATTTGGGTCATTTTTATAATTTTTAAAGCTATTAGGGTGTTTGTATAATTAGAACTAACATAATTCTGTTAATTTAAATGAAAATTGATGAATTAGACAAAATCGGCTAACGGTTGGATAATTTAGGGTGATATTGACTAACCGGAAAAAAAATTGGGTAGCATTGATAACTTTTGGGTAGATGGGCAAATTTTTTCCCAGTATATTATCCTCTTTCCTACCATGAAGCTCTCTTTCTCTCATTCCCTTTTCTTCGTTCCATTCAATTCACATTCATGGTTACTACCTTGTCCTTCATTCACTCATGAAGGAGGAGTGATTTTGCAGCCTAATAGTCTATCCTTGATTTAAACGATTGTAGCCTCTCCTCCCATGCCGAGGTTGGTTAAAAGGCGGAGGAAGAGTGAGAGGAGACATCAGTTTAGGTCCAGAATTGGCTGTATATTGGCTATCCGGATTGCAGAGATGGCTAAACCTATTCTGAAACTATTTACAGGGAGGCTTAGTCCTTTGTCACAATGGGGGACCCAAAACCTTCGGGTGACACAATCCATTCGGATCCTCAACCCGAATGTATGCTTTTTCACAAGTAGTTTTTTATTTCTTTTTAATTTTTTGCAGACTTATATTAATTTCGTTCGTGTGTTTGTTCTGTTTTTTTTTTTTTTTTTTCCACAGGGCCACATGCCGGAAATCGTGAACCCTTTCTTTTAGCGTCAACATTGTCATCAGAAACTTGGACTTATAAATAGTCCTTCTTACCTCATTATCTCTCATTCCCCCGAGGCACTAGGGTTTTTTCAAGCAGTGGCGTTCTCCCAACTTTCTGCCTTGCATTTTCCACTAATTGCCATGGCGACAGAGTAAGTTTCTTCCATTTCCTTCCATTTCTTTTTTTTTTTTAAATTTTGTCTTTAATGGTCCATTGAGCCTTGGAATTTGGAAATTCTATCTCCCAGTGTTGTTGTGGGTTATTTTTCACGTATGAATTTGGGAATGAAATGTTCTTGTGATGTAGTACTCTGCCTGTTGCGATTCCTATGGATTATTACTTTCCTTGCTTGTCCTGATGAACTTCTCCTTCTGCATACTTGTTTTACTTCAATTTTTGCTTAATCTTATTGTGTTATTTGAACAGCCATCACCGGATTAGACTCCTGTACCTAGTTTTCTTTGTTTTGTTTTTGGATTTTAGGCTTTGCCAAATGGATTTCCCAGAAATTCAAGAGCCTGTGCTGCCAGTTGATGTCTCTGCCTACGTAATTCTTGGTTTGTTTTATATTAGTATCAGACCCTTTTTTGATGCAAGAAGGTCCTTATTAGATTTTATTTATAATGTCAGGAAATGTTTCACATAGTTATCCATCTCATATCATGATCTTTTGGTTTTAGGAAACCGGTACGGCGGTAATAGCTATTCACCACATCAACCTCTACCCCCAAATTAATCCGGGGAATTTAAGTATATGCATTAACCAGATTTTCACCAACAAAACCCAAAAGCAAGGATAGTCGCCGTGCGCACCGACAGCGAAGGAAAACACTCTTTCCCCTGTCCTGAAATTCTTGTCTAATGTAGATTATTATTGTCCAATGTAGATTTTTTATTTCAGTTCAAATTGTATCAAAAATAAAAATCCAGCATTTGATAATGGACTAAATTTCGGTGGTGTTTTCGATATTCGCCCTAGTAAAAGGAAGTTGTTATTTTTGGGAATACTTGGACATTTGTAATTAAAAAATCAATGAGTGAGAGAAGAAAAGAAAAATTACAGACACTGTCACAAGGTAAAAGGAGCAAGAAATAGATTTTTTATTTTTTTTTTTACTCTTTACCGTTTTAATAATATTCATTTATTTTCAGATTGTTTTATTCATTTCATATTTTTCCATTTCAGAATAAATCCAAATCAAAAAACTACCAAAATACACCTAGTAAGTAGTGAAAGTAACAACAGTTGCAGGCGCAAATTAGAGGTCAATACAAACGCATCAAACATACCATCCATTACAAAAGTTGAACAAGTGCCTGAGCACAAATTAAAAGCTCGCAACAAATTTCATGTCTACTACCGGACTATTAAAAATACACACTAAAGCAGCCAATAAATTACAGAGCAAGACAGATGAAAACTTGTAACCTCAGAAGCATTGGTACATTTTACGTCTATCCCCTATCAGACCTTTTTATCAGATCCCTTGAGGTTCAGATTGAACCATTTCTTATTTGACTTGTCCTTAGAATCGGAGCAGGCCAATCTGCTGGGAAGGCGCAACCTCGCAGTGATCGCATCGGTGGAGGGGGACACGCCTGCCACAAAGTCTATCGGGGAATTGAGTTTCCACCATGTCTTCAATGTTCAAATCATCAAATGCCTTCTTAAAACCATCAAGTCCAATGTAGAAACCTTAAAACAGCAGAAAGGATAAACTCTTGTCAGCTGAGACATATAAATAGATGACCAGTAAGAAAGAAACAATAAAAGATAATCGTACCACTGGGTTTCTTTAGCTCTATATCCTGCCCTGCATATTGCTCGTTTGCCAATCTCTATAGCTCGCTCCACGGACATATCTACAAGATAACTACACAAATAGCCCAAGAAACACAGAAAAAAATTCACGATGCTCCTCAATCCGTGAGCTGGACGATTCACCTGAAACGGAATCCATCCTGCTTCTTTTCTGCCTTCAATTTTTGAGCAAAAACAAAGAAAAATCAGACCAAAAACTCTCACCCCAAATAAACCTAAATCTTAAAACGACGAAATCATCTGGGAATTCCAACAATGGAAAACGGAACTAACAGCAAAAACGGTAAAATTTACCTTTGCGAACGCTTTAAAGCTAGACGACTGATTTAGTCTCCGAAGAATGGCACTCCAGTGCTCGCAGAATTTTTGGCCTAATTGATTGTTCGCGGGTTCGGTTTATTATATAGCAGTACGTTTGAATTTTGAGAATGAACCGAAGTGCCGAACCGGTATTGACGGTTCGGTGATCTCATCTCACGTGAGAAATCTTTGGCGGTGTTCTGTTCTCACGTGTAACTCTTTCTTGAGAGTTGTTCCTCCTTTTTCTGTCTTTCTGTTTTTTTTTTTTTTTTATTGGGGAAAATCGGCTTAAATTATTAAATATTACAATAGTATTAACGTTATTATCACCAGATGTTCGCACCAGGTAGATGTAAATATTGCTATGAAGTTTTATAAAAATTTATACTGAAAAGAAATAAAGCTACAAAAAAATATATGTCAAATTTTAAAAGTAACCAAATTCAATGGTGGACATAAAAAATAAGTTGAACTTAGGTTGGGTGGACATTAAAAAAAGTGCAAGATTGTGTACGAAATAATATATTACACTGGTCTCAAAATGATTAGTCAATTTTAAAATTTATCTTCTAAAAAATACTTAATTATCTGAAAATATAAGCTATTAATTATATATGTTCTGAAAACACAAAACAAGAAGTCCTGAGGCAAAAGCAATGGTGTTGCCACAAAGGAATGTCACTCAAAACCATTTAAAAAAAAAATGTCACTCAAATAAGTGAAATTATAGTGTAATTGTTGATAGTAAAAATGTACATACATGGTAGCGTGATCAATATTATGATGATGCAACACCATTGCGTTTGCCTCAAGACTGCAAAAACGATAATACGACCAAATGATAAGAACGGTAAAAACGATAGAAAAACATTATTTTTGGCTTCATTCACTTCAAGAGGAAACAAAAAGGAAAAATCAACTTTTGGATTTCGTCGGCTTGCTAGTCGGTTTAAATAAGTCGACGACCAAGAACATGTCGTCACGTTCCACCAAGGGGCTGGTCTCCCCGGCATTGACCACGGTCAGTAACGGATCTAAACTGAAAATATAGTGAGGGTCGATTGTAACTACATTATTGAAAATATGACTTATAATTTAATTAACGTTTATTAAGTATTTTTTGTATTTTGAGATTTTTAACAAATGTTTATAGGTATTGCACTTAGTTCATCGATGTTTTATTATTTTCATCAATGAAAGTCTCATTTTTATAATTAAAACCCATGTATATTCAAAATTGTATGTTTTTTATTAATTAAATATAGTTTTGTAAACATATAAACCCCAAAAAGTAAATTGAAAAAATTACAGAATAATGAAGTCCGTCATCATTGATTTTATATAAGTAAATGGGGATCAACGCCCTTAATACGCCTTTCACATGGCTTTAAATCGAACTAACTCTACTTATAAAAATCATGGCAAGTTTTAATCACTCTTACTCCCGGAAAAATTTCACTTAATTAGTAAATCAAATTTCCACGAAAATGACCAACACATTAGAGTGGGGTACGCCTGCCATCAAATTTGTCTGGGAACTGAGTTTCCACCGTGTCTTCGATGTTCAAGTTCTCAAAGACCATCTCAAAACCATCAGGCCCGATGTAGTAACCTTGAAAGCATCAGAAAGGATATCATCAGCCGGGGACATAGATACACACATGTAAGGAATAATAAGGGATACAAACATCATACCACTGGCGAAACCACCGGTTTCTTTAGCTCTGTATCCAGCCCTGCAAATTGCTCGTTTGCCAAGCTCGGTAGCTCGCTTCACGGGCATATCTACAAGATAACTACAGAATCCAAGAAACACCAAAAAAATCAGGATGATTGACTACGACGACAACACAACTATCAAGCAAATCATGTACTAGAACATTCGAAGGAAATAGGGACATACAACATATCCATATTAACAGAAGCTATTTCCCAACCAGATCCAGTGGCATACTTTACTCCCCTGCACAGATAACCCTTACCATCCAAGCAATACAAACTACGACCCTACACAATGACATGAATAAATAACACAGGTTAAGCAAAATTTTATCAACGTGGCACAATTTCAAAATCCCATAGAGTGCTACTTATTAAGAAAATAAATACCTTTCGGTCCAACCCTGCAATCATTGTTGTTAATGACAAACCTTGCTCCCCGTGAGAAGACAACAGATCTTTCAGCAACTTTGCTGCATCTTCAACAGGAATTCCAAGATAGCACTAGCACGTTGGAAGCAAATTAACAGCCACATAAGAATAAGAACACAAAAAGAAAACATGCACAGAACTCAACAGTATGTATGGTCACAATGTTGGAAGCAACCGACAAAAGCATAATAACACTGAAAAAATAACATGAAACAAGAATAAGAACAGTTAAAACATCCCAGATGCGATTTTGCATTTTTCCTTCAAGGATAGTTGCAGGCCAATCTACCACTACTGCAGCTATTAGCATTCCAGGAAAGAATCTATCATATTAAGTAACTTAAAGTGATCTAGCAAGAGACGTGATGAAAACCACCTTCTTCAGATCAGCGAGCAAAGTTTTTCCTTGGGAAACGTCATCACCAGAAACAGTAGCGAGAATGTGCCTGGTAAGTGGAATAACAGCGTTGTCCACAGCGCCTCCTAGATACAGCAGCAGGTGGAGTTGGTACAAATATTAAAAGTTAAGGTCAATTATGTAGAAAAAAATGTTAAAAATTAAGGACAATTGTGGACAAACAGGTAAATTAGACTATAGTTAAAAACTTACGAGGATGATCAGCAGCAACAATAACCCCTTTTTTGAAAAGAAAGGCCAACGTAGTCATCCCCTTTGGTACTTTCTTAGGGTAAGCCGGCTAAAAATACCACAAGACAATAAGAATGAAATTCCCTTGCAAAAAGTATCTCATCTCTCTGTGTCTGTGTGTGTGTGTGTCGGGTTGTGTGTTGGGAGAGGGGGAACACAACATAAAACTTACGGTATCGTTGAGGTCTGGAGGAGTACCAGGGCTCACAAACTGGGGATCAAAAGGCACTTTACCAGGTCCACAGACAGCAGCTTCAAACTTCCTCTTCTGCACAAAAAAAAGATAATAAATTCCCAACCAACAGAAACAAAAGGAAAAATAAAGTCCCAACAAACAGAAACAAAAGGAAAAAAGAAAAGAAAACTAACGAGTTCCAGATACTTCTTATCATCAGCTTCGATCCCTTGATAATTCCAGAAGGGCAAGAATGGGCAATCTTAAGGGCCCATTTGATCAGATGTACGGTATACAGAAGTCTTTAGAGCTTTTCGCACCTGATCATAGAGTTAATTATAATAATGGATACTACAAATGCCTAAACAACTAAATAAAAAAAAAATAGCAAGGGAACTGACGTATTCACGTTGCGCAGCAATGCCCTCTGGCGATTCATCAAAGACTGGGAACGCACCCTCACGAAACCTCCTTTCCAGATAAGCTTGCATCTCTCTCTCTCCAAGAATAATCTAAACAAAGATGAAATCAAAACAAAATTTTGATTGCAACAGAAAGTACCTAGATTCCAAACCAAGGGGGAAAAAGGATAAATTAACTAACGTCGCCACCAGATTCAATTTCTGGCAATGAGATGGGAAACCCAGACTTTCCACGGAGCCATAGATCAGGTTGACCTATACCAGACCGAGCAATAACAATTCCGCCCTGTTAAAGATATTGAGTAAAATAAACCAAAAATCAAAACCAAGCTAGAAAAATCCCACTCCCTCTGTCCCAAAATTATTATTCAGTTTGAGATTTCACTTTTAGTACAATTTGAACTAGAAACGAAAACTCAAACTGTGGACGGAGAAAGTATTAATAATGGATACTTAATTACAAACCGACAAAACCCAAAGAATACTAACAGCTCTGTTCTTTGGCGGAACACCGCCCCAACGAATTTCACAATGGTACGTGGAGGGGTCAAAAACGTTAAAGAATTTCTGCCAAACAAAGATCGAAGCAAGGAAAAAAGTTTAGAAAAAAACAATTGAAGGATAAACAATTACTAACCAACAAATTATAAAAAATATATATATACACTAACGCGTTCACGATGCTCCTCATTCAGTGAGCTGGACGATTCACCCGGAACGGAATCCATCCTGCTTCTTTTCTGTCTTCAATTTTGAGAAAAAATTAAACAAAAATCAGATCAAAACGAAATAATCGGGAAATCCCAACCAAGAACAACGAAAAGATCAGCAAAAACGAGTGCCGACGGTGAAATTATACCTTTTCGCCGCTTTAAAAACAGACGATTAGTTTAGTCTTTGAAGGATAATACTCCAGCGCTCGCAATACTCTTTTTGCCCTAATAATTGGTTCGCAGGTTTGGTTTATTATACAGTAGTACTTTTTATGATGAACCGAACCCAACCGGTATCGACGGTCATCTCAATTCTCACGTGTTGGCGGTGTTCTGGTCTCACGTGGAAAGTTCTTCCTTTTTATTTTCTGGAAAATCGGTTTTAATTATTATATTGTTATTACAAGTAAAAAAAATCCCCACTACAGGTATTTAAATATTATTAAATATTAGTATTAGTATTATCACGAGATGTAAATATTGTTATGAAATGTTTTTATAAATTTTTTTAAACTGAATAGAAATAATAAGCAACAAAAAATATATATGAAATTCTTTTTTATCCTTTTAATGGTCCTTAATGGATGAAAAAATAAGGTTGGGTGGACGAAAAAAATAGTGCAAGATTGTATATAAAAATAATGTACTATTCCCGTTCAAGAATACTTAGCTAAATTTAAACTTATTTTCTGAAAAATACTTAATTATCAAAAAATCTATTTTCCAATAAATGCAAAGTCTTGTGGCCAACGCAATGGCATTGCCACAAAGCAAGCGAGAGTAAAATAGGAATAGATGTCAGTCAAATAAATTAGATTATTATATTATAATAGTGAACAGTAAAGATGTACAAAAATGACAGTGTGACTAATATCATCTACATATTTTACTACAAAAATTGACTTAATGTACATATAATACTGTACCATATTACCATCCATTAAGGACCATTAAAACGATAAAAGAAATAACTAATTTTTGCTTCATCGACCTCAAGTGGGAAACAAAAAAGAAAACAGAAAAGTCAACTTTTGCAATTTTGCCGACCTGCTAGTCGATTTAAATAAGTTAGCAAATTGCTCAACTCTCTTTTTTCTTCTTTTTCTTTTGGTTTATTATTGATGGTCGTGTTTTCCTTCTTAACGGAAAGCATCGAGTTTCCTTTATCGTCAACTCTATCTCGAATTCTATAAGTTGACGAGAAAATCGACGCTACATTCAGATATTTTAAATTCTTTTTTCCTCATCCAATTTTTTATTTATATTTTTGACTTCTTACAAACGAAAATATAGAGAATAATATTATCTAAATATTAATGCAGAGAACAAAATATATGTTTAGGCCAATGTAGAGGATTAATTCAGGATTCAGTCATTTTAATTAAAAAAAAAAACAAAATTAGAGAGATTAGTACACTGTTTGATTAGGCAAAATCCAGCTAAACGTAACATACCACCAAGTTAAGGTACAAGACAACTAAAGAGGCTCCTATGATCGTAGACCGTTCATTATCTTTTTTTCCATCCATACCAAAAACTCCCAAAAACCACTCATCACAAACAGATATACAACAATTCCTTTAAGGGAAAGAAGGAAAAAAACAAAAAACAAAAATAACAAATGTACAACAGCTCCTGTAAAGATTACATGTATAACTACGCAATCACATACACCTTCCTATTCACACAAAAACCCTTTCACTCTTGAACAAAAACCAAAAAAACTATGAACATGTATTCTCACGGCATCCATATGGCTCTCATTGCCGTATTTTTCATACTTTTCACGAATAACCAAGTTTACCCGGCTAATGGAATGAATGTGATCGACAAATGCTGGAGGACGAACCCTAAGTGGCGCGGAAACCGGCACCAATTAGCCAGATGCTCCGTTGGTTATGCAGGGAAGATGTCGAACAACATCGGCCATGGCACGACAAACTATAAGGTCACTGACCCGTCGGACGATGCGTTGAACCCTAAACCTGGAACCTTGAGATATGCCATGACACACATCAAGGGAAAAGTCTGGATTACATTCAAAAGGGACATGAGTATTAAGCTTCAAAAGCCCCTTTTGATTAGCAGTTTCACCGCCATTGATGGCCGCGGCGTTAATGTTCACATTCATGGTGGAGGTTGCCTAATGTTGCAAAGGGTAATAAGCTTTAATTTGTCATTTCTTTCCTTCCACCTTCACATTTGATCATCAGGTTATCTAATTTTCTAATTTACATTCTTCCCAAACCAAAAATAAAAAATAAAAAATCGCAAAAACAGGTGAACAATGTGATCATACATAGCCTTAGAATCCATGACTGCAAGGCTCAAACAGCAGGACCAGTGCTAGGTCCAGATGCAAAGGTTGTGCATTTGTCTGCAGTTGATGGAGATGCGATTAGGATCCTCTCGAGTACAAAGGTTTGGATTGATCACAACACACTTTACAATTGCCCAGATGGACTAATTGATGTCACCAGAGGATCCACACAAGTTACCATCTCCAACAATTGGTTTAGATCTCAAGATAAGGTGATGCTTTTAGGTCACGATGATGGGTTTATGCGTGACAAGAACATGAAAGTCACCGTGGCCTTCAATCATTTTGGTCCTAGGTGCCATCAGAGAATGCCGAGGTATTACTAGATTCCCGTTTGATTAGTACAAGACTTTTAATTAAAATAGTACCTCTTCTCTTATTACATTAGTTTTGAAATAATTGTTTTTGAATATTACAGGGTTCGTTTCGGGTATGCGCATGTTGTAAATAACCTCTACCTCGGATGGGGATTATATGCAATAGGAGGAAGCATGGATCCAACCGTAAAGAGTCAATCAAACCTCTTCATTGCACCAGAAGCTGGAAATAAAGAGGTATGAATATATACTTTTTATCCGTTCCATAAAAATAGTTATGTAACTCTATATATCTTTTGCTGAGAATGAGGCAATGAATTGATTCAATCAACAAACAGGTGACTTGGAGGAAACAAGGTAGTGGGAGGATATGGAATTTTCTGTCTGTGGGCGATGTGTTCGAAAACGGTGCCTCTTTCGTCCAATCAAGAGGCACTGACAAGGGCACCTCCCTGAAGCCGAACTACACCCCGGAACAGGCTTTTCCGGTCGAAGATGCAAGAAAAGTAAGGGACTTGACTAGCTCCTCTGGTGCCCTGAAATGTTCAAGAGTCTCCTATTGCTGAAAAGCAGCCTTAGAAACTCATGGGTGAACGAAGCAGCATCTATATACGTCAGATTGTACTGTTTAGTTTTTGTTCCCCATTTATCGGGACACATTTTATGGTGTCAATTTTATAGTATGATATCGCTAATCTATTTCTTGTACACTTAAGTAATCAAAAATAAAACTCGTAAGTATTTCTAGTGGTAAGATCTTCGATTGTCTGAAAATCACTAGATTCATACCGTTCTACCAACTATATCTATTCCTCAAGTTTAATAGCAAAGGCACGAGGAAAAGTGCAACAAAAAATTCACTGTCAAGTTAAAAAGTAGTGGCACATTCATTGTGCAGAAGACTAGTATATTGACCCGAAAAAAAATGAAGCATTGGAAAATCCAAAGACGATCATCATAATGCTCCAAGTTATGATTCAAAAAAATTGTCCATGGCAGACTAACCAGAAAAAGAAAAAAGAAAATTACATTGAAACCACACGGGCCTTGTACATGCAAATGTAAGCCATATGCCAATCACCTGCAAGAACAGGAAGATTAGATTATCGGATGAATCTTGAGGACATATTAAAACAAGAATGTAGAAGCACAGTCTTCGCCAGTTCTTACCCCCTCCAGAAAGTTTTGGAATATCTTCCTCCCGCTGGAGGATTGGATTATCATCATCAAATTGGATCCATTTTCCTGACGTAGAGAAACAAATTGACTTGTTAATCAATGAGCACATAACCTAAACTAGGCTGCCAATCAGAAACATTTATCAAAGGTCTGACCATTTTCTTGCTTCACCCATGCAACATAATGGCCAGAATCAGCACTTCTGCCTTTGTGTGTCAGCACCGCGACCAAATCATAGATTCCGGTCAGGAGAGACTCTTTCCCTGGAAGGACACCAGGAAGGAAATCAATGAGGTTCAATCTCAGAAAGCTATAGATATTAAACGGAAAAATAACCATATTCCATTCAGTATTAGGGTCTTGACTACCCAAATTTATGATATGATCTTTTTTTTATTCGTGCCACTTCCAATTTCGGTACAATTTGCAATTTCCAACTCCACCAACCAACGTAACATCACTTTCTCTTACACCATGCATTCTCCTGTGAAGAGATTGGATTCTCTCACAAAAACTAAGTTTCCTCCATAACTTGACAGTCAGCATCACCATACACCACACAAATGCAACAAAAGCATTCTCTTCAAGCAAGACTTATACATACATTGACCAACTTATAAAGATTAATTTTTCACGATTGAATCACTCATTAAACACAAAATTTAACACCAAAAACAACATTAGGACCTAGGATCAACCAGAATTTTAAAGACTTTTACCTTCCTGAGAAGCATCTTTGGATGACTCCCCACTGCCATTTGACGATTCCTGATAACAAAAGAAGTACACACCACACTGTTACCAAAGAAATCCTTTCCTCAGGCTATAAATTGCCAGAAGTGCTTATGTCTCTCAACACATTTATACTGATATACTAACCTCTGTGTTGGCCATCACCACATCTTTGTCAGAAACAGAGCTCTTCTCATTGGTTTTAAGACCAAATTTTTTACCTTCCTCGTCCCTTAGAAACTGAGAGTAAGATAACAGATTAAAATGTGATTAAACAATTATTCTTCTCTTTGATCGAAGGAATGAAAAGGAGGTTAGAAAAATAAAAAGCTTTGCAGAAATCTTGTATGACATCCAACGAGGGCAAAAGGATATACCCGACGAGGACCTTCCAATTTCTTCCGAAGCTCATCTGAACACAAATCAAAAATATCTAGCTCCAATGGATAGTCAACTTTCTGCAGTCAAAGAGAGCATATTTCCATGAACTGGTAACAAGATAAAATGAAAAATCTACCAAGCCACTGAATATGAAGAGCAATATTAACATTCTCTTTCTTTATTTCTCTTATATGTTGGGGCCTTTAAATGAGCGCCCTCCAAGAATCTTCTTATAAGAAGCAATTAAAGGAAAGTAATTAGATATGAAAATTACCCGCAAGATTTTTGCTTTCTGATTTGATTCCCGCTTCCAGAAAAACCGTACAAATTGAATAGTTAAATATCTGTGTTTGAAACACAAAAAAAAAAGAGTCAAGACAAGGATACTTAAGAAATGAAAGAACACGTAGAAAGATCCTTCAAAGATAAATACACATTGAATGAAAAGACATTAAGCACCAAAGAAAAGGAGCCCAGCTAAGAAGAGAATTCCATCAAGAAGTCAGTCAATTGTAATAGAGCTGGGTCAGCAAATTTAAATGCCAAGTCACATGATCATATAAATGGCATCTGTAAATTTGTCCCTCAATAGAAGAAAACATGAGCTGCAGTCATACATACCTCGGCAAGTCATTAATGCGTGATTCTTTTACATAAATCGCACTACGTCCCAAAGCAGGAGAAGCTTTTTCTAGTTCTGATTTTAAAGCCTGAGAGAATGGATCAATAAGGTAAACTACATCAAATATCCAGAATATAATAGATAAGGCTTTTGAAAGAAGAAGATTAATATCTATTAGCAACAAGGTGACTTGTCGAGAAGTATAATGCACATATATGTTGAATCATATGACACATTTAAGTATTATTCAGTTATCAAGTACAAGAAATATAAGGCAGCTTGCTGGAAAATAACAACAGGAACTAGGAGCCAAATCAAAAGGTTTAAAATCAGTCACTTTTGAAGAATGCACAAACTTGGAATATGAATCTTTCAAAAGAAATCAACAAATTACAGGAACTTATTATATACTTCTCACATGACTAACTTATTAGATATCTGACTTTAGCTAAAAAGATATTTATCAAGTCTATTCCTGGAAAATAATTGAGGTTCAACTAAAAATCTTAAGTTTTTAACAAAACTTACGCGTTTCAAGCCCTCATGCAAATGATTAACCTCTTGTGAAATGTGGCACTTCAATGAATAAACAGATTCTTTCTCTGTACTTTCTTCACCACTTTCAGCACAGTGAATCCTGGATTCAGAACAATATGAAATATCAACCAAACTGAATCAGACAAAAAAAAATGGCATCCACCAGGTAAGAAAAATATGAGAAGTTCTCTGGAATACAGCAGTGAAGTCCAACAGTCTTTTAAAAGAAAATCACTATGAACAAAGGATCCAAGACTATCTAAAGTTGAGCGTATAACAAATGATTGCCACAAACTAACTTCAAATTGACATCTGCAACTTACTCGTATGTAAATGTTGAAAATAAGTACAAAAAGTACCTGCTAACAAACTCAATACCAAAAAGTTCCTTCACAGGATCCTGCGGTTCACTGCAAGATGATGAAAAATAAAATGTTAGAAATCTAATGTATCATGATAGTAAAATATCTGGAAGTTCTCAATCAAACAAGAGATGACATACCTAGAATTTGTTGATTTCAGAGACTGGGAAAGAGTATAGAGAAGTTGTGTCCAACATTCTTCAGCATCCTATCATCAGGTAAAGATATTATTGAGCAAGCCAATAACTCACATTCCCGGAAAGATACTCAATCGTGTTTGAAGACTGAGCCAAACATGCATATCAAGCAAGACACATCACGAATAAAGATGAAAAGTATCCCGTGCCTTCCACTCTCCCATCCCAGCCCCAGAACACCCGCACATTGGTCCCCGATAAGATTAGCCACTTCTGCCCAGCCACATATATCATTATTTTCCTAAACAAATACTACAGCTACACAGGGTAATGGGAAAACCTGCTGCATGAAGGCTCCATTATGTAGCTGGCCAAATTGAGGATACTTCTTCCGCAATTCCTGTGAAGCCAATAGTTAAGTAAGTACAGAATTACAGATACACAAACTTTTCCTGATTTAGGCACGCATGTATGCTCAATGATAGAACTAAACAGGAAGGTCACTTTCTTTGAGTTCCGCACAAGATGAATCGACGCAACAGAAACCAAATGGGTCTTCTTTACTTTATAAAGGAAAGGGTCCAGGCCAATAAAAGGAACGATAGATAATTGCAAGGATAATGGAGACAGGACTTCAGAACTTTTGGTAGGACTACTTACCAAGATTCCCAATCATTCAAAATGGATAGTAAAAGCATAATGCAGCAAGGTAACACATTAATTATTTACTAAATCATGCAGGCCTAAGGGGAAAAAAAGAAAAAAAAAAAAAGAAAAGAAAAAGAAAATGCCACTATTTAAAAAGAGAAGTAATGCATCACCAGCACAAAGGCCATTAACACATTACCGTCCAAAATTTCATTGGAGCGACTGGTTTAATGTTCTTATCAAGATCATTAAATAAATCTCGAGTGGCGGCTGTCAAAAGCTGAGAAGCCTGATCCAGGTTATTGCTACTGGATGATGGGTACCTAACCAGAAAAAAGCACGGAACATATCTTAGCACTAACAGAACTGTAGGCAGCATAAGATATAACTTCAAATCATTTTATCAAAAGTAATTTCTAGGAGGAAACGGAAAACCAACTTCATCAAAGCAGACTTTAACTCAGGAACAGAATGTAGGCACTGCACCGTGGAATTCATGTAGCAGGTATTTCCAAGGTTAAATAAGCCAGCAGAATGACCCTGTAAGACAAATCATGAAACCACGCACGATTTCCATCAGAAGTAATGAAAGCATAATCAAGAGACAAACTAACCATGCATTCTCTTTTGACTTCCATCTTTCAAATTGCAAACTAAACTGCTAAACATAAGCATCGAATTCAACCCCAAGGAGGCTTACAAAACTTACCACATTGACAACAAGATCTTCCTCTGGCATGTCTTCTGCAAAAACGGGGCCTTTTTCGGGTGCCTTAACTATCTCATCAGCAGTCCCCATCATCATCAATCTTTGGCCCTATACCAAAATGAAGTATATAGACATGTAAGAGCCAGCATATTTTACTGTAGTAAATGAACAGATTCATTGACCACCCAGGAAAACAGGACAAAGGGTAGCAAACATGATTTACCTCCTTAACTCCTACTTTCGACCAATCTGCATCGTCCTACATAATAAACCAACAAATTTTTCTTTCAGAATTAATGCAAAAAGGAAAATTGAAGTTATGTTAGTGATAAAATCAAGTATTAGTGCACATTTGGAAAAAGATAATACCTTAAGAAGACCACCTTTTACCATAATCTTTTGCCTTTCAGGTGGTACTCCAGTCAAGTCAAACAACTGGCACTTGAACAAATATGGGGACTGGCTAGTATCAATTTCAACATCCGGAAATACCTCCTTCTGCCACTTAACACTCACTGCAAGACACATAATTGAAATCATATGAAGGAACTTACAGAATCAATTCCATAGTCTTTGCATAAGCAAATCATATTCACATTCACATATATAAAGCAACAACAGCAACACGAGACTGTGTTCATCACATATATAGAACACAGGAAACATGAAGCGCTGAATGTCCCGAGGCCATACTGCCTCCCACAAACCATCCCATTCATTTTTTATTCCTCAACTATCCATTGAATGTTATATAACGCCCCAGAATTTTATTTTCTTCCCTCAGGGTGCGAGATAATCTAAGAGGAGAAAGATGTTAACCAGTTCCAAAAAAGGCGACTCAGATGAAACAGCAATATGTCAAGGTAAATAGCATCCCAAAATCCTAATTCCTTATTTGAATTCCTGAACTTGAAATTTAGCCAACAGAAAAATGGACCACTGCAAACACTATTCCTGTATATTTCTCTACTGATTGTCCTAGGAGAAATTTAAGCCAAGTCATCAAACAAGAAAGTGATTTGAAATTTGAATTGACCCAAGTCCCATCCATCTCGAACTTCTTTTACACCAGCCCTTGTGAGAGCAGACAATGGTCATAAAAAACACTAACACGATGAAACAAAATGTATCTACTAATGCCCATTCAATTTGACGCAAATACCAATCATATCAGCGACAGCTTAAGCTCAAGTATACAGCCATAATTATACAGAACAAGCTTACCAACCTTCACTAAACCCACATCCAAAATAGCAAAAAACCTACGGAATAAAAGCTTAACCAGCAATACGAATCTTATCTTTCAAACCTAAACTTTTTCCCTGCGTATACTAAGTCTTGCATTCACAAACAGCTCAGGAGAACTTTAGGGCAGGCGACCATTCATTTTCTTTTGAAATCAAACAAAACCCTAAAGACTACTTCGCTAACTTATAGTATAATATTGAAATATTTCAAAATGAAAATTTTTCTTGACGAAGTGAAAATCAAAATAAATCCCATTCAAAAATCAGAAAAAAAAAAATCAACACATCAGAATACATAAAAAGGGCATAATATTTGAAATTGAAGATTCTTTAACCTTTCAAAGTCGACATGGATGCTTCGGAATCCGGGTTGATCGGTTTTGCTGTGGTGGGTGGGTTGATTTTTTGGCCGGAGCTTCACTTGCTTGCAGGGTAGGCCAAGTGCTAGTTTGCAATATCGCAGGAAAACTCAGGCGAGACTGCCGAGTATATATATATATATAAGGTTAGAAAAAATAAAATCTAAAAATCATTCTTGTAAAATACGACACCGTTGTTGGTACTTTTAAAATATCGCGTTACAAAAATCATTCGCTTATTTATTTATTACTCCTTCTATTCTAAAATATATGTCGTTGAAGAAAAATTAATTTTTTTCAAAATAGATATCGTTTTCGCATATCTAGACATATTTTGTCAACTTTTTTCAATATTACCATTACATAAAAAATTGTAATTGTATTTAAAATAGAAGTGTATTAGAACTAAATAATATTGGGAATAGAATTATATTGAAAATAAATGAGGGTAATTTAGTATTTTGACTAAATATTTATTGTTTCCTTAAACTTTGTGAAACTCCTCCAGCGACATATATTTTGGAATGGAAGGAGTATTATCAGTAATGCTTCTCAAAAAAAGTGAGTAATTGTGAAAATCAATTTTTTTTTTTTTTGAATAAAATGAAAACCGAATTCGGTGTTACAAAGGCATCTTTGTAATCTACTATATGCGAGCACAAGGCATTTTCTTAGCTTTGTAAGAGAACAAACATGGTTTTCTTCGTTAATGAAATGATTATCGATTCGTAAAAAAAAGTAAGAGAACAAACATGGTGTGGAGTACCAAAAAGTTTGTTCATTGATTTTGTTTATTTTTTCTACATGACGTGACTTTATATAAACCTACTACTACTATCTAAAGAATAATACTTTACATAAAAGAAGAAAAGAAAGCGAGTTAAATAAAAGTATTTAACAATCACACGAATTATATTTTACACATCCCATTATGTGGTAAAATAAATCATACATTTGGTTAGAAGCGTATATTAATTGATTTAACAATCTCGTAAATAAAAAAATAATATTTTGCAATAAAATGAGTAATTTATCAATATTTATATCATTATTTTAACTTTACAAGAAAAAACGTTCGTTATCAATTAATATGTAAACGTAATGTAAAATACATAGTTAAAAGTCCAAATCCGATTATTCGAAAACCATGATGATGACAATCAAAATTAAATTGTGAGACTTCAATCCTGATTTCGTTATTCGAATAGTATGTTTTGGTTAGATATTGATTCGGTTTTGATTTATATTTGAAACGATTTTAAATGGTTTCTCAACACTGGTTTTGCAATTATATATTTTGATTTCGGCTTAGCATCGATATGGTAGTAATTTCTATGTAGTTATATATTAGTTTATAGGTTTAAACTGTTAAACTTAGTTTTCAATGTGTGGAAAAAGTTTAAAGAATTGAAAAACAAATGTTATAAAAATGTTTTTCTTTTAAAAACAAAATCAAAATGCCGTATAAGGAACATATTCCAAAGTTTCGTAGTCATGAAATAAACTGAAAAATTATAATAATCCTTTTTTAAAAAAAATATTATAATCATCAGACAATTTTAAACGATCGGTTAAAATCATAACTGTTGTTTTTAGCTTTCAAAATACTAAGCAAGTGTCTTGTTTGGACTTCATGTTACATTTCATTTTGCCACTTAAAAGTGAAAAGTGTTTCAAGTTGAAAACTAAATTTGAAATGAAAATGTTGTTTAGATGGTATTTTGAGCAAAAAGTTGTTTGGATGTTTGTTTTGGAAAAAATATTTTGAACTACATTTTGAAATATCAAGTACGAATCATTACTAAACAATTAAATACTGTCAATTATAGTCATTTAAAAAAAAACTTTTTAAAAAATAATCACTAAATAATGGAAACTTGGCAAATTCGTCACTCTAAGATTTTCCTTTGTTAGATTTCGTCACTGAACTACTTTTTTTTTTCAAAAATGATCATTACACTAACAAAAAGTGTTTCAAGTTGGAATTTAAAATGTAAATTAGAAAGTTGTTTGGATGATGTTTTCTTTTCCATTGGGTTTTGTGTTTAAGAGATAAAATGAGTTAAAATGTAAAGTTAGTTGACCAACAAACAAAGCCTCAGTGGTTAGGTTAACATGACACACAAGTAAAACATACCAATAACGTTATATTCTAATCACGATTTTATCACTATTATTAGATCATATGACCATTACATAATCATAACTGAATCTTATGGTTGTGTTATGGTTTTTCAAACGATCAATCACGATTTTATTATGAAACTGTTTTCCTAATTTTGGTTTGATTCAGGTCAAAATTGAAACCGTTGACATATATACCGACAAGAGGTAATGTTGCCTAGTTATAGATTTTCTCTATTATGGTAAGAAAGTATGACATCCATCATAGACAATTATTACAGTAAAAAATCAAAAAATATCAAGATACTAATTGTGGGAAATAAAAGAGTATATTCAAAATGGAATCATAAATTGATTATTGAGATTGGAGTTTGTCATCATTGTGAAATAACAATTATATAGAGATCCCAAAAAGATGGTTCATATTGTATTTTCAATTTTGTACTAATTTAGTACAAATCTTAAACTGAACTAATATTTTTGGGACATAAGGAGTAATACGTAAAATACAATAAAAATTATGAAGCCGTGGTCCTTTTATGTGCTTTATTTAAAGTTGTACAAAATTTGTTATAAATTCACGACGATCAAATTACAATTTAGTTAACGAAGAGGACTAGCAAAATAATAATACTCCATCCGTCCTTATTATAAGTTATTTTGACTTTTTATAAGTTTCACTTAGTACACATTTTTAATTGACAAAAAAATTTTAAAAATATATTTTCATATTTGTCGTGTTCTCTTAATTTTTATGAAATATTTTTAAGATTTTTTTGTTGATTAAAAATGTATATTAGGTTAAACTTGAGAGAAATCAAAATGCCTTATATTAAGGACGGACTGAAGTGAGTAAAATAGAGAAAAATTATAGAGGGAAAAGGAAAAAAAAAGGGGCAAAAAATTAGCATAAAAATAATAATTTACACCGGTTACCCCTGCATCCTGCCGCGACCCCGCGATTGAATTGCAGTAATAGCACAGAACTATTGGTAAGACCCTGAGGGCTAACATTTACAACTCGGAAAAAAAAGAAAAATAAAATAATGTACGGCGGCTCCGGGAAGCTCGGCCGGGGCGGCGGAGCCGGTCGGGGCGCCGGTGGTGGCAACAAGCGTAACATTCACTCCACTTTCCACACCCCGCCCCTCCACCGCCCATCCTCCGCCGGTGCCGCGGCTTCTGCCCCTATCTCTGGTGGGCGGCTCTCCATGGGCGGTGGTGGAGCTGCTCAAAGGAACCGGGTTGGTTCTGGCTCCGCCACCACAGCCGCCTCATCTGCTGCCACGGAGGAGTCTTTCCGCCTTGTCACCGAGGACCCGTTGAATTTTGCCATGATTATTCGGCTCGCGCCAGACTTAGTAGAGGAGATCAAGCGCGTGGAGTCCCAAGGAAGTAGGGCTAGGATCAAATTTGACGCCAATGCCAATAATTCGTCTGGAAATGTGAGTTTTGCTGGTTGAATTCTGTTGAGTTTTGTATGCTTTGCTTTTTGAATCTTATTTAATTTCATTGCATTGTTATAACTGTTGCATCGGGAGTAAGAGGTTATTCTAATAGGGTTCTAGGGTTGGTGTTGTGGGGGTTTTAGTTTGCCTGTACTTTACTTTGTAGTAAAATTCAGTGATTGGTAAATAGAGAGATTGCATCTCTTTAAGGTTTGCATTTTCACTTTTGATGAATTATAAAGGAAACCAGCGATTTTCTTCCAAACAATAAAAGGAAGAAAGGAAGCGCTGCTAATGAAACATTATCGCGGACTCATTTAAGAGTTGGCTATATGTGTAACTCTTTTTATACTTCCAATATCCAAATAGGTTTGCACTTGCATTTTGTCCGTGAAAGATTGGCGAAATTTATATTTGACCATGTCTGCAACGTGTTTTTATAGTGTAGTAGATATAAAGTTTTATGGATTTGGGTGAAGCTCAATGACAATTGATAGAGAATTGAGGTGATGAAGTTCTGTGGTTCCAGCATTACATTTATAATAAACAAAAGTCACTGAGGGTGTTTTAGTTTAACCCATTGTCCAAATTAAGACACATGTAGTCCTTGATGGTGATATTGTAAGATGTTGTTTTAACCAAACAAAATAAAATATATATTGTTAGATATTGTTACACGTGTATGATTATTCGGCTTGTATACAAGAAATCTCTTCAGCTTTGTGCAATTCAATAGGAAGTGTAAATCCAATTACAATACTGGGGAAGAATGGCTGGATGCTTCTTAATGAAATTCTACTGTATTATTCTGTTAGTTTTGGCGTGGATTAGAACTTGTAACTTGTATTGCCTGCCATAAATGGTAGAGTTTGATTCTCGTTGTGGTATATCAAAGTTGTAGTTGGAGGCCACTTAAATTACTTGGTAAATACTGTATGTCGCTGATCTTTCATATGCTGATTTACGGTCTGATCTCTATTAGACGATAGATAAGGCCTCAGTGTACCGCTGCTATTAAATTGAAATTGAGCATGAATGGTACAGAACTTGAGGTTTAAAATTTTTTTGATACACAAGAAGGTATTAACACTGTGCTTAATTGAAGATAGACAAGAATCTCTTCTTGATAAATGACATTCTGTTGATCAATTACCTCTTACCTCTTAAGGGTCTTTTCCTTTCCTTTTTTTTTTTTTCTCTTTTTTTGGTGGCATGGGCCTTCCAGCAAAATTTTGTCCATTAACATTTCAATTCCAGCAACCATCCACACCACCATGGTATTTCCATATACTGAAAAGTTTTATTACTATTGGCCCACTCTACCAAACTATTAATTTCAGTTTCTGTATAAGACAAGGAATTATTTTGGTTTATATGACCCCTTCATAATTTTAAGTAATATCGAATTATGAAAGTTTGGATGTAATGCAACCGTTGCATTTATAGCCGACCCCACATTGTGGAATACAGGCTTTATGTTGACTCTTGTTTTCGATTATAAATTCTTGATCCAAGCAGTTCATTTCCTTCGTCAGGTTATTAGTGTGGGTGGTAAGGACTTTAGATTTACATGGTCACGAGAGACAGGGGACCTTTGTGACATATATGAAGAGCGTCGAAGTGGTGATGATGGAAATGGTTTACTTGTAGAATCAGGATCTGCTTGGCGAAAGCTGAATGTGCAGCGTGTTTTGGATGAATCAACTCAAAATCACGTGAAAATGCGTTCAGAGGAAGCTGAGCGCAAGCTGAAGTCTCGCAAGTATGCTATTTTTATCTCTTATTTTTTATGTTGATGAATTTTCTACTTTATTGTATATCTGCTTATAATTTTCCTTATACCTTGGTGGCAGAGCAATTGTACTTGATCATGGAAATCCTTTAATGAAGAATAATGTGAAGGCAATGGTAGCTGCTGAAAGTAAGTGAGGTTTCATGCTTCATAACAAATTACTTTACTCCTTACTATTGCAATCAGTTAAGATAATGTACAGTGAGAATGCATCTTACAAATGGTATAAAATTTTCATTAAAAAAGGTAAAAATGGAAAGGAAAATAGTCGGTCTAATGGTGTTATTTACTCAGTTCAATATTTTTCCTTTCTATCTAGTATGACTACCTAAAATAGTTTGGTTTCTCATTTCTTTATCGATTATCAGGTGTGGTGTTTATTTTTTTATAATGTGTAGCCAAACTTGGAGCTTTGAGGTGCAGTCTCTCTGGTTTAGGCTTGCACTTTCTTTCCAACTATAACCAAATAAGATTACTTGAAGAATTCCCTAGGAAATGTGTTAAGCTTGACCAATCTTAGCTGAGCGTGTGCCGTATATGTCACTTTTTCTGTCCCTATGTTAATGAACTATGATTTTTTTTGAATGAGAATGATACATTAAGCTGATCTGATTATTAAAGGTACGATTGTTGCAAGTATAGTTTTGGGTGCACAACTAAAAGAGAAAAGGATATAATGTTGGCCAAATTGGATGTTGCTATAGCTTGGAGGTAGAAAAGGATTACCTTATTTTCCCCAGTACGAACCACAGGCTTCATTTTGTTGTTGATGGGGGGTGGGGGGAATTCCTTTGAGAGCTTATAGAAGGCCTTAGAGGAGGTTGTCTTTTCCCATTCCTAAATGTTGCTGGACTGTTCATCTTAGGCTTCGTAGGTCTCTACTAATACACTCGTACAAACAAATGCTTAAGTTTTATATCTACATTTGCAGCGGTCTTTATTCTTATTCATTGGCTTTTTAAATTACTTCTTTCAGGTACTTCTTCGTGGAGGATGAAAGGAGCTCCTTTCAAGAAGCGGAAAGCTGAACCACCTCCAGGTAATAGGATGATTGAATTCTGGTGTTGCATGCAAGGAAACCGCCTTTGAGATTTTTGATTTACTGTCTTACTTTTTAATCTCTCATTTGTTATAGGAGGCCCGCCGAAGTCTGTCCAAAGATCTGGTTTGACTACAACACCACCTTCAAAGGGAAGACCTCCAGCTTTATCTCCGTCTTCTCCACCCGAGCAATCACTTGCACCGGGTTCTCCTGTTGGTGCTATGAAAGGGCACACGGAATTTGAAGATACAGTGTCTACCCTACCTATGAATAGAACTGTCGGCTCAGAGAAAGATGCTACTGCCAGGGCAATTTCTAATGCTGGCAGGGGAAAACTAGGCCAAAAAGCATTGAAAGGGGCTCAAATGGGAGATCTGCGGAGCATGCTGATTTCTCTACTTGGGGAAAATCCTTCTAAAGCAAAGAGCCTTAAGGTTTGCTTTACTTACATCTTTTTTTTTTTTTTTTTTGGTCGAAAAGCAAACTATATTATATTACTGCTTAAGGCTAGCGGCCTTGAACCCCTTGATCAAAAGGCATACATAAACCTACGTTATCATGTTCTAAGATTAAAGATATACAATTTGGGGCAATATCAAAAAAATATAGGCCCTCATTTTTACCCAACGCCTCTTTCGCTAGAGTGTCAGCACACAGGTTATTATCTCTAGTAGTATGCACTATTTGCACACTCCAATTGTCCTTCAAAAGCTCTTGGATGCGACGAAGATCTGGATCCAAGTCCAAGGTTGTGACTCCACTTAGTGTCGAGCATAGGTTGACAGCTATTTGGGAGTCTGATTGGATAAGGATTTTGTTAAATCCTTGTTGTTTTGCAGCCTCCAAGCTTAGTCGGATAGCTGCAGTTTCGGCGGAACCCACAGAGGACCTGCCCAGATTACTGTAGAACCCCTTGACAAACTTGCCTTTATCGTTCTTGAATACTCCCGCAGCAGCACCAATGTTTGTTTCCCAACAGAAGGCACCATCACAGTTAACTTTCATCCATGAAGCTGGTGGTGGTACCCAATTTTCCCCTAATGGTCGGTGTAATCCCACCTTCTGTCGGGCCAAAATGTCTTGACTATGAGAGATCTCCTCTGTTTTACTCAAAATCATACGCACAGCCACCATTGTGTCCATTAACTCTCCATTAAAGATTCTGTTGTTCCTCCATGACCAAATTAGCCAACAAGCAACCCCAAACTTTATCTTCCAAGAATTTTGGTTTCCTGTAGCAGCCACATTCGTTGTGATCCACTCTTTTAACGGTAGGGTGAAGAAGTCCTGGTGATGATCATGAGGAAGTAACACCTCCCAGATACTCCTTGCAAAGGCACAATCCCCAACGCATTTAGAGTCGTCTCCGTATTCATTTTGCAGTATATTGCAGTTGGCTATTTACTTCTACGTTTTCTTTGTTATTGAGTGATAGTGGGATAAAGGGTTAGTTTTTTTTTTTTTTTTGCTCTTTTGTTATTTATTAATCATTTTTGGTAAAGGTTGTCTTCAACAATAATATTTTGGGCATGGTAAATGGCCTTTTTTCCCCCTTCAATTTAAAAAAATGGCGTTCTATATCCATTTGTTTCTTATATTTATCTCTTCCTGTCCGTTTTAGGCTTTAGAGAAAGCTATTGGAGATGCAATTCCCAATTCGGTGAAGCAAATTGAGCCCATTCTGAAAAAAGTAAGGTTTTTTTTTTTTGAAAAAAAAAAAATTTCACGCAAAAGTTTCGAGATTTATACACAAGATCTTACCTTTGTGAATATGTGCAAGATTGCTACGTATCAAGCTCCAGGCAATTATGTCCTAAAACCGGGGATTGAGATAGAGGGCTCCAAGAAACCACCGGTGTCTGAGAGTCAAAGGTAAGTACTAAATATGCAGATGTTTAAATTTGTTGTTTTATCTCTGACATATATTGTTTGTTTTTTTCACATCATGATGCAACTTTAATGCCCAGCTCTCTTTACTATTATATAAATCTATAATGCACGAAGTTAGGGTATAAGGATAAATGCATTAACCAGTATCAGGATAAAATCTGTTTGTACAAGCATATCTAAGGATATATTCTAGGAAAATCTTGTGGTTGAAAGTCTATAACTGGTTCCAGAGCTAAATATGTTTTAAATATTTGGTGGTGCATTCAGTTGTGTCCGGCATTTTTATTTTGTTTGTTCTTATGTTCTTTACTTCTCCAGTTCGCCAGAAGATAACCATCATTTGTCACCTGTTCAAGATGGCCGACATTCTGCTCTAGACAATATATTTTCCCTGAGTTCTGAACCCAATGAACTAGAACGTCCAGAACCAGCTAATAAATTTGAAGAAGCTAATAATTTGGTGGAAAGAGTTGATGTTTCGCATCAGGTAGCTGATCTTTTTGGTGAGAAAAAAGTATCCGATAATAGTGAAGGGCCTGTAGGTAGCTCCAGTGATAGTGGCAGTGATAGTGATAGTGAAAGTGAAAGCAGTGACAGTGGAAGTGACAGTGAAACACATAGTAGGAGTCGAAGTAGAAGTGCAGGGGGAAGTGGGACTGGGAGTAGCAGTGATAGTGATAGTGATGATGCCTCTACTAAAAGCAAGGAGCCATCTGATGAGGATGTGGACATCATGACGAGTGATGATGACAAACAGGTAAAACATCAGTTAGAGACTACTATGATTGGGACTCTTTGGGGGAATTTGGATGGTGAGCATGCTAGTATGTTGAGTGAGGAAAAGCAAGATGGTCATGTCTCTGATTTGATTGAAATAGAAAGAGATTTCCCAGAAGATCAACCTGTTGGGGGAATGGCTGCTCCCAGTGATTCAGTTCGTAATCCAGAAGGTCATAAGGCTGTTGACAAGACTGCTCCTCCTTCGTACTCGGATCATGAAAAACATGAATTCATAGTAAAGAATTATGGAGAATCAGGCAATGATTCAAAAGACGGAGTTAGGCATGGGCACTCGGACAGCTCTGAGAAGTCATCTAGAGGCAAATATAAGAGGGCTTTAGAAGAAAAACTAGAGGATAAGCCAGACCGTGGTAAGAAATTGAAGTCTGGGAATTCACAGCAACTTCCGGTTTCTGGATCTAGAGCAGCTGCTTTTCAGGCATCCCATCAGAATGCTTCTCCTAATAGGCCTTTTGAAGACCTTACAACGGGGCCCAATAATCAAGTGGCTAACAGATCAAGGAAGGAGATTAATTCGAGGTCTGGATCACACAAAAGTTATGACCAAACAAGTTTGGGGAAATCGATGTCAGATTCGCAGCACCCTATTCAAAAATCAATTGATTCCAGTTCGCGCATAAAAACTTCTATTCCAGCAGAAAGGCAAGGTAAACATTCCGAGAACATAGGACGCGGTTCTAAGCAGATTGATAAATTGCACCAAGCAACTGATGGCTTATCATTTCAGAAGGATAAACTCAACAGAGAAATGCCTGATGTTTATGCTTCTAGTGGCCACAAGGGACTCGCCAAAGTCTCCAAGGAAGATTTTCTAGAGAAACAGATGACTCCAGCTGACACCCAACACCGGAAGCACGAAGCATTTGGCAATTCAAAAGATGTTGGATCAATTTTGAATTCTCCGAGGGATGAGAATTTAAGTTTTAGGGAGAGATCTGCTGTGAATGAGCGACCAAATGTACTTCAAAGAGAACTCTCAGATTTGGAGTTGGGTGAATTACGTGAATCTTTACCGGAGGAACAATCAGGACTGGGTAAGCAACTCAACAGGAAAAACTCCTTCAAGCAATCTGAGAACTGGAAACCAGATTCAAGTAAAGCAAGATTGGGGAGTAAGAGTTCACCGAATGTAAATATGGATGGGGTGCCGAAGAGAGGAATATCAGAACATGTTGGTGGAGAAAATTCAAAACATCAGCCCAGGGGTATGCAAAATCAACATCCACGGTTCCAGTCAAGAAATGATTATGTTGATAATGTAACCAAGCCAAATAAAGCAGTGGAATCTAGTGGCAGGAATCGACGTGGTGATGCGGGAACATGCGTGGATGCCACCCCAGAAGCTAATGGAAGTTTTCCTGGTAAAGGATTGCCTACTATATCACAAGAACATGAAACAAGACAACTAGCGGCTGCATCCAGGAAAGACAGCAGAAGGCAGACATCCAATGCAATTCCTGACTTGAACGATAAGCAAAAGGATTTTTCTTTAACGGGGAGCAGTGATGGTTCTCAGAGGAGGATAGAATCTTCTTCAGATGAGAATAGTTGCCCTTATTCTAAATATGAAAAAGACGAACCAGAGTTTAAAGGACCAATAAAAGATCACTCTCAGTAAGTGTCGACATTAGCAGGCTTGTTTGCTGTTGTTTTTCATTGAGCTGCAAGCTTTTTTCAATGTGATTTCTTTTAATAATGTTGTGATGCAATTTCAATTTTTCCCGCTCACAGGTATCAAGAATATGTGGATGAGTTTCAAGAGAAGTATCCTGTTTATGCATCTCTGAACAAAACTTTGGAGGCCCACAGGTACAATTAGCATCCACATGATATAACATGAGCTCTTGATGTTTACAACTTTTTCCTTTTCTTATAAAGATTTTCTTTCCTTCTTTTATTTATTTATTTATTTTTTCCCCTCAGAGAAGAGTTTGTCAAGTATGAAAACGATCTAATGGCTTCGAAAGGGAAAGATATGGAGAGATACTATGCTGTTGAGCGGCAAATCAGGGAATCATATCGTCGTTGTGGAGAGGTATTATTATTAAGTTTTTTAAGTGTATCTCAATTCACAGAATAAGCCTTTATCTCATTATGTGGGATTGTTGTCTCAAACAAAAAAGGCCTCTCCATGGAGGTGTTTTGACATATGTAGATCCATTTATCATTATTGAATGAACTGCACTTATAAAAGTTAATAACTACTGTGCTTGAGATCACCTATGTCAGTTGTTTTCATTGTTTTTTCCCCCTTTCATCTGTTTAAATTGCTTTTCGTAACTAACTTTGACCAAAATGACAGAGAGTTAAACGCCTGAAGAAAACATTCCTTGTGCTTCATGAAGAATTAAAGGTGATCAATTTCCCATGATTTGAGTCACCATTCTCACTTCTACTTTCCTACTCTTTACAACATTGACATTGGTGATTTTGTTTCTTATGCAGCATCTGAAGCTGATGATTCATGAATATGCCTCTCCATACTTGAAAGACTTGAGGGATTGAAGGCTCTTGTTCGGTTGACAACATTTTTCTGGAGTCTCTCTTTTCGCTTATAGTTGAGGAGCCTGAGACGTTTTTCTGTAGATATAATTTATAGTGGTTGTAGGATTTAAGACGTGGCTTGGGGATTTGCTGTGTAGAGAAGAGGAGAAATACACAGATAGCAGCCAGTAGAGGGTGAAGTTTGGTGTTGCGCAGCCTTGGCATCAACAACTATGACGCAGGGCTAATATAACTGATCTGAAAGTTATTTGTAGATGTGATCTCAAATTCGCAATTGACTAATGCATTTTGATAGGTTTTGAAGCCCTAAGAAAAAGGGCGGGAATGTAGATTATTCAGTCTTGAGTTTGACTGTATGTATAGTTTGATTAGTTTTCTCAATCTCGATAGCAATTTTGTGATGTATTTATCCCCTTCGGTGACAATTTTGTTGTATCTTAGGCTCCCCCTTCGCAGCTGTAGTAGTTTAGGTATAAATTGTACCCCCTCATACCCTGCTTTGTACAGATTCTCTTTTTTTCTTTTGTTATTATATCATGAGTTCATGATACAGGCATTGCTAAAGAAGCTTGAAATTTGAGTGTTTTTTTTAAAATTTTTTTTTTGGATGATGTTATATAGGCGTTATATTATGTGATTACTTACAATATTTTCTAAGCCGTCACGTATGCATTCTTGGAGATACAAAGGTTCACAATAGGAAACGATGCGCTGTAAATAGGGAGAACAAATATTATACTCACTGACGTATCTGATATGGTGAAGAGTTCAAGCTGGGAAGTAACCGATTCCAGTGGCATCTTTGGTGGCTAAAGGAACTCGTGAGAGTTGTATTTATGGCTTTTAACTGGGATGTAACCCACTCCAGTATATAAAATTGATCACTAACATTTTGTGATATATGTTACTTTTTAATCTAGTAATGTTTTTTTTTAAAAGGGAAATTTTCATCCCAAATTTTGCCAATAAAAGAGTTGCATGTTTTTTGCCTGGTGTCACTTCTGAAAAAGACATTGATTAGAAAAAAGATGCCACCTTCTATTCTTATAAAACGCCTAAACACCCTTTTGAAAACTTGTCCTACCAAACCAAAGCACATATATAAATAGATTGGCCTATCAATACTAGACACACTCAAAAGGGGGCATAAGATCGGTCTTCAGCTTATATCAGCAGCAAATTTTAACAAGTGCAGGCATTGTTAAAGCTACGGCTCTTTCCATTGAAAATCATTAAATATCTTCGCCTGAATCTTCTGAAAGTATTGAAACCCAAGCCTCTCTTGCCTCTTGTAACCTAATCAAAGCTTGCGCCCGAGCAAACTCTGCATGTTCAAACCTCACCCACAAAGCTCCATTTGGAGCCTCCATGAGAAACTCCTCTAATGCTTTTTCTGCGTGCTCCACTCTCGAAGCACAACCTGTTCAGCCTCTTTGACTCTCCTAATCTCTTCAGCTGTCGGGAACTTTCTCCTAGCCTCCGCTGCCTCTTCTGCCCTTCTGCAGGCTTTTCTCTCTCGAACCATAGAACTGTTGAGCTGACGCTCGTCTTTCCACTCCCGCCCAGATTTTCTGTAGCGCTCCTTTAGATAATCAGCTATGCTGTCATCCGAGACAACTTGTTTCACCCCTCTACAGCCAACATTGAAGACTTCCATACAGGAAAAGAAAAAGACACTCATCAGCAACGGAGGGAGGGGGAGTGTAACAATGAAAGTGGCAGATTTGGCAAAACAAGTAGATTTAGGGATTACAAACTTACCACTGACAAGTCCAACACTCTCCGGCACGCAATTTGCAATAAAAGAAAGAGTATTTTTGGCAAAATCTTTAGCTTCATCTATGGACGTAAAGCGAGAAGGACTACAGAAAACCCAGAGAAGGGGAAAAAAAAGTTATTCTTAAAAGAGTAAAGAAATCAGGGGCAACACATGATCTGAATAAAAATAGAACTCAAAAGAAAAGTTAAAGCAATTTAAATAAAGCGTGTCTGATCGATGCATGTTTATGCCTTACAACTCAAAGTAGGGAGAAGAGACATACTTGCGATCAAATCCAAAACAGGAACCACCACCATATCCAGTTCCAGCCATTGAGGATTCCTCGAATTCCCCTTTACCATTCAACTTAAACAGGGCAGCTCCCTACGGAAAGACAAATCATGACCAAATTCAAAGAGTCATAGGGAAAAACCAAACAGGGGAGAAATTCTAATTCTTACCAATTCAGAATCCCACCCAGCAATTAGTATTCCAAGTGAGAAACGGTCATTGCTGTCAGGTTTCTGCGACAAAAGCTCAGCCAGCCACTTGGATGCTCCAGAAGCAGAGAGTTTTCTCCCCATTTCGCGTTCATATTGGACGCACTAAAACACAAACAATGTCCCACATGAATTACAACAATCAAAACTTTATAGGAAAGGAAAACTTTAGTTTTAATCAGCTTCAAATCCATGTGGAAAAATTTGCTCTATTCATCACAATTCACAAAATGTAACCAATTGATCAAAACTAACTTTGGGATGAATGTTTGATACACAGTGGTTGCTCTCTATTCCTAACAAAATGTCATGTCGTGTCAAAATCAACTATTATTTGCACTAAAACCATTTCTTCACAGTACCTTCCTGGGGAGATGTCTCCGCAAAATCTTGCGTGAACGTGCGCAACCACCAGAGAAAGTCGCAATCAGGTGTGAGTGGAGTATAACAAAGTTCTTTGGAAGGGAATCATGTCCTAATTTCTTCTTTGATCTCTTGGAATGATCAAGTGTTACCATAACATCATTTTCTTGGTTATAAATGAAAGCCACTGTTGTGGTTCCCTTTTCATACTGAGAGTAAAGATCCTGCATAAAAAACACCACCACCAAGGAAAAACAGAAAAGGATACCCCAAATGAAAACTATTTCCAAAGATAAAATATAGGCGATGATAATAATAATAATAATAATAATAATAATAATAATAATAATAATAATAATTGCATAAAAGGGGGAGAAAAGGAGAGAAAAAAAAAACAACTAACCTTCGTCTCTTTTCACCAGAAAGTAAAGGGTATCCTCCATCGGATCCGTTGTTTCCACCTTCAATACAAGCAAAACAAACAAAAGTAATGAAACCAAAATTTAAATAACGGGAGGAAACTGAAATAGCAAAACGAGGAATCCGGCAAGGAGACCTTGTTTCCCCTCTACTTTTTGTGCTTTGCATGAAGTATTCGAGTAGACTGTTTAAAGCTGAGATAGAGAAGGGAGGTTTCTGATTCCACCCTAAATGTAAAAAGGTACAACTTACTAATCTCAGCTTCGCAGACGACTTGATTATTCTTTGTAGAGCTAATAAAGCAACAGTTGGTAGAGTAAAGCTTGTACTTTATGAATTTACTGCAACTTCTGATCTGCATGCTAATTTGAGTAAGTCGCATATATATTGGGGTGGAACTGATGATAGTACAAGAGAGGAAATTCAGAAAATAACAGGCTTCAGTATGGGGGACTTTCCAATGAAGTATTTGGGTGTCCCATTATCCCCTGTTAAGTGGAATGCATTAGACTGTCAACACCTTGTAGATAAGATCACTCTAGGATCAAATGCTGGTCGACGCGGCATTTATCTTATGCTGGGAGGGTGGTGTTAATAAACTCTGTTTTCTTGTCATTGCAAACTTACTGGGCAACTATTTTCATCATTCCAAAGAAAACTATCACTCAGGTAATAAGGGTTTTCAGAGAGTTTTTTGTGGGGAAGGAAGGAGAATGGACGAGTCTATGCCTTAGTGGCTTGGGATGAAATCTGCAGGCCAAAAAAGTTTGGAGGTTTGAACATTCAGGAATCAATGGTATGGAATCAGGCAGCCTTGGGAAAACAAGTTTGGGATTTGGCAACGAAAAAAGACAACCTTTGGGTTAAGTGGTGCCATGAGTACTACATCAAAGGAAAAGACTTTTGGGAGTATCAGCCACCCAAGGGTTCATGTTGGCATTGGCAGAAAGTGTTGAAAACTTGAGATAAACTGAAAGAAGGTTTCTGTCAAGGTAAATGGCTGGCTGAGAAGAATGGATGCTATACATTTAAGTCAGGTTATGCCTGGCTACGAGGTGCTGCTCAGAAAATGGTTGAAGCTCCCATAATATGGAACCTGTATAATGTTCCTAAACATAGTTTCATACTGTAGCTGGCTATGAGGAGAAGATTGCTTACTGCTGACAGGATGCTCAAATTGAATATCATTATTCAATAGGTGCAATGTGGTTTTTGTAGTTCTGCTGAGGAGAGCCTAGATCACTTGATGTTTCAGTGCAGCTACTCTAAGTAGGTATTAACAGAGTTGACTAGCTGGATAAAGTGTAGGAAGGTGCCATAATGTTTAGCTTTATGGAGGACTAGACTGTTGAAACTTTGGCGCCAAAGTAGATGTAAGCAGAGGTTTGGCAGCTGCTGTTTACCATAGTTGGAAGATGAGGAATGAAGTAATGCACGGCAAAACTTGCTTACCAGTTGATTTGCTAATTAAAGAGATCAAACAGGAAGTGAAGTGGAGGTTTAATGCTTGCTGTAAGAAAATTAGATAGGTAGATAGAGTCTACTTTGAGAGACTGGAAATTGTGTTATGATAGTAGTTAGTTTGTATTCAAAATGATGTAATAGTTGTCTGGTTGCCGATTCTGTTTGTAAATTGTTTCTGGGTTGTTGAAGTTTAATACAAGTTAACCTTTTCATCAAAAAAAAAAGAAAAAAAATAGCTGAGAATTTTTAAAAGGTCGTGAAATTGTTTTCTTATTTTATTTTTTTACAATGATGTATATTTAATGTTTCTTTTGAAAATGGTCATTAACATTTCATAAGCAAAAAAACCACGTGGATTCACTACACAATTTCTGATCTTTTGAAACTACCTAAGCCTAACAACCCATATAACAAAATACTAGGTTCTCTCCCGTGCAACACTGGATTCACTCCCATGTGTTGCACGCAATATATTAAAATAATTATTAGTTGTGAACAAAATACAATGTACTCTATTAATGGTTGATTATAAAATAAAATATAAAGAAAAACGGATAATACAAATAATAAGTGAAAAATAAAAAATGAGATAAAAAAAAAGTGTGAAAATTAAGTGGTATTAGTATTATTATTTATAATTAAAAAAAAATTGGATGAAAGTTGAGTTTCATTCCATTGAGTAATGATTATAGGTACAATCGCAATATTTCTCCAAAATTCACTACAGCTAGGATACTTGTTTGCTACAAATATTAATCAGTACAAAATAAGATCACCGCATAGAAAACCAAAATCTAATCTGTTCAATTGAATTTGGGGCAAATATTCATCAGCTCACACCATTGCCTGTTCTTACAAGTATTCTTCATTTTAGTAATCTTGGCCAGATTCATCTTCAAGGAGAAGAAAATACTATGGATCACCTCTGATTAAGATACTTTCTTTTGATGAAATATAAATTCAGACACTTTTTTCTACAAAAATATAAATTCAGACACTTTGAGATTAAATATAATAAAAATATTTCTTTTGAATTTTTTTTGTAGTTTTATCCGTTAGATTTTAACATGTTTTTAATAAGATGGATATTACAATGATTGATTTTCAATATAAGAAGAATGGCTTATTTGGATTTTCTCGTCATTTCACTTGCAAAATTTCAATTTTTTTTTAAAAAGAATAATTGGCATTAGAGTGATTCAATTTGAATGTAAAAAATATATTTCATTTGTTTTGTTTTTTTTTTTGTAAATTTACCCGTGAAATTTCAACATTTTTTTTATCATATACGGCACCAGTTTTTTTTTTTTTGAAAAATAAAATATTTAATTGAACACACATAATTAAAATTTCTCTATTTGAAAATAAAATGAGCTGATTTTTACAGATAAATGATTTCTTTCAGTAAACTAACTTCATTGTTGATTAAGAGATCATTCAGAATTAATGCATATTAATGGTATGATTCTGATTGTTTTATATTTTTGATTTGGTCAAATATTTCATTAATTTCCTGACAATCAATAGAAAAGTCAATCATATTTTTTTTTCTTATAAAGAGATGGAAAGTTTCAGTATAATTAGGTAGGAGGAAAATTAGTTTTACAAAACGACGTCGTTTTGGTTGGGCGGGAAACGGATGCATGAGAGCGCAACACATAAGCTTTTTTTTTTTCTTGGACTATTGTTTTAATAGGATACTAGATGTTAAAGCCACACGATGTGCGGGGTTAATTCATATACATTTATTAAAAATTATTTTAAAACCCACCAAAATGATATTATTTGAGGTAATTTTCCAAAAACTCAACAATACCACCCTCATTTTTATTTTATTTTTAATTTATACTAAAATATCCTCATTCACCATGGTAAGAAAATTAATTAGGAATTAATAAAAATTACTTTAAGTTAAGAAAAACAGAATTTGAGAAAGATAAACTTTGGATTAAAGTTAGAACTTTGGAAACATTTTAATGACGTCACTGACCCAAATTAAAGAAAGATTAAGTTCATTCCATTTTGAATTACTTTAATATATTACAAAATCTTCCAATCTAAGTGACTCTCTTCATCTTCTAGCTTTCACCGAGCCCAAATTTTATTTATTATTTTTAAGAAAAAAAATTTTTCTGCTAAATAATCAAATTCCTGATTTCCTTCCCCATTCTCCGGCAAGAACATGAGATTTTAAATCCTCATTCAATATGTATATTTAGTCTCCTATAATTTTCCAAGTTTATGAACTGTTTATAAAATATTAAAAAAATACATCAAATGTATAAATTTGTAATTCTTAAAAAAGCATACAAATTAAGATTGCAACGCGATCTATTAGAAAAAAAAAAAAGAGGAATAGAGAGAGAAGGCAATTGTGAAAGTAATTGAGATTGTTTAGGGTTAGAACTGATTTGTTTTCCTTTAAATATTCTGATATAAGCATATATATTCCTTTTTAAAAAAATCAGGAAATTACGGTAGTTGATTTGTTGACAATAACTATATTATACATTTTTCGGTTATGCTTTTGTTGATTTGAAAATAATTTAAGATTTCTTTTAGGTTATACTATTTTTTGTCATTGCATGATAGTATGACTATTAGTATAATTATATCATTTACTCTCTCCCTTCCAAAATAAGTGTCGTTCTAGAATTTTCACACAGTTTAAGAAAATATTAAATATGGTAGCTAAATTACTAGAATATCCTCAACCAACCCCATTAAAATAAATGCTCACCAATAATATTATTTCTTTTGAGGGTATGTTTGGAAATTTTTGAGAAAAAATGCATTGGAATTCGAAAACGACACTTATTTTAAAACTTCTCCATTTTGCTAAAACGACACTTATTTTAGAATGGAGAGAGTACATGGAAACGTATTTTTAAATTTCATTATGGAAACAATAACTGAAAATTGAAAGTTCCAAAAAAAAAAAAAACGTCCCGTTCTTGAAATATCTTCAATCCTCTCAATTTGACATATGAAAATCCCAAATTCGGAAAATGTTTATGTCAAATTTATATACAAGGGAAAAAATCATTACAATCTCCTGTCTTAACTCTTAGCAGCGTTAATTTGAGGCCGATCGATAGAGAAAGTCTAAACATCTACATAGGCCGGTATGTCTACAGGTTCATCCCTATAAAAATAATCACAAAAAAGCAGTACCAAGAGTTATCAATAAACCAAAGAGTATACAATGCATTTGTGCAAAGATGAAAACCTAGAAATTAATCATAAGGGGCCGATGAGACCTACAAACATACTTTAACTCAAGTATGTTGAGTTATAGAAAAAGAAAATGAATCTACATGTAGACATTGCCTGAAAATTTATGTGAATGAAATCACCGAAAAATAAACCAAAAAAATGAAATGAAAAAAAAAAAAAGCGGACTACATCAACGGAGCAAGAAGATAAATTGAACAATCACAAACCACCGAAGCATACCTTGGATGCTAAATCTGTGATTTTGATGCCTTTTACTCATAGAGATCCTAAAACAAAAACACACAGTTATGATCAAATCAATATCAATTAATAAAAAGAGAGAATTATTGACAAAGATTTTACGAGAGAAAATTCTCTTTATATTCTTTCGGCAGAAACCTCTTCCACCCATCTTTACGGATTGTTAAATTTTATGCTGTCGAAGTTTAACTTTGAATTTTGGGTTCTAGTCAATTGTTTGGGAGGGTTATAGCATGATACTACGCATAACTTTGAATTTATCATTTTTTACGTTTTTGGGTTTTTGGGAAGATGGGTTCTAATTTGATCTGATCGTGAAGGAGGAGGAGGAGGAGGAGGGGAACGCTGACAAGTTGATGAACCAGATCATGGAACTCAAATTCACGGCCAAGAGCTTGAACCGGCAAGCCAAGAAGTGCGACAAGGACGAGAAGGCGGAGAAACTCAAGGTGAAGAAAGCCATCGAGAAAGGGAACATGGACGGCGCCAGAATCTACGCCGAGAACGCCATCCGGAAGCGCAGCCAGCAGATGAATTACCTCCGCCTGGTGGCGAGGCTCGATACTCAGGCCAAGATGACCACCATCAGCAAGTCCATGTCCCGCATCGTCAAATCCCTCGACTCCTCCCTCGCCACCGGCAACCTCCAGAAGATGTCCGAAACCATGGATCAATTCGAGCGCCAGTTTGTCAACATGGAAGTCCAGGCTGAGTTTATGGAGGGCTCTATGGCCGGGAGCACGTCGCTGTCCACGCCGGAGGGTGAAGTCAACACGTTGATGCAACAGGTCGCCGATGATTATGGTCTGGAGGTTTCCGCTGGTCTTCCTCAGCCGGCTGCTCACGCTATTCCCACCAAAAACAGTGAGGAGAAGTCGATGAGGATGATCTCTCCCGCCGTCTCGCGGAACTCAAGAATCGTGGATGATTTATTAACTGTATTGTGAGCTGCTGAGCGGTGGAAAGATTTTAATAAGAATTTGTTTGGGGTTAAGCAACTAATGACTTTTGAGTTATATGCATGCACTATTGATCTGATATATGATCCTGCAAATTGTGTTTGTATTCACCCCTTCGAGTACATTTTAATTATATGAATAATCAGTACTTCTACTGCTGCTTCTAAATCATCAATGATTTATTGTGCATCTATGATTTATCTTGGTATTTTGTTTTACGGTTTCATAGACGATGAATGTATAGTGTTTTCTATTGCCTTGTTCTATGAACTTGATTGGTAGATGATTGGAAATTTGCGAATTTTTTGCTTCATCATTTGGTAATTTGACTCTGAAACCTCTGATGATGAAGATGAACTTTTTATAATCATGGTTTTACACTGCAAGATAGTATATTTGGTAACCATTTTTAACTAGACTAGATTTTCCAACAATGTCAAACCCATAAACATGGAGACCATTATGCATTCTCAACAAATACTAATTTACATGTCTTCCTCCATTATGCATCTCAACAAATACTAATTTACATGTCTTCCTCCGAAAAATTGTATTAATTAGGCTAAACTCCTAGTTTACATCCATCTTCCTCGCCTAAAGCTACTTACCACAACACACTCGCAGAAACACGAGGATAACCTTACACTACAATATGTTACAGAGATAGTACAGCAAAAACTACCTTTGCTCCGTTCCTGCTTAACCATCAAGGTTCAAGGACGCTCTTGCGTATTCTTTCCGCTGCAAACCAACCTAACCAGCTTGCGTTTTGAGGTACTACTAAGAATGTGCCCGAGCATCGATGCAGCTTCAATTATTTCATCTAAACACACCCTTGATCATTCATACTACTGGCAATGGCCAGAAATGATGAGATAACTGCGCCATGTAGCAATGCCCTGCACAAGGAAACACCGTCGACTCAATATTTGAAGCCATTGAAAACTTGAAGGACTCATTGGGGTAGTGGTTATTAAAATGGGAAATTTGGCCTTACTCAGGACTTTCTTTCTGATACCCAAAATCAGATGCTGCTTTGACTACCCTTTGGTAAGTCTGCTTCACTGCTTCCTGCCGTTGTAATAGAAAGGAATGTTTAGAGTCAGTATTATTATTCAGGGCACAGTGAAAATTGGATCAAAATAACCAAAATAGAGCAATTTCTCACATAACCGATCATAAAAAGAGAAGTCACCTGCAGTTTAGACTCAAATTCTTCAGGGGACCAATTCATATTACATTCTCGAAGTTCAAGTTCGCCAGCGACAACCTGCACTACAAGGTTGGAAGCATTAGAATCCGACAAAAGCAACTATTACATGATGTAAGGGAAAAATATTCTTCCAGCAGAATTATTTTCTATTAAGGTAAGGCCGCTTCACACAATTTTTAATATATGACGTAGCAAGAAGAATTTTGACGTGCATGCCTGTATAAATCCCCTCTATGGTAATTGAAATTTTTCTGAGAAAATACCCCTATGGTTATAGAGGAAAATGTACGCCTGGTTCAGGTGCAGTAGAGTAGAGATAGATAAGAAGCAGCTAAAAGTTTTATTGCAAGTAGGATGACTTTGTTACAAAAGATTGACATCCAATGATCTATCTAAAGGAAAGGAAATAATATACATACACAAAAGATGAATCATACCCCACCCACTCCAGTAGCCAAAGCAGGTGCAACAAGTACATTTGCTTTTCTGAGAACATCAACTGCTTCAGGATTACAGGGCATGATTGAACCTAAAATAAACTAATATCAGGAAATATCCTCTGACCAATATCATAAGAGAGCTTGCAAAATAGAAGGCATGGCAATAAAAAGAAAAACTTTTGTTCAGGGAAGATTATTAGATTTTAAGCAGTATGGCAAAACCTTCTATAACTACACGACAGCCACCGTTCACCAAGTTAATTGCATCAGATTGATCCAGCTCATTCTGAGAAGCACATGGGAATGCAATGTCACACCTTTCCCCCCAAGGCTTTGCTTGATCATAGTACTTCGAACGCGCATACGTTTTTGAGTAGTCCCTGGATGTGTGATACATGCATCAATAAAGATATAGAGAGATAGGATACTCTGAAAAAAAAAACTCCGCCACAATGGGATTTATGCACATGGGGAAAATCTCCCTCCCCAACCCAGATGGGATTTAAAGCCTGAACCTCTAAGAGATCCACTCAGAGACTCTACCACCAGGCTAAGATAGACAGTTGGCTACCGATCAGATCAAGCTCATCAACAATACAAACCTCAAACTTCTCTGCTGTATTTTGATCTCTCTTAGAAATGAAATTTTCATGAAGTCAAATCCATCTTCATCCACCAAATAACCCTTGGAATCTGCACCATCCACATTCAGATATGATTATGACCTATACTGGCATCAATTTCTTCAATCAAATTCTTGCAATCACAAGATAATAAGTTGCAAAGTAACTGAGTATGAGGTAAAGTGGACAATCTATCGAGTGAACATCTATATTCAATGAAAAAGTTTTAGACTTTTAGTCAAAAGAAAAGAGGTTAATGATCCGTGTTCCCAGGCGGTGGAACCCAATTAGGATTTTCACCAGAGCTTTTAAAACAAGATAATTTCGAAAATTTAACCCCTCATAATTCTTGGATCCTCCTAAGGATATTATGAGTAGTATAAATGGCTTGTTGGGCAGCTGTTCTACGGACTTCTTAAGAGAAGGAATCTAAAAGCAAAGTGACAACATCCAGGACTGAAGTTCACCTGATACAGTTATAGGGAGCGCACCATAAGCTATAAGCTTCTCCAAGACGTGCATTGCAATTTTTCCAGAGCCACTAACTACACACCTGAAGTTGAGAAGAATAAGGGCAAGGAAATCAAGAATAAAAGTCTCATTTAAGCCAAATAAACATCTGGCAGCTGTCATTTAAACATGGTATGATCACATCGAAGCTACATGATGAGTAAGTAGCACAAGAATAAATTCATACGTTAGTAATGTTACAGAATCGGCATTATAATGACTTCAAGTCATTCCCTAAAACAGCTTCCTTTCCAACATTGTCAAATTCAAAAGAAAAACTGCAGTAAGATTTAGGGCGATATCCTTGAATTTACAAATGAGCAGAAAAACAATCGGACGAGACCAAGTAAACCCACTCCGTACATTATTTTGACCATAAACCTTACACAGGTAAAAACTGTAGCTAAGTATACAAATATTTTTGTTCAAAAGATACATGATATTCGCCCAAAAAGAAACAAAATAATAATAGCACTTAAAGTCTTAAACTATTCTGGGATTAAGGATAATAACATTATTGCTAAAGCTAGCATTCATATAACAGGCTAATGTCAAATGATGTTATTTTGTGAAAGATATCAAGCAAATAATGTATACCAGAAATGCGTAGTCAACATCACAAAAAGGCCGATGTAGGACAGGACTGTTATCAAAGTAATTCTACTAAATACAAAGAAAAAAGAACGCGATGCAGCACAAGAAGCCATGAAAGAAATTGCTTTTCAAGGAAACACGGAAACAATAGAAGTTAAGAATGGAACCTTAATCCTTTAAGTTCTTTGTTCATGTCAGCAAGAATAAGTTGTGCAAAGAAAACCTGCACAATGGACAAGAAATATAAGTTGAATTTGGCCTTTACGTGCATATGTATCATACTGCTATCCAGAAGAAAATTCAAATTTCTCACCATTCCATACCCAGTAGCCTCCGTTCGCAAGCTAGTCCCTGACCAATTTACTCTGGGCCCGGCAAAACTTCCCTGCATACGGCACAATTATGAAATCATATCGAGTAGCACACCAATGCCATTGTGACTATCACGAGATATTTCATAGAAACATATTGACAGGGAAGAAATTTCACAAAGAGAAACCAACATTTACATATAAAATACACTTGAAATGAATACCAGCATGGATCGCTACTAAATTATCCACCAGAAACACAAAAGTAAACACAAAACTCAAATTATCCATCGCGATGTGAGAAACTTCGACAGTAGTAAAACCTAAAACTTAGTAGCAGACATGAACAATCAAGAAGCACCAAATCTCAGGACAACAGAGAGCTTGCCTGAGAATGACCAGTCAAACGTCGATATTGCCCATAAAGATAACCCATTTCTCGGGTACCAACACCCATCTCTTCTGAAGGAAGATCCTATGATTAAAACGAGCTGACTTAGAACAGGAAATTGGGGAAGTTGAGACAAATATATAATTGGGAAATTGTTAGATTTACCTTGTCAGGACCCAAATAGCGGTATAATTCATTCATAAAACTATGGCAGAACCTCATGATCTGCATACTCCATTCAGATATAGACCGCATAAAGATTACAAATCCATAAAAGACTAATCACAAGTGACATTGGATGAGGAAGGCAATACCTCATTCTCACTTTTCCCGCTGGGATCAAAATCAGATCCACCAGATGAACCCCCTAGACGGTATGGACACAATGCATTCTTCAAAGTCTGCAGAGATGAAATATGTAAACATGAAATTCTCAACTTGCAGCAATTACTAGCACACCAACATTTTGGAATCTAATATGAGGACGGTTTGATTTAATGTCAAAGTGCTGTACATCAAGAAACGCACCACTCCGCTACACTTATGATGTACCCAGAAATGCTCTTCCATGAACAATGTTAGGACTTTGCTCACCATATTATTTGTTGAAGTGAGTAAATCACACGAAGGTTAATAATAAGATTTAAGGAAGATGATCAAAGAAAGAAATCGAAATCCACTACTCCCCCACGTAATTTGGCAATAACCACAGCTCAGAGCAAAATCTTTGCTAGTCAGTTTGCAGTACGCAATGCATATTGGGTTTTCAGCCCCATATACAAGCTTAAGCATTATCACTTGCAATGAAAGAATTAACATATTTCTTTTGCAGGTGCATAACAAGACGTAAACTAAATGAAGCCTAAGTATAAGTTCAAACAAAGATGTCCCTTGAGGATACTAATGATGGCATTAAAGGTTAATGCAGAATAAAGGGAAAATGAAGGATGGTTTTGAGCAAGCCTATACATAATTCATCTAAATAAGAATTGCACGCCTATACATAATTCATCTAAACCATCCTACACATCAGGTTGAGATTTAATGTGTAGGATGAGATTTGGTCATCAGGTTGATGTAAAGCTTGGGTTCATGTTATGCTTGGTGAACGTAATCGTGCATTGGTCTTTTGAGAATATAATTTACTATTTACCTTCTTTTTTAAAAATAAAAATAAAAATACATAGATAGGGCTTCCGTATCTATTGGCAGCAACAACTGATTATAACTTTATGATTGAAAATTTAACTCCAAAGTTATTAAAAAAAAAACAAAAACCGAAAAATAAAGGAAAAAGGCATCAGACATTAAAGAATATCAAAAGTCCGAAACTTTTCCAGGTCATGCAAGTAACTCACAATATCAAGTTCACCTCGTACCAATGGGTAAATTGATGGGCCCACATTCAAAGAAGTAATATAAAACAGTTAAAAAGATCATCAATACCTGCTCAAAGCTTAGGAACTTGGCAATGCTCAAGTTCATTTTAGGATGAAAACGAAGTCCACCCCTACATGGACCCATAGTCTGGTTAAACTGAACCCGAAATCCACGGTTGATATGTGTATCACCCCTATCATCAATCCAAGGAACTCGAAAAATGATTGTACGCTCAGGTTCTAATAACCGCTCCATGGTGCTGGCATAGCTACAACATTTCAAAACCATAAGTAACCACTGAAGCAAGAAAGAAGCATACGGCCTCTTGTTGTAAATTTGTACACTTGCATTTATGAAGTGACAGATTTGACCTTACTTGGAATTTTTCGAGATCACTCTTTCTAAAGCATGGACCACTTCTTGAAGAGACTGTATAAATTCAGGTTCATGAGGATCCCTTTTCAAGGCAGCTTCAACAATTGATCCAGCTGTTTTCGACATTAGGGCTTTTCCCAGCGTTCAGCCGCCATCCATAGTCAATCAAAATAAATAAATAAATAAATAAATAATACATAAATAAAAAGAAACACGGTTAAGAAGACGTAAAGCGGTTAGCTCATATGCTACTAAGAAATGTTTCAAACAAGCTAGGAAAGACCTTCAATTTCTACAGCTACTACAATAAAAAGAGATATAAACAAGAGCTAACCTTTAACATAAATTGGTTTGTCAACAATGATCTTATCTTTGGAGGCCATCTGGAGACGAAGAGCCTCTTTGTGGAGCAAACTGTTATTATGCTCCTCTAATGCACTCATCTGCATATTTCTGCTACCTTCATTTCCATAAGGATTCCTTCTGTGCTTTCGACCAAACTCTCTGCAAACAGAGCAGAATATTCTGGCTGTCCCCTCTTTCACATCAACGTATGCCCACTTATACGTATCGGCCCATTCCTCTCTCCACCTCTTAACAACCTTCTTTTTCCTCTTTGATTGTTGCGATTTTGCCAGGTCTTGATCCTCACTGGCAGTTTGAGAAACCATTAGCTGCTGCTTATTGTCCTCACGCTCTTCAGCTGAGGATTCCCGAGTTGGATCACTAATAAGAGAATTAGCAGCAAACGCAGGGTCATCATCTCCGGCTCCTATTTCCAAGTCAATCTCTTCACCCAGCTCCCTTACCACAAGACTGTGTCTTTGGGCCTGCTGGATCAAGTTTATATCATCCATAGCTGAATTCATCCCAGCCCCACCAGCTGGAAGCAACATTCAGCATGACAACAAAAGCCCTGATTCTGCATCATCTAACAAATTTCCCTTATCATTTCAAAATACAAAATAGCTGACGAAAAGATACAAAAATCCAACTTGCATTAAAACATCAACGAAAAATATATCCTATCCACAAATTTACTCTAAAATTAAGTGCAAGGTCAGGCATCATTAGTAAAGGTTGTAAAATGTAATACAGATTCCTTGATTCCATATCTGATATGCAATTGAAGCTTTTCGGTAGAACGGCCCAAAGACATAAATGCAGTACGATACAAAGAAATTCAGGATAAACGATAGGAAAAAAATTTCCAAGTTTCATTTTTTAATCTTTTCTCAACGGAATACTATGGTAACAACTGTAATTGACGCACCCCGCCTCTGGAACCAAATTTGATGAGAACAACAAAAGGGACCAAAGAAAAAAAAAAAAAAAAAGAAAGCCCAACTCGAAAAATAGTTTGAAATGATCAACTTCAACCTTTAATTCGAAGTCCCCAGTTCCTCTTAGCCTCCTCTGAGCTAACTCCTTATTTTTCTTTTTCACACCAGGTAGCAGTAATTTTGAGCGCGCGTAAAACAAAATCGCGATAACACGTGAAGGAGGGAGCTGCTTTATTCTCTCAGTTTGACGGGGTTTGATTTTGAAGACTTGAATTGCAACTGGAATCAAACGGAAATGGAAATGAGGTTAAGGGGCGAGTCAAGAAAATGGTGATAATTTTTTTGGGAGAGAAAAGGAAACACCATTCGCAGTTCTTTCTTCTTTTTGTTTCAATAATTTAACGTAATATTTTTCTTTATCTCTCTTTTATTTTTTCGGGATTGGGGGATTACGAGAGGGGGGAAATAGGATAAACATTAATTTAAGAAATTACTATAATCTGGTTAACGAAATAGTTTAGACATGATTCAAAACATTAGAAATTTTCACTATAGAATTCCCTTACGTTTGCTCATCTCAAGTCTCAAACATTTTTTCTTTATTTATTGTCCGAACTTACTCTTTTTTATTTTATTATTTCCGAGGGAATATAAAGAAATTAAAACTAGCAATAATGATCGATTATTGAAAATGAAGTGTGATTTCGGATAAAAATGAGCAAGGATAGCAAATCCATATTAAAAATGAGCAAGGAAATGATAATTTTATTCACATTTAGAACTAGGTAAGATAAGGAAGTAGAGTATTTTAAAGCTTAATTAAAGTGAGAATCAACTACTGCACCAGCTCACTGGTTACCAGAATAAGAGTATCTATTACAGCAGAGAAAATTGTAACATAATGCTTCCCAACTCCCAAGCAAGGACCTCTACAGCTAAACCAGAAAAATGGAAGAAAAACCAATTGCAAGTGTTTTGGCAGAGCATGACAACAACAAATGTTCGATCCCTCATAGTAGGCACTTCTTGTAGTGGCAACCTGCCCGAACAACGGGAGAGAATCAGTTCAAAGCTTCAAGTTCTTCCAAGCAAATCTCCACATCTCACCTATACTCAAAACTTTCTTCAGTAAAAGTACCCAAGAACTTGACCACCGACATTCTGTCGAATTGCCTCTTCATGGTCCATCACACCGTTTGGCGTACTTATTACTACATAGCCCCACTGCATGAACAAATAGAAATTCAAAACTAGAATGTCGCCTCCACATCAAGCGATTTGGACCACAAAGAAGATGAAGGAAAACAAGAGCTTAAAGAACATCAATCTCTTCTCAGTTCATAATTCATAGTAGATCATATTAAATGAGAAGAGAAGTTCATCAGTTAACTAAGCGGCAAAGAACCTGTCTATAAGCCAAGCAAATTCAATCTCCAATCTCACAAACGCAGAAGAGGGAGCAAAAAAACAAGTAATCTTGAAAATCTTTATAGAATTCATACAAAAAACAACTGTCCAATCACAAGAGAAAAACATTTTTGGATGCCAGTCACTCCTCTTCACAAATGTCTCTAATCTGTTTCACACAACTGCAAAATTTTGACGCACATATAGCAATTTATGCAATCAAAGTTTCAAAAGCACACCGAAATTATAAGAAATTTGTATTTTACAACTTAATAAACCATCATAATTATAATACTAATAAAGACCTTTAACCAAAGTAGAAAAAAAAAGAACCACCTCTGCAGCTTAGTTGCGATACATCATCCACAGCTTTTAGAACTTCTCTAACTTGTGAAGAAACAAAGAAACAGGTATAAAACACCTTCACCCACCCCAGATTTGCTCACGAAATATTAATAGAAAACAAAGATAGAACGGGTTCCAAATGATAAATAAGGAACTGAAATCCCAAAAGCACTCATTTTTGCATACCTGATGCGTAGGAAGTTTACGTTTGGTATAATCCTCGATGTTATGTACTTTGATGTCTTGCCTATATGTCAGAGCACGACAGTCATTAATCCTACCCAGCAGTTGGACTGATATTTTACCCACTCTATGAGGATCATGTACTTGGAAATCTTTGACATATCCTGAAAACCAATGGAACCATCAGCAAAGCATCATTAGGAACCAAACTCAAACATTCATCCATTGTTGATACACCAATTCCATACACAAAAATCCAAATTTGCTCCGAAGACCTTCAATAGCAATTCATTTTTCAAATGTAAATGTCAGTCCTAATCATTCATTAAAGAAGATTCCAAATTCAAGGTTCATTCCAAATTCTACTCTTTCAACACTTTCTTTTAACCATTAAGCACACGGAGTAACATTAGACCTAGAGAAAGGAAAGGAAAAGAAAAGACAAACTCAGGCTCGAAATGTTGTCATGTTGAAATGCCTACCAAAACACATTATAACTAACCCTTAATCATTTACAACGCAAGTCACCCATAAAACGTCGAATTTGTCATCTTTTTCATCACCAAAAGAGCAAAAAACACCCAAAAATCAAACAATTTCAAAATGAAGAGAGGGAATAAATTCATAATCAAACACATAGAAACAGTCACATCAATTATCAAACACCTAAACGGCGTAGAGAAACAATGGAAACATTCTAAAGAAGACGAAGTTTATATAACAGGAAAAATGAAATGGGTTTGGCAAATTGACCTCGATACTTCATGATTTGAAGGAAGGAAGCCATGACACCGGAGATGGGTTGAAGCTGAGCTGAGGCAAAACCTCGTTTCTCGGCATTCACGATCGTCCTCAGCGCATCATTCAATATTCTTCTGCCCATTGGTTTCTTCAGCTCTTGAACACAGACTTACAGCAAAACCCTTCCCTTTTCCCAATTGATGAAACCTCCCACCACGAAATATTTGGGCCTTTGTGTTGAAAATGTTACGAAGTTGAACTTTTTACTTGTGCATTTTAGGCCTTCCAAATGTTGGCCCAAAATTCGTATGTTCTTGTTTTATTTCTGAAAATGCGGCGGGCATAGAAGAAAAGCGTAATTAAAACTTTATCCATGTTGAATCTATATTTTTATTTTTAGTTGAATTGTATTGAAACTGAAAATTTAAATAGGACAATAATTTTGGAACAGAGCGAGTAATTTAATAACTTTTTTAACCATGAAAGTGATCTGGTGTTTTTCATCTGCTTGATTTGTGAGGGTTTGGAATCTTTCCACAACTTTCGACCGAGTGGTTTGGAATCAATTTACAACTTTGTTTAACAAGAAAACTAGATGTCCGTCCGATGTATCGAAAGGACATATACATATCTTCATTACAACACGAGCGAAGCTAAAGAATATTATATTTTTAGGGATTTTTTATTTTTAAAAAATATTAATTATGAAATGTATAATGATTTCATGGGAAAATATAAAACACAATATCAACAACATTTTACTAAATGAATACGGCCGTAACTTATTTAGTGCAAAGAGGATCGTTAAAAGATTCAAAAAAGGAAAATAAAAAAATGAAAAAGAATAAATTTCAAACACAAAGAGAATTGTTAAGAAATTCAAGAAAGGGAAAATAAAAAATGAAAAAATCAATTTTGAATTGAATGATTATATATCTTGCAATACTTCTTTATAGACTGCATTCGAACTCTTGGATTTATTATTACCATTTTCACTGCTTATCAGAACCTTTATTATTTGTCTCAAAGTGACTCTAGATAAAGCGACATATAATTAATCGTGGCTAAAAAATTGGATCGGGCAAAAACAATCTCACAAAATTTAAATAGAAATTATAAAAACATAGTGCTTCCTTTGTCGCCCCTTCCCCCTCCCAAAAAAAAGTTCAATATTGAATCTATATCGAGTAAAATAACATATTTCAATGTGCATTACGTTTTCTGAACATAAAGAATACAACTTTGAGGCCTAAAAAAATTGAGAAATTATAACGCAAGTTATGTTATTTATTATTATACTACTACATTCAAACATAAAAAAAAAAAGAACATAAAAGGAAAAGAAGCAAAACCATTCAATTACAAATTACATAATCATATATCTTCTTGCGACAGTTCTTTATAGAGTACTTCCTCCATTCCAAAATAAGTGTCGTTTTAGCAAAATGGAGAAATTCCAAAATAAGTGTCGTTCTCACATTTCAATGCACTTTTTGTCAAAAGTTTCCAAAATTACCCTCAAAAAAGTTGATGTTATTGGTGGACAATTTTATAATGGGGTTGGTTGAGGATATTCAAGTAATTTTATTACCATATTTAAGAGTTTCTTAAACTATGTGCAAAATGTAGAACGACATTTATTATGGAATGGAGGGAGTACATTTGTGCCTTAGTGTTGATCTATCTTGGTCACTGATTAATTAGAATTTTAATTTTTTCTTTTATCTCAAAGTAACCCCTTGGACTCCCGACCTCCTGGTAATAACCATCCTAATCCCCTAATCACGCCACCCCAGAATGATCAACTGATTTTTCTTCATTTAGAGACTATTTGATAAAAATTATTGCTCAATTCTTAATATTTAATATTGAATACTGAATATGAGGGGAATATTGCATTCATTAAGCAGTTACAAAAAAAGCTACTATAAACTAATTTTTATCGCTTGTATTTTGTACTGTTATTTAAACACCACTTACTTATTAGTTTTTGTGTCTCGTTATTTATTTATTTCAACATGTACATGTGGGAGTATTTTATTTTTGTTAGTTAAGTGCGAAAATATCTAATCATTAATATCATGCAACTATTTTTTCTCAATTTATTATCCCCTCATGTTTGATATTCTCTTCTTTGTAAAAGTTTGATTAATTCTCAACTAATTTAAATTTTTCATTTTCAAAAAAAAAAAAATTATTTCTGCTGATTTATTTTATTATTTTAATTATTTGGAATTTTTCTTTTAATAGTTTATTTTGACCTGGCTCTACCTATTGTCAAGATTGTTTAATTAAAGGGTGTTTATTTTCAAAGCCATCACATTTACTACTTGAAGCCACATATTTTAAAATTGGACTATTTTACCCTTATAATTTTTTTAAATCAAATAATTCAACTAGAAAGAAAATTAAAAAATAGAAAAAAAAATTTTTAAAAAATAAAATTGACCGACCGGGCGGTCTTCCCGTCCTGGGTTAACCGGGGACGAGCAAGAAACGCGTTCTCTTGTTCGTCCAAACGCGTTCACTGCGCGTCCTAGTTTAACCCAAGACGCGCAATGAACGCGTTCGGGCAAACAAGAGGACGCGTTCCTTGCGCGTCCCGGGTTAACCCGAGACGGGTGGATTACTGGGCCAATTCCGGTTCGGTCCGATATGGTGAACCGGACAGGTCAGGCCCTTTTTTAAAAATTTTTAATTTTTTTTAATTTTTTAATTAAAAAATAGCAATATTTTTTATTTTAAAAAGTCTAAAAATTATAAGATATCAATCGGATTCATTGCTATTTTTTTAATTTTTAAATTTTTTATTGTAATTAGTTAATCTATTTTTCAAGTCATTAAATTTATTAATAATTTATTATTTGAGTTACATTAACCATCACCAATCTTTGTAGTACAAAAAATAGTTAATCTATTTGCACATATTTGTCACAATCTTTGTAGTACAATTATTATTTTTCATTATAAATGTATAATTATTATTTTAACTAAAAATTATATTTTAAATAATGATTACAACAAAATTTATATTTTAATATCAATTCAAATAAATTAACTTAACAAATAATCTTAAATTTATTTTCAAATAAAAATTAATTACTTGTTTATTTTCAAGTAAATATAAAATCGAGAGTTTAAGCACTAAAGTATAAATATTGTTAATAATATTTAAAGTACGGGGTATTCAATATGTAACGATACTGCGAATAGACTAACATTAAAATAAAAATTAATAATTTGTCTGTTCTTACGTGAATCGGACCGAATGACTTGCCCGGCTCGATCCGAATGACTGGGACAAAAGAAGAATTCTTCAAAATTGGTGGCTTCAAGTACTAATTTGGGTGGTTGGAAAAATCCAACCCCTAATTAAAATGTACTCCCTCCGTCTCATAATTATTGTCCACTTTGTCAAAAAAATTTTGTCCCATAAAATGTACTCACGTAATAGTAAAACTGGACAATAACTATTGTCCACTTTAAATGTTAATTATTTGTTCTGGAATTAAGAGTTTCGTTAATTTGTCAAAGAAAATATTCCATTGTTGTTCTCCCCTTGGTCTAAATCTAGGTGGTTGATAGTTACAATAAAATTCATTTTATTATAATCTTTTATGCCTAATTTGGTTATATTTTAAAGATTATTAATGGACTTTATTATTATTTTGTGCCAATGTAGTGAAACAATGAAAGATGGACTGTTTTGAAGTTTACTGGCTGTTGTATGGAGTTAAAAGATGAAAAGATTTTACCACAAGGAGATTAGTCAAAACTCTTACTTGAAGATTTTCTTTACCAAGTCAAAGAAATCCATTTCTTTGATTTTCTCCATCCGTTTGACCGACCTGATTCGATAAAAGATTTGCAGCAACAACTAAATCCATTTAGATATATTGGAAGTGATTTGAAATAGGTTGTTGTACCTTTTTTTTTTTTTGGATTTTTTAGTTAGGAAAATACCACTATAAATAGAGTAGTAGTGGTAGGCTTCAAAGACCACACACATGTAGCAAGCATTAGGCTGCTACCACTTTTCTCCATTTTTGCCACCATTTTTTTTTTGTTTTATTTTATTTTAAACCTTCAAAGATGTTTCTAGTCACAATGAGTGGCTAGTTTTCTTCATTTGGTTCAAGGATTTTTATTCTTTTATATTATATGTGAGACTACAAGTTTCACTTTATTCTTTTCTTCCTTTTTACTTTAAGTATTTATTGATCTTGATTTCTTTTTATGAGAGTAAATACTTGATTTATCTGACATTTTAATCAAGTATTTTTTTCCTACTGCTACCAAATTGTTTATGCTGCGCTATCGTCTTAAACATTTGGCACTAAGTAGCACATTAGCAGATTATGCATGTTTGTAGTGACATGTTGAATGTGCATAATAAGTCTACATAGAAGGTCAATAGGACAAAAACATTTTAATTGCAGCTATCTCAATTATTTTAGTTTTTGGTTCAACTAAATTTTCAAAGTTTTTATTGCTAGTATAATTTAACATGGAACGCTATCGCGCCCACTTAAATTATACTAAGTTTTGATTAGGTGTTGCGCTTGGTCAAATACTTTTAGAAAATATAAGGCTTTTTACGGCTATCCTATTAAACCTACGGTTGAATGCTTGAGTCGTAGAAAAATGTATTTTTAGTCGATGATCTATCATATATTTAAATCATTCCTTGAACCAAAGTTTTTCTATTATTAATTTTCTCTCCATTTTTATTTACTTCAAATTGTCATTTTATTTTAAAGAAGAAAAATCCCCCTTGTTTGCACTTTTGTAAAGCCAAGTGTTAAAAGTCGGCTCTCTTGGGATTCGACCTGATTCCACTGTTTCTGCAAATTAATTTTGGTCTGTTAGGAAATTAGATTAATTTTTGCTGGTCTCGACAAACCCGTCAGTGACCGTTGCTTATGGCTGATGTTGTCCACCTCACATGTCCATCTATGGCTCTGTATTTTTGCAGCTACTCCAGTCCATGTTTGTTGCCTGATGCATTGTTGTTGCTGACGCTACAGAGATTTCCTCATTTGCTGCTTGTTGAACACCGTAATACTTTAATTTATCATAAAAAAAAATAAGCAAAACGATTATATCTATCCGGTATATAGTTGGCCAAACCAAAGAGTGTACTTAAAGGAATTACGTACTTTACATTGTTACACTTTTTGGCAGGTATTATTTCTAAGTAAAATGTGCCAAATCTTCAGTGTCAAGAGTGAAAAGAATGAGTAACACTAAATCACAAATTGAATAATCTTCCATGAAGCTGGAAATCATATCGAAAGATTAGCTGTGAAGCTGGAAATCATGTTAAAAGATTAGCCTCTCTACCTTATCAAAGAAATCTGAAGTAAGAACTGAACTTCACTTAAAAAGGATCTCTTTTTGCTGCCAATGCCTAGAGATGTTCCTCATCCAGAAATCTCTTTCACCACTTAACTCTATCCAAAACTAAACGGCCATATGACCATCAATGCATCAACTATGCTTTGTGATCGTGAGTGGAAGTTGTCATTGCATAATCAAAGTAAAGCCATGCATGGAAGACATTTCTCATTTGCAGATTATTCATGTGCCTTCCCTTTATAATGAAGAAAGAAGACAGTCGATGTGATAATCAACTCGAAAAAACTGATGGATCAGAGGCAGTTTGTTAAACAATGTTTTCAGATTGGCTAACCTTGATTAAAAAAATTACAGAAAATATTTGTAATGTAGCCATTTGCCCACATGTATTAGTTAACACTGGAATTACTTAGCATTCTTCTTGCAGCATATAAATCCTTCTCTTCTAGAGAATAGCCGATTCACATACATAGGAACTAAATCCATCTTGAAACTTTGAAAGCAACCTTCTCTCGAAATTATTAGTAATTTGGGCTTAGTGAAGATTGGGAGGAAATCCCCCGGATGAAGGAACAAGGAACGAAAAACCGTTACAGATTTGATTTTTTCGTTTTCGGATATGGAGCAGATTTGCCTGGATTTGATAAAAGAAATCCTAACAAACTTTAAACTACAGTATGTGTTTATTAAATTTAGAAAATTATTTTTTGGTAATAAATAATATTAATTAATATTAATACATAGATGTATAAGTTTCTCCTTCCTATGTTACACGTTAGAAAATAATAATGGGGTGTCTCTGCTTCGCTAATATAGGTACGACCGAAATCGATGAGTGATGCCCAATGGCAAGTTTAGTTTTCGTGGAAGTTGCAACAATGCAGCCAAATCTACATTGCAGATCTCTTCAATGCACTTTCAGCCTAGCTTGAGTGTTGTTGCGTCGTTATACCACCAGTCTTTTTTTCCAATTTCTCAGTTTGAATTTTACAATAGTCCATATTAAATTTTCAAATTTATACTAAAAATATTACATAACTCAAAACTCAATTTCAAATTTGTACTTAAAACAGTACGAAACTCAAAATTCAATGTGGACTATTTTTTTTAGAGAGGAGGGACGGAGGGAATGTATGAAAATATAGTCTCACAAAAAGAGACTGTCATGGAATGAGAGACTTGAATAGAATTAATTAAAAGTATAGGATTAAAACTGCAATTATGTAATAGTTGGGAAATTAACAGACGGCATAAAAGTCGTCGACTCCGGCTTAGATGGGTTTATGGAAAAAATGTATGAAAATTCGGATTCTTTCTTGCCCCCAGTTTCTCCCCTTTCTCGGTTTTGGTCCGACCTACCGCCGGGTCGTGACAAAGAGACCCCATGTAAGAAAGCCCAGTATTGAAGGCCCATGAGTCAGATGGGCATCCAAGAAAAATTCTGAAACCTGTGAATCGCCTACAGAGCCTAGACCATGGCTAACGAAAAACACCATGGCTATCAACTTTAGCGAGCAGTGCGCGCGCCATTTAACCAGCAGCACATATGCTAACCACAACGGGCATCACAAATAAGAAAAAAACAGAGGATTCAAGGATAATACTTTGACACTAACAGAATGCAGGGGAGTTCCCGTACAATCTAAATCTTGTAAACTATACCTATAGATAAAAAATTCAATTCTGCAAACCATGTTTTTGCCAAGTGAAAATCGAATTAAATCAAACAACCTTTACCAAGTAGCTTAAACCATTAACAGTGACAACAGCACTTGAAATAGTTTGGTTCTTTTGGTCCTGATAGCATAACAAGAATCCTAATTGCAGGATCGAGAACTTAAATATTAAGAAAATAATAATACTATTAACTTGGTGGTACAATCACCACTATGGATTTATTACATCATTACATTCTAGCCCGACCATAAAATTTCTTCTGGATTTATTACATCATTACATTCTAGCCCGACCATAAAATTTCCCCGGAAGAGAACCAAATAAAATCAATTCTGCAAACCATGTTTTGCTAAATGAAAATCAGATTGAATCAACCAAACAAGACCTTTACTAAGCAGAAGCATAAACCATGTATGGTGGCAAGTGGCAACTGCACACAAATAGTTTAGTTTGGTTCTTTCAGGCCCTAATAACAATAACAAGAACCGTAATAACAGAATCGAGAACTTAAGGAAATAGCATAACAGGATAGCAGGATAGCAGAATCGGAAACGGTACAAAACTCAAATGGACTAATTTTTTTGGGACTATTCTTTTGGGACGGAGGTAAATTCAACTTCGTGGAAAGTACAAACGACCACTATTGGTTTATTACATCATTACTCCATATCATTACTGATGATTCTAAGAAGACAAAATCATATGAAAGGAAGTATTAGGACTAGTTCAGAAAGAACCGCCTCCACGAAGACGCAGAACAAGGTGGAGGGTGGACTCCTTCTGGATGTTGTAGTCCGCCAAAGTACGACCATCCTCGAGCTGTTTCCCAGCAAAGATGAGGCGCTGCTGGTCAGGAGGAATCCCTTCTTTGTCTTGAATCTTAGCTTTGACATTGTCAATGGTGTCAGAGCTCTCAACTTCAAGGGTTATAGTCTTACCAGTCAGCGTCTTCACGAAAATCTGCATACCACCCCTCAACCGCAACACCAGATGGAGTGTAGATTCCTTCTGGATGTTGTAATCAGCCAGTGTTCTTCCGTCCTCCAATTGCTTCCCTGCAAAGATCAACCTTTGCTGATCCGGAGGGATCCCTTCCTTGTCCTGAATCTTAGCCTTCACATTGTCAATTGTATCAGAACTCTCAACCTCCAGAGTAATCGTCTTCCCTGTCAACGTTTTCACAAATATCTGCATACCACCACGAAGCCTCAAGACCAGATGCAGGGTAGATTCCTTCTGAATATTGTAATCGGCTAGGGTTCTGCCATCCTCAAGCTGCTTTCCGGCGAAGATCAACCGCTGCTGATCCGGCGGAATCCCTTCCTTGTCTTGAATTTTGGCCTTGACGTTGTCGATCGTATCAGAACTCTCGACCTCCAGGGTAATCGTCTTGCCGGTGAGAGTTTTGACGAAGATTTGCATACCCCCGCGGAGCCTCAGAACCAGGTGGAGGGTAGACTCCTTCTGGATGTTGTAATCGGCTAGGGTTCTGCCATCCTCGAGCTGCTTCCCGGCGAAGATCAACCGCTGCTGATCTGGCGGAATCCCTTCTTTGTCTTGGATCTTGGCCTTGACGTTGTCGATCGTATCGGACGATTCGACCTCAAGGGTGATTGTTTTTCCGGTGAGGGTTTTCACGAATATCTGCATATCTGATTTGTTGGCTAGAATATAAGAAAAACCTAAATTGAAGAGGATGAATTAACGAGAAGTGAGGGAGAGAGAGAAGCTGATTGAAAATTGTAATCAGAAAGAATTGATGGATATGAATGGAGGCAGAGGAGAACTACTTGCTATTTATAAAGAAGCCTATCGGCGATCCTAGGGCGGTTCGTATTTGGCGGGCGGTCCACGGAGAAAGAAGTCTGGGCCCGTCTCGAAGAATCCAGCATTATTCCGGTTTCAGCATCCTTCTAGAAAAAGGTTTTCATTTGTACTAGTACAATTATTTGTTTTCCGGATGATTTAGCGTAAATATCTCGGTAGATTAGGAGTAATCCCTATTAACTTTACTAGGTGTTAAACCCATCCGATGGACTGGAAGATATACACATTTAGACATTTTTACATAAATTTTGTATTTTTATAAAATATGTAATGACTTCAGTTTTAAACATGATCACCTCTGGATTTATAAGAATTTATTTTTTTAAATGATATTTTAAATTCACTGGTGATAAGGTTTATGCAGACCTCTCTAAAATTTGTCAGGATTTGGTACTCTCTCCAATTAATCTTTGTGTTAGGATTTGGTTCATTGGTTCATGAAAATAAGGGTTTGGTTTTTATTATTTTATTTTTTTAAAATTATTTTAGTTGCTTTTTTTTTAGTTTTATTATTTTTTTTTGTGCATTTTTAAGTCTAAGAAATTAAGGAAATGCCACATAGGATTAATCCTATGTGGCATGTGCTCCATGCCTTTAGTTTTCTCTCTCTGATTTTTGACTTAGTATAGTATATAGATAGATATAGATTATGAAAATTTTAAATTGTCCTAAATTTTTGTTTAATATAAGTTTCTCATTGAAAATGAAAATGTATATTCACACTTATTGTATTTTTCTAACTTTAGAAAATAGTGTTAGGACTAATTTTACTCGAAAATGTCTTATAATTAAGACAGAGACAATACCTAATTAATAAAAAGATTGTGTGTTGTTCAGTAGTACTCGAAATTAAGATGAAAAAGTGCCCAAATCCATGGTGTGATTGCAGAAACAATGAGTGGCTATGGTGCAATGAAGTAGTAGTAAATTACGACTATAATACAACCAAGCGGCATAAACATAAAACATTTCTGATTCATAGTATAATCAGCGTCAGACAGTAAAAAGCTTCCATCATCCGAATCTTTCAGTGACAAAAACACTTTTTTTTTCTTTTTTTTATGCAGAGAAGAAAACGACCCTGAATGATGAATATCTCTGAATCTCTGAAGACTGTAACATCATGGTCATACACAGGAATATTCCGAATTGCAGAAAACATTCTTATAAAGGGTTAAAAAGCCACAATCATCAAATAAATGCAGCACATTCATGCTGATTCATCCCTATTCATTCAACTATAAAATCAAGCACCAAAAACTAATCATGATTGGCCCCCTGCAAACAATTAAAAACAAAGAAAAAAGTATACCATTTCCCCGTCGCAATCCCATCATGCAAATCTGCAGCTGCATTGTAATTTGTGCCTCAAAAATGGTTTTTTCTGGCTATGGAGAAACGAAACCAAGAACACTCTGTTGTATTTTCTCCAAAAGTTTGAATTTTTTTTCACTAAGCTCCAGACAACAAACAACACCACGTGTCCACTCCCCCTACTTTATGCGTACATCAAAATTCACATCTCAATTTGCAGTGTTCTCTTCTCTCTCTTAGGTCCTTCTCTCTCTCTTTCTCTTTTTCTCACACCGCGGAAATATACAGACGTGAATACCAATACAAGGGAGGAGAAAAAGATAGTGTTATTAGTCAATTGAATTGGAAGTTTGAAACTTTTTAAAATTCCCGACGGAACCCACGTCGCTGTTTTACCAAAGAATGGAATATTTTGCCCTTTCCATTTGCTTATTCACTGGGTTCCAATTAGAATGCCTTCTTTTTCCATAATTGGGTTGATTTTTTCCTTTTCCCCTTTCTCATTCCTGGGTTTTAAAGGGTTTTAACTTTTGAGGCTGAGAGGTGAGCGAGGAATTAGATATGGATGTGGCTGCAATTAGCGAAGAAGAAACGGTTCTAGAGATTGGGGTAGTACTTCCTAAGAGGAAAAACAATACAGATATTGACAATGGCGATTGTATTGAGGTTCTTACCGGTGAATTCCAGAACATGGGTTTGATTGTGGAAAGGGTTGTTGGCTTCCAGAGTGAAATTCTCAAGGTTTAACCCTCTTTGCTACTCTGTTTTGCATAAAAGTTTGACCATGTTACTGCAATTTTATTTGGATTCTTTGTGTTTTCACCAATTTCAGTTTGATTTATGCAAAGAGGCGTCACAAAGTTGTAGCATTACCTTTTTCTCTGCCATTTTTTCTTGATGTGCAATTGACGGAACCACATTATGGAACAGTATATCCGACCTATTTGCATCCTGTGATTACTTTAACTGCTAAAAGACAATGTTGTGTTACTGATGCTGCAATGTATATATTGAATTTTGTTGGAGCAATCTTGTTGTGGTTCTCTGCCATCTAATGTTTGGTAACTGCATTTGTTATCACTGTCTTGGATGATTTAACTGAATCTCTCTTTCAGTTGGGGGCACCTACAAAGATTCTTGGGAAAGCAGCAACTGAATTGCAGTTGAAGAAACGAACTCATATTGGTGAAATTTCCCTCTACTTATTTGTTTAGAGCAGTGAGAAAGGCTGAAGTTCATTTTCATAATTGACAAACTGCCTTGGTTTTCAGGAATGGATCTACAATTTCATATGGATGAAATCGATGCTTTCATTAGGCAACCTGATGGTTCCTTATTCAGTTGGCATGAGCGTCTTCGCTGTTACCAGCATATATTATATGATACTGTAAGTTATCAACAATATTAACTCATAGTATACGCATTTTCGATCTCTGTTTTACTTAATGTCAAGCTCTCAACAGGTGAAAGTGAACAAACCTGCTATGAAATTCAAATGTGGTGACAAAGAGGTATGTTGGGAGATGGGAGAATCCATACTTAGGAAGCTGGAAACTGAAGGCATAGTTAAAGAAATCTTCCCTCTGCATGGTAGGTTATCGCCTCTTATAATTGACAAGGTTACTCATAATTGGGTTATTAATGATAAGATATTTGTTTCTTTCAGATGACGTAATGCGCAAGCAGCTTGTGAAAAGTTGGGCACTCAACTGGTGGGACTTCACTGAGCAACCCATTGATGAAATATGTTCTTACTTTGGGATGAAGGTTGATTTTTTTTGCACATATAGCAATTCTCTTACAATGTACTTAGGTAGTCGTGCAGCTGTATATTTCCTTTATATGCTTTTTGTTTCTCAACGTAGTATACACACAGTCGTTGATTTGAGAAAATGGTGAAATGCAGATCGCCATATATTTCGCGTTTCTCGGAATGTACACGCGTTGGCTTTTCTTTCCAGCTGCTTTTGGACTTATTGTGCACTTGATTGACTTCGGGTATGAGAATTTCAATCTTTTAAGGCATTCTAGAGAACGTTTCTGCTTATAATTTGTCGTTCTTTGCTTTATTTTATTCAGATGGTTGCAGTTTTTTGTTCTCCCGGCTTTCTTTGTATGCCTAGTCACATGGGCAGTACTATTTTTCCAATTTTGGAAACGGAAAAACTCGGCTCTTTTAGCCAGGTACTGATTTACGTAACTGTTGGTGGATAAGTCCAGTGATGTTAGCTTTATTCCTTTTGTTTAGTCGGGGCCACTCAGTGGTTTTTGTGTTGTCTTTTTGTAAACGACATACTCTCTAGTTCAGATGGCAAGTAGATCAAACACCTGGAGCTGGTCGCGATTATAAAGCATTTGAACTGGAGTGGAGTCTGTTCCAGTTTCCTTCAGATCATATAAAGAAATATGGATCTGAGAAGATTACAGAAAAAGAAGCGTTTCAAAGAGATGAATGGTTTGGAAGGTTCATGAGATATCGGAATGATTTTGTTGTTATACTTAGCATCATATGTCTCCAACTTCCTTTCGAGCTGGCTTATGCCCATTTTTATGCGGTTATTGAGTCTGACCTTCTAAAGTAAGTAATGAATAAGCCTTTTTACCTCGTTCCATCTGCTGCGAATCCTATTTTCTCGGTCCATCTGCTTTGTACCTTCTCATGTGCGGACTCTATGGAGCTCTTAATGCTTTTCTCAACCTTTCCTCCACTTTCCAGGTTTGGTCTTACGGTGGTTTACCTCTTGTCGATTCAGTATCTCACAAGAATTGGTGGGAAGATAGCTGTGAAGCTCGTTAATCGTGAAGCAAGCAAAAATGTGGAGTATAGAGCTGATAGCTTAGTTTACAAGGTAATACCATTGAAGCTCTACATAGATGCACAATCTTCCTCTGTTCCCTTGAATAAAAGTTTGGAATTTTTGGCAGGTTTTTGGGCTGTACTTCATGCAATCATATGTTGGCCTTTTCTATCATGCTGTTTTGCATCGGAATTTAATGACCCTTCGCCGAGTTTTGATTCAAAGGCTTATATTCTCTGAGGTTTGAGAAGGTCATCCTTCATTTTGTTGTATTGGTTCCTCTTACTTTACTCGCTTCTCAGTATGCTGCAAATCGCAAAATTGTCACCTAGGTGGTGGAGAATCTGTTGGAAAATTCGATACCCTATTTTAAGTACAAATTAAAGAAATTTAGAGCCGTTCGGTAAGCGCCTTTCACCATCTTCTTTTTAATTTTATTATTCTCATATATATATATATGTATTGTATGATTAGCTCTATCGCATTTTCCTTGTAACATTTTACATCATCTGAAGATTTAAGAGGAAATGCGACAGAGGAACAGTTACAGGAAAGCTTCCCAGGGTAGAGAAGGAGTTCCTGAAGCCTACTTACTCTGCAAGCATCTGCGAGGAGCTTGAGGATGGCTTGTTTGATGGTAATGTAAATCTCCTGCATAAAATTAGATCCACTAAACACTTTTCCTCTCCTCTTTCAGTGCTTTCTGTCCTTTTAGCCCTTTCACTTGAAGATTCTGAACAATTTGTGTTATGCACCAAGTCCCATCCAGTTTTATCTGGACTAAGCAGCTGATAATAAGTGTGTAATTGGCAGATTTTCTAGAATTGGCATTGCAGTTTGGAATGATTATGATGTTTGCCTGTGCTTTTCCCCTTGCCTTCACTTTTGCAGCATTGGTAAATAATCTCTCAGTTTCCATTTACTATACCTGAAATGTCTCTCAAGTTGATTTCCTCAAAGGCACATATTACATACATTTATGGCTGCACTGCAGAACAATATCACAGAAATAAGGACTGATGCGCTTAAGTTGCTGGTGATGTTAAGAAGGCCTGTTCCCCGGCATGACGCTACTATTGGAGCGTGGCTCAATATATTTCAGGTGCTGTGTCAGATTTAATTCCATTATTATATCAGTTCTTTCTTCTTTCAGAATATAATCATTGTGCATACTTTGTGTTAAATAACCGTTTCATTTTGTTTTACCACCATTTCAGTTTCTAATTGTGATGTCAATATGTACCAACTGTATACTCCTGGTGTGCCTATACGACCGGGAAGGGGAATGGAACATATCTCCTGGACTTGTTGCAATCCTCGTCATGGAACATGCCCTTTTGCTGATTAAGTTTGGGTTCTCCCATTTTGTTCCTGAGGTAAAATTTGTTGCCCCCGGTGGGTATTTCTAGTAGTATTAGACACAACCCAAATTGTCACCTTTAGAATTCAAAATAATTTTAAGAAGTGCAATAATCGTCTCAATGTGTTTCAGGAGCCGACATGGGTTAGAGCCAACCGGATGAAGAATACTACTCAGGCACACGACATGTGCTCAAGGGAACTTTTGAGGAGTATCTCTGGTGGTAAGAAGATGTTCAAAGAAATAGAAAAGGAAGAATGAGAAAGAAACTGTGGCAACTTAAGGCCAACCTTTCTTTTCCATTTACCAGAAACTACAACTGAAAGATGTTCTAGATGTGTTAGTGGGTTCTGTGTTCGCCCCAAAGTCGTACATTTCAGAGTCGATTGAGTACAGTTGTGCTGACGCTCTGTATCAGTGTACAGAGCGTAGAAAACAAAAATTAGTTGTTTTCGGATACATCAAAAATGAATTCTGCTTGTCCTTTGTATAGATAGATATTCGTGAATTGTTGTAGATTTTCAAGAGTAGAATTTTGGGTTAGGTTGCAAACTGAAGATCTGATATTATCTCAGTTGTCTCTGTCTTACATGCTTTACAGCTCGAAAGAGGAACAAATAGGAAGAGCAAAAGAATAGTTGATGAATGAGCTAAATGAAACAAGTTTTTGTCTGATTATTTGTTCAGAAACTTTAGAGAGGAACCATGTTGCTCCAATGCAGTAGGATATTAACATTCACAAGTTCATTCCTGTTTCAGATTTTCGATTGAATCTTACTGCCTTGATTACTACAAGGTTTCCTTAGCGCAGGAAAAATAATCTCATCATCAAGGTTTAATGCGAGACTATAACTACTAATTAAATAGGGTAGATAAATGAAATTGAAAAGAGAAAATAATTTTCGATATCCGACAGATCAACAAGGTTAAGTGAACCCCCATCTCAAAGCCGGAACAGTGGCAGAAAATGATGATAATAATATGTGGAAGACCAATAATCCCTTCTACGATTCAATCTAAGTATCATGAATCATCTACTTGTTGTGGCTTCCGATATCAAACAAGTTACAAGTCAACATGTATGTATCTTAAGATATGAAAAATGAAAAGGTGAATTGAACAAATGAATTCGACGATAACTACTAAGGACAGGAATAGGCGTTGTAGTTAGTAGTTACAAACAAACGAATGATTTACATTTTATGTTTATACACAGATGAACTAACGAGGGATGATCTTACATTGTTACTGACAGATATAGCAAACGGTGATAAGATGTTGTTATTCATTGGCGGGAGCTGCTGCCACCACTGCCGCCGAATCGATCACTGAGCTGACGGGCATAACCAGCGACGTTTTTAGCCCATTTCCTGATGTCTTCTTTGAACTTGTTGGAATCCACGGTTTCCAAGGGCCGATCGGGCGAAGGTGATGATATCTCCGCGTATGATGAGAAGCACCGGTCAAAGCGTCCAGGCTTTCCACCTCCACCTCCTTTCTTGTTACGTTTCAATCTTTCGCTTTTCTGATCCTCTACATTTCCCTTGTACACCCTTTCGTCTGCTTTGTTGCCGGAATCAACCACGACGGTGGTGGTAGTGGTGGTTCCGATAGAAGCCTCTTCCATATTCTTCTTTCTTTCTTCTTCTTCTTCTTCTTCTTCTTCTTTTTTTTTTTTAAGACTAATGGAGAATGGTTTGAAATTTTGATTATTGTCTTACTTTCGTTTTTAAAGACGTGATCGCAGTTATATAGAGGGATAGAGGGATTTTTCCCCGGTTTCTTTCTTTTTTACATTTTTTATTTTTGTGTTAGAGAAATTAGAAAGAGAGATCATGCGTGTAACGAAGAATAAACTTGTTCACCACGTAATGGCCGGTTTTGCCAGCCTGTATGACGGCAGATTCATCCTTTCCAAATGACCCTCATTGGTTGATTCTCCTTATTAGAATCTTTCTACTGAATAACCTATAGAACTGAAGTTTGGAGTCGTCAAAATTGTCAAACACCTCTGGCTTGAGGCTTCCAACCAAAGCCAATCGAACTGGTCAAACACTTTTTCATTGATTAAAAATACAATCAAAGTAGTTTGGCCGGAAATTGGCAGATGCCAAATTGCCTCTTACTCCTTTCGTTTTCTAAAAAGCCGTTTAAGAATAAATATAGTACGGCCTCATGTAGCGCACAACAGTGAATCCCGTTGTAAGGTCCGGTCAGAATTACCGGCGTGTATTTCTTAGACCCAACCGGATGCATTCCGGCAAATACTGTATGCACAGTTCAATTCCATTTACAATCAATACTATACACAATGGATCTGCAAAGTTAATATTGTTAAGGTTTAGAACTCAAGTACGATTAAAATGACTAACGGGACTAAAGAGGTGTCGAGAAATAAACATATAAATAGGATTACGTGCAAACCCTAATAGCCGCCACCTCTCTCTTTTTCTCTCAAACCCCAACTCCAAAAAATAATTCTTCCCTCATCTTCTCATCATGGGAGGATGGGGGAATTAATCTTGTTTCGTTTCTCGTTTCTATTCTTTGTAATTCAATAAGTGGGATTATTCCCACAAATTAGTTTCGAGTTTTAGTTCTTCAATAGGTTATTTTGATAATCTATTGAGAGGGTAGGGGTTTTTGAGTTCGCAGTGTTCTTTCAGCAGATTACTCTACTGAGAGGTAGGTCCGTTGATTGTAGTGTTCGTCGCGGCGTTGAAGATGTTCACAACGTACATGTGCCTCACGAAGAATCAGTCACCGCAGATTTAATTTTTAGATATGTGGTTTGGAGTTTTCAGCAGAATTTTAGAAATATATTCGAGATCAGATTCATATTCTGGTACGTGATATGCCCGTCAATCGTACAGGTAGATCTGTATAGGTTTATCTATGGTAAACAGAACAAATTGATATGTAGTAAATTGTGTTTGACTGGTTCTTTGTATTGTTCAATCGCACCTGGACGATTTCTAGTAAATGAATGAAAGTACTATTTTATTTCAAAAAAAATGTGTCTGAGAAATGTATAAAGTTGTATTGTATATGCTATTCTTGATATATATAAGGGGTAAATCTAATCCCGTAAATGACTCTGTAACTACCGTAACACTGTAACATACATATATACCAAATATATCCGTAATACTCCCCTCAAGTTGGAGCATTTGGATTCCAAATACCCAACTTGCCAAGAAAATAATCAAATTGCTGCTTTTCTAAGGCCTTGGTGAAAATGTCATCAAGCTGTATGTGAATAGACACATAGCTGGGTGCAACGGTGTCATGAAGAACCTCATTATGCACAAAATGAGAGTCGACTTCAATGTGTTTTGTACGCTTATGGAAAACTGGATTAGCATCAATATGCAAAGCTGCCTGACAATCACAAAATAAAGACATAGGCTGAGAGTGAGAAACACCAAGACAAGACAACAAACCCTTAAACCACTTCAACTCACAAACGAGAGAGGCCATGGATCGATACTTAGCCTCAGCAGAAGAGTGAGAAAAGGTTGGCTGTTTCTTAGTCTTCCAGGAGACAAGAGATTGGCCCAGTTGAACAAACCAACCCATAAGAGAACGACGAGTCAGGAGACAGGTTGCCCAATCAGAGTTGCACCAACCAGAGATATGTAGGTTACAGTCTGCACGAAGAAAAATACCCTGACCTAGAGAACCCTTCAAATACCGGACCACTCGAAGAGCTGCATCCCAATAAGCTTGCATGAGCTTCTGCATAAACTGAGACAAGATATAAACAGAGTAAGAAAGTTCAGGGCGTGTAACAGCAAGATAAATCAGACGACTGACCAAGCGGCGATGCTGCTCAGGATGAGAAAATGGAGGATCAGAAGCCGAAGAGAGATTATGGTTATGCTCCAATGAAAAACCAACAGGTTTAGCACCCAACAGCCCCACCTCGGAAATGATATCCAAAGCATACTTGCGCTGACAGAAAAAAATGTCATAAGAGTTCCGAGCCACTTCAAGACCTATAAAATGTTTCAGGACACCAAGATCTTTCATATGAAAACAGTTATTCAAATAAATTTTGAAAGATCGTAGATCATGACTGTCATTGCCTGAGAGAATCAAATCATCAACATAAATCAACACATTGAGTTGCAGGGAACGACGTTGCAAAGTAAACAAAGAATAATCAGAGTAAGATTAGCGAAAACCATATTGGTGCAGGGCACTAGTCAATTTGGCAAACCAACACCGAGGGGCCTGACATAAGCCATACAGACGACGGCGCAACCGGTAAACACTACCCGGATGCACAGAGGAAAATTCAGGAGACAACTTCATATATACTTCTTCACCCAGATCACCATGAAGAAACGCATTGTGGACATCTATCTGATGAAATTCCCATCTTTTGGCAGCAGGGACCAATAGAAAAGTACGAACCGTCGTCATTTTGGCGACAGGCGCAAAAGTCTCATTATAATCAAGACCCTCAATCTGATTGTTGCCCAAGATCACCAGGCGAGCTTTATAGCGCTCAACTGAACCATCAAAGTGATACTTGATCTTAAAAAGCCATTTGCACCCAATGGCGCGTTTCCCTGAAGAGAGGGGTTCCACAGTCCAAGTACCATTATGCTCAAGAGCTTGAATTTCATGTTGCATTGTGGTAGGCCACCGGACATCTTTCATGGCCTCTGAAAAAGTGCGAGGCTCGACACCTGCTGCCACACTAGCCAAAAAAGCACGATGTTGTAGAGAAAAAGAATTATAACTCACATAATTGTGTAAAGGATAGGACGTACTTGAGAAAACTGATGGAGAAGATGAGGATTAAGTGGGGCTTACAGGAGTAATCGTATGAGAAACAAAGTCGTGTAGACAAGTAGAGCGATACTTGGTTCTATGCCCACGACCCAATAGCTCTTCTTGATTCTCAGGAGAAGGAGAACCCCCCTCCCCCCCAGGGCAGAAGAGGTCTCATCACCAGAATCAGGCACAACTTCAGTTGAACCAACATTACCAGAAGTAGGGAGCACAGTATCCACAGGTGGTGACACAATGTTCGAAGAAACAATAGGAGGCTCAAGATCATCATCATCAAGAATAGGAGAAGAATCAATGCGAGGTAAATCCACAACATTAGAGTAGGCAGCCAAGTAAGGAAATTCAGACTCAGAGAAAACAACATCTCGAGACACAAAGAAATTCCCAGAATCTAAATCACACACTCTCCTATCCTTTTGACCATAGGGATAACCCACAAACACACACCTGTGACTACGACTAGAGAATTTATCGCCATTACGAACTTGATTGTGTAAATAACACAAACAACCAAAAACACGGAGATGAGCAAACAAAGGCAGCTTGCCATACAAAATCTCACATGGAGTTTTTCCTTTCAAAATAGCAGATGGAGTACGATTAATGAGGTAGCCAGCATCTAAAATACAATCAATCCAAAATTCAATAGGCAGATTGGCCTGAAATCGTAAAGCACGGGCAACATTGAGAATATGTCTATGTTTATGTTCGACCCGACCATTTTGTTGAGGGGTCCCGATACAAGAAGTCTCATGCAAAATGTCACGGGCTTACTTTTTCAAAGTAACGGCCGTGCGGCACTAGCACAAACCAACTAACGATCAAGTGCTAGCTCAGCCTTAAGACCCCTAAAGCGTGCAAAGCTAGGCAAGACCTTAAAGAACGGAGGCAAAGAAAAACTTAAGAAAGTTTGAAAGTGAAAGAATGATGAAAGCACAAGAGAGCTTAAGGAATGCTTGAGAACTCTACTCAAAGCTTGGATGGATTACAAATGAAGGGGGCATGGGGTATTTATAGGCAAACCCCAAGTCCTAAAGAATTCTAGAGAATTCTATGTACATAATAAAATAATGGAATTCTAGAGAATTCCTACAATAAAATATTCTAAGTTCAAGATATCTACAAGTCTCTAGAATCTTCCACACGGTTCTAGCAAACTCGGGTAGCTTCCACACGGTTCCACCCGTTTCTAGAGAGTTCCGGGCCTCTCTAGAAAATTCCAGAGTCTTCAAGATTTGACCGGAGAATTCCACAAGGCTCTAGACCGTTCCGTCCCATGTCCGTCTACGAAAATAGCCTGTTTCGCATCAAACCACCCGAATTCGTGGTGAAGAAAAACTGTCCGTGACAAAAATACCATATTGACGGAAATAATCAGTAATGTACAAAAATTTTGTACCATTATCATTACGAACAGTTTTGACTAACTTGCCAAACTGAGGTTCAACCATTGCCAAAAAATTGCATAAATGCAAAGACACGGTGCGCTTATCAATCAACGAATAAATCCACGTAGCTCTAGAATAATCGTCAACAATTATAAAAAAATAACGAGCTTCAGAAAATGAGAGAATCCGATATGGGCCCCATAAATCACAATGCACCAAATCAAAAACATCACTAGTTCTAATAGTCCTAACAGGAAAACTGTCTCTGGACTGTTTGGCCCGATAACAAATGTCACAAGCCTTATTAAAAATACTACTAGACTTTTGAGAACCAACATGGGAAAGCATCTTTAAAACCTTAGAAGACGGATATCCCATTCGTCCATGCCACAAATCAAACGAAGGAAAATCATCAATCTACATAGTAGCTGCAGTTTCCACCGGCCGGAAGAAATAAAGTCCTCTCGTTGCTTACCCGCTCCAATCAGAGTCCTCGAATTTGGGTCCTGTATAAAACACAACTGGTGAGTGAAATGAGCAATGAAAGAAGAATCACGGAATAATTGCGAAACAGAGATCAAATTACACTGCAGACTGGGCACATAAAGAACATTATGCAACGTCTTGGTGTTGCTAAGAATGATTGTTCCGGCCTTAGTAGTGAAAGTGTGCTCGTCGTTGGGCAACTTAACCAGAACGCCATTGATATCATGAACATCAGCAAAATAGGCGATAGAGCTTGTCATATGACGAGTAGCGCCCGAATCGTACATCCACTTTTTGAAAGAAAGCTTACCAGACAACTTTTCACTTGACCCGGACTTAGCCGAATTTAACAAATTAATCAAGGTGTGCCATTGATCCTGATTGAGAACAGTAACAGCAGTAGCTTATTCCATGCCACCGAGAGGATTTGGAGTCACCAAGGTGTTGGCTGCAGCCGGAGGAACCAAAGAAGAACCCAAAACCGAATTGCCTCTGTTGCTGCCATAGCCACCAGCACGACCCCGTCTATGACCAGCTCCCCCACGCGGCCAATCTGACGGATATCCAATGAGTTAGAAACAATCCGTCACTTCATGCCCAGGTCGATTGCAGTGCGTGCAAAAAAGGTTGCGACCACGGCCCTTCGATTTCGAACCGGAAGAAGAAGAAGACGCGGATGCAGCATAAGCCTGGACATCACCGCCGCCTGAAGTTGCAAAATTCCGAGAGACGCTATCGGTCTGAACGGCAAAACTCATTGTCGCCGACTGAGGTTCTTTGTGTTGAGCAGAACGCAAACGTTCTTCTTGGATCATCGGGGAGTACACACGTTAAAGGTTTGGCAACGGATCCTGCGAAAGAACGGTCGAACGCACAGAACCATAAAGCTCCGAATTCAAACCCAGAAGAAATTGATGCACACGTTCTGTTTCACGCTGCAATTCAAGAACAGCGGCCATTTTCGTCTGAGAAGGCTCGCACAAATCAGTCACCAGAGGACAATCTGAATCACCAACGTCGTCCCATAATTTCTGAAGTTTCCCATAATACGAACCAATGGACATACCGTGCTGTTTGCAATCAGCAAGGTCTGATTTCGATTGTTGCACTCTCGAACTAGTGACGACGGAATCTTTGCAGGAGATGGTTCCAGAAATCAGCCGCAATCTCTTCGGAGGGAATCGTCGACCGAACATGCGAATCAATGACATTAGAAATCCAGGAAATGAGCAACGACTGGATAGTCCACCAATCATCCAAGTCAGACGCTTTCTTCGGTTTCTTGATCGAGCCATCAAGGAAGCCGAACTTCTTCCGCGCCTGTAGAGCAACAGGAACGCTTTAAATGAAGGACTTTCAGACTTACAGGCGTTTAACCGGTGGAAGAAGTATGAGTTAAAATTTGGGTTTCACACGTGAGAGTGAAAATTTGAGTTCAAAAACAAATACAGTGGGCTAACTTGGAGGACTACCAAATTGTTGAAGATATAGGTTGATGATAAGGGGGAGTTGACCGGCAATGGACCTGTTTAGGTAAAGTGGCCGGTCACTCCCCTCGTTTATCTACTGGAACCAACTATTGTCTAGTGGGCCTTCTACAGCTTCTCTTCGTTTGTCTTCTCCGTCTTCCTACCTGATTCCTCTGCACATCAATGACGCTCACCTCAATCGATAGCCAAATTCATAAAAGCTGTAGGCCACATCAATCTGGTAATCTCTCAAAACGATTTTCTCCAAAAATCTAATAATTTCCTTTCCACAAACCAAACATCTCACTAGTTCTTACGCATCAAGGTTAGCAATTTTTTAGGTGCTTGCTGAGTTGTGTCGTTCTTTCATTCTTTTTATTCTTGATTAGCAAGAAATTACCGATACTTCAAAATCAATTCTGTTTTCCGACTATGGATTGTTGTTTTGCAAAATATAGACTGAATATGGGAACAAAAAGAAACATTACATATGCCCTAAAATCAGATTGCTGGTTTTGCACACTGTTTGATTATTGCCCTCAGAGTGTAATTGGGGACCTTCACATTGGCTTTTCCTATTTAAATAACAGACAGTTGCGCTTTCAAAAAAAATTGTGCATTCTGTGTGATGGTTTGTTTCTATTTATGTACTCTAGGTTGGAGTTATCAGGTCATTGGTCTTGTTTAACCCGTAGCTACTTTATGTACTCTAGGTTGGAGTCATTGTATGTGCATTTATAGTGTTTTACTTTCATTCTGTCTGACCATTTTATGCTAAAAGTCCCTGAGTTTATCATGTTTTCTTTTAATAATGTGTCGTATTTGTCATCATTGAGTTACACACTCTATTTCTTCTACATTTTATATCGAAAGAATATATTTAAGAGCACATGCTTCAAATCATGCTGGTCGCCTCACTGTCAAGTGCTTGTTCTTCCCCCCTTTGAGACTGAGGACACTGACAAATAGTTTTTCCTCTGTTTCTGTCAAATGAGGATCAATATGTTGCCTTTGATATATTAGTGAACAAACAAATCTATTACTGAATTGGCCTCAAGCTTTGCCTTTTAATGAAATATAGATTGTTCAGCTTTAAACTCCAATTTATTTATGCAAGAACATCATTTTAATGATGGTAGCTGGTAAAAGTTCACGCAACTTTTAATCATTAGGTGACTCTTGAATGCAAATAGCTCAAAAAAATTTAACAAAGTTCTCGGGTAACAAGTACCTGTGCTACTTTTTAACATTTATGTAACCTGTATCGGTATGCTTCTGTATGTATTACATAAAGTTTTTACGCCCAGGCTTCGCCACAACAACATCGACTAATAATGATTATTCAAACTTTCACCCCAACCAAGTTGGCAAATATCTTCATTACTCTCTGTTTGACTTCAGAACTTCAGAGACCTCCTTCTTGTGACACTTGTACCAGCTGACCGTGTAGTTAATTTAAACCCCAGTTCAGGTTTGTCAATTCCAGGTGGGGCTTCAGAGTATAACTTGGAAAATTAAGCACAAAGAGAAGGAAGTGTGGATTCTCGTGGGTTAAAGCTTAAACCATTTGCTCCATTCTATTTAATTTATTCATTTGATATGAATGGGTTGTTATAGCTTAGGTGACTAATTCTTTTTGGCGAACAGGGGCACGGATAACTTCGGCAAGATGGCCATAGTCATGAAAATAAATGATGAAGATACCAGCATTATTAGTCCTCAACATCAAGACCGTTTGCTTATCACTATTGATTGCTTGCTTGATAGATATACTTTGAACATTTGGGATGTGGGGGCCAGAAAACAATAAGATCTTATTGGAGGAACTATTTTGAGTAAATAGATGGATTGGTGTGGGTTGTTGATTGTTTGGATCTTAGCCGAACGCGATAAATCTGATCAGGTTAGTCACAATTTCTTTTTCAATTTTTCGTTTCTGTTGTGCTAAGGTGGTGGGTATCAACAATTCGTCAATTTGTTTCCAGTTTGAATTTTGTGATTTTGAAGAATTGAACGAATGGTTAATAGTTTTTGGAATCTATTTTGTATATCAGAAACTGAAGGCTCAGCTCAGAAGAGCTGAAGAAGAAGTCAATGGTGGTGGTATTGGCCTTGAGTTTCCGGTGTTCGAGTACTTTCTTTTCTAAAATGGAATAAATGATGTAATCTCATGACTGTTGAACTTGATGGCTCACAGACGAGTCTTTAATCCTTTTGGAAGGAGTTGTTATGTTTCTGACTCTTTGTTTAGATGCAATCACGTTTTTTTTCCTGGTTAGTAATTATGAATATCACTGCTTTGCCGTTTTTATGAATATCACTCACTTGTTCCCGTGTTTATTAGATCTCAATTCTTTCCCCTCCATAGTTGTACTGTTATTGTATCTTCTCTTACATACAATTGTAGAGTATGTAAGCTTACATAAATTGAGCTTTTGTTTTGCCCTCTAATAATTTTGGCTTTATTGTTGCGGCATTCCATTATTGCTCCAAAAATTGTGATATATTTGCATCCACAACTCAAAGGGCCTTCTTACAACTGCTGATAAAATTTGAATAACAAAAACATAAAAAAATCATTCCAAACACTGGGCTACAACTCACTCTAGGCTGCACAACGTGCAGCTCTCGTCCCTAGTAGTATTATTAACGTCCAAACTCCCTTCATTAATGTCAGGATTCAGGCTCTTCGATCACCACTACCACCCTGACCGCTCCTATTCGCCCGCCCCGTCCATAATTCCATCCTTTTGAGCTTTCAGGTTGGAGCTTTACTTTGAGAATTATCTCTCCTTTTTTCAATGGAATTATTCACTGTTTGTAGTAATTTTTGTGTTTATGTAATGTGTAACAGTGTAAGCAAACTCGCGGGGGTTCATTTTTGACATTCTTGTGAAATTGGGAGAAACTAGGGTTTTTTTTTTTTATTTATTGGGCTTCACCGAGGGGGGTTTTGCAATATTGCATGCGTGTAGTCGATCGGGTTTCACTTTCACATGATCAAATTATGTTTATTCATGCTTACCTTTGACAGCTCATTTTTAAAGTTGCTTCCTTTCAGTCATTTTTTTTTATCTCTGTTCTCTAAACTTTGAAGAGAGATGGCCGAGTTCCTTTTGATTTTTTCCTTTTTCGAAAAGTGAAAACTTAAGCTGGATAATAATTTTGGGACAGACTACCGAGGGAGTAGAATTGATCATAGTCTTCTAGGTTTTACTTGCGGATCTACGCCCGATTTTAAGTTTCATGGTTTAGTGAAGATTTATTTACGTGTGATTGACTCTAAACAAATGCTTATTAACTCAGAGACATTGCACTCCAAATGGCATCTGAGGTGGTGAGAAAAGCAGATGAGAACAATTTGAGCCTTGTGCGAGAGCAAACGGTGAACTACATAATAGGCTTATTTCCTGTCTTAATGCAGTTTCTCGTCATCAAATTTGTGCCAAGTGCGTAATTTGATCTTTTTAACTTTATGAAATTGGGATGTACTAATTGCAGAGAGAGAACGAGGGGGCTTTCGTGAAGTTGTTAATGGAGATTGAAGAGCTTAAAGGAAAAGCAGAGGCGATGGAGTATGTGGTAGATGCTGTAGCTGTGCAGAAGCAAATCCAAGAACTGACAGAGAAGATTGAGGTCAAGGATTCAGCGGAGGAATTACTGCAAAGCTTGAATGTTAAACATCGCCAAGCCTATGCTGAGCTTATGGATGCTCGGAAAGAGCTGATTTTGGTACGAGTTTCTTAAAATGTTATATTGTTGATTCTATCATAATCTTGTTTTGTACTCTGATAGGAGAACGATACTGTAAGCGAGCTGATTTTGGGTCCCATTGTTGGTGTGCTTTTTTGTCCTAACAAATTATTGCCTACGGATGAGTGAAACATCCTTAAAGGAAGTATTGTAGATTCATTCCACAGCGAACATTTCCGTTCTTTTGCTGAAAATTATGTTGTAGGATGTATACTGATTATAAGGCGGGAAACTTTTGTTGTCAATTAGTATAACCCAAGTTATTTGCTGCTTTATCATCTGTTGGATGCAAAACTTACAGAGAATAGTACACTATTACGCCTCATGTAGTTCTGTTTGGTAGAAAGAGCTCTTTAGGAGTTTAGGGAGTGGTTCTTCCTCATGTTACAATGGTTGGAGGCAGGGAGTCTGGGATTTACAAATTATGACAGTTGCAAACTTCTAATATCAACTCCAACAAGTAGGTAAATGGTGAATAAAATATGGTTGAAGGTCATTATCACTTTTTTTTTTTCAATTGAATGACTGAGTGAGTGAGAATCGAAACATTAATTTTTTCGTCATAACTATTTTCCATTCTGATTCTCTGACCACCCAACCAACCCTCTCACTCATCATCACTCGTTCTTAAAATAAATGAACATATCTACTCCCAAAAAATATTAAAGTCTACTAATATTATTACTACATTCAATTTCATGATGTTGGTGGAACCGTCTCTTCAAGACTTTTGACTTTTGACGTTTCGATTTGATCTTCCCTTCCATTACTAAGGGTAGAGTATGAGCCTTTGAAAAGGCTTATCGGTGTCCTCTTTTTGTTTTGATTGAGGTTAAAGCTGTACTTTCTATATCATTTTTTTCCCTCTTTTTCTTTAGGGTTTTAACATCTTAGCCTATTCCGGTGTAACGGCTCGAAAGGTTTTGAAACGTTTCATGCGCATTTTTGGTGGCTTTTTTTGCTTGATCAAAGTACTAGGTGTTAAACCCGCACATGTGCGGAATTTATTTATTCACATTTATGAAAATATTTTTATTATATTTTAAATGCACAAAATACACATTAAGTTGTTAGTTTATAATACAGATATTATCATAAACAAAAAGTTGCATATAATAGTTACTAGTATAATTATTATATGAGTATAAATAAAATAAAATCATTAAAAAAATTAATTGATTGAAATATTGCAAGTGATACAAAATGAAACTCTTTCATACCTACACGGAAAAAAATGTAATAATGTAAGACAAAATTTTAAAGAGGATTGCAAAGATTAAAGTAAATACAATTATTTTATTGAGTATTTATTATTATTGTTAAATTTATTCAAGTAGCCATATTGAATTTCCTAATGACGCCAAAAGAAGTGGGGCGAAATTGCAATTACACTACAAGAATATATGAAGTTGTTAGAATAAGTTGTTTGGATTTGGCATTTTAGATTTAGTGATGATGGATGGAAAGAAGAATATATAAATGATTTTTTAATGGTATCTATCGAGACACCTAAAAGTGTCATCATAAAAAGTATAGAGGACATCTCACCGAAGTTGCAATTCTCTAAGTTCATGTTAGCAATAAAATCATTTACACTTTTTCTTTGGTAAGTTGAACTAATTTGAGAACTATATTGTAATAATAGGTAGAATAAATTAAATATAGTAGAGGTTCAAAGAGACAATTTAAGCACTATTTATGGACATGATTTATCATAACAGTCCTAATTTCCAAGCAATCTCAACACAACGAATTAGTCTATCAAGTGACACAAATTTTCATATAAGCACTAAAATACTATTTTCAAGGAATCAGAAAAATAAAGGGAGCTATGTTGCAAATCTGAGTATTAGACAACTATATCACAAAGTTGTAAAGTTCGACGGAGAAAGTTGAATGAAATTTTATCGTCTTCTGGGTGCAATTCGGCGGGGTATTTTGTGGATTTGTCGCCCTCAATTATAAACATTCCAAACTATTTTATGATATGTTGATATCGGAAAGTCATCTTGCTGGTACATTCCAAACTTTTTGGGATGATTGATTAACTCATTTTACAAGTTGTTTCTCAAACTTGAAACCGCGCGCTCTTCTTCTTCCTTTTCTCTTAAGAAAATCTGAACTTCGATTGATCTGAAGTTATGAAGTATCAACTATTCAACTGTCCTTTCAAGGAGGAATATTTAGATGGGTTTTGTTAAGTATCTTATTCTTTACTTGGACTCCTACTTCCTAAAAGAGAAAAGATCGAGTAAAAATTCGAAACTTCAGATTAACCCTAAGTTACAAAAAATGAATAAACTTGACCCACCGCATGTACGTATGGGAGAATAACCCGGCCCGATCGAGAAATTGAACTCAAACCCTACGGAAGTGGTAGTGCAATCATTTAGGATATGATTGTTTCGTTTTTTTATGTGTGTTTTTAGATATTTTTTGTATCGAGAATGTTAAAAAATGTATTGGAATTGTAAAAATGTATGGTGAAATGGGACAGTTATCATTTCATTAATTAAAAAAAACCAAAAAAAAACTAAACAAACAAATCCATAGCACTCACATCCTTGACGTTCGTTCCCAATTTAATTACATCCACAATATTGTAGTACTGTAAAATACTGAGAAGTGAGAACCCACCCTCAAGGTAAAGTATCACTTAACAAAGAAGAAGTCAAAATACATTTCCAAAAATTAAAACGTTGTGAGAATAAAATGCAACTCTTCTTTGGAGCTAAAGTCTAGGGATGATAACAAGGAGGCCTTTGATCAATTCAGATCGAACCAAAATAGGAGTCCTCACATTCAGATTCATCAATAGAATTTTGCCAGGCAAGACCGGATTTCCTCAATCATTTGCGCTTTCATTTTTGAATTTTTGGCACAGGGAATGAAGAATTTAAGGTGGTCCGATTCCGGACAATATCGCTGCTGTAACGCGGATTGAATTTGACAAAATTAATGGAAGAAAAAATTGCGATCAAACAAAGAGACTTCGGATCACCTACATTGGGTGCATTCATGAGTATGGCTGACTGAATGACCTGGGTATGCGTTTACTAAGCTATAATAATTATATTATTGGGAAATTATATGTTATTACTCACTCAAAATTCATGGTAGGGAAAATGAGTCATTACGGAGGAATTGCAATGTGAAACTAAACATGTATATTGTGAACCCAATGGTTTGCCATGATTGATTGATTTATTTAACGGCGAACGAACATCAAGATGTGCAAGTGCGCAGTTGTTGATGGTCATTAATTCGTAATATTGTAATGTAGTAATAAACTAGTAGTAATAATGAAGTTTCTCCTCCCCCTTTTTTTTTATTAACATTGTTGAAATGACAACAAAAATTTGTGCCCTAATATTCATTCCTGCTATGTTCTCTTTATAATAAGGTACAAATTCAAAATCTTATAAACTGGACTGGAGAGCTTAAATGTTCTGGGAAAGGAACGGATGCATTGAGTGGATCAGGACTAGCGTTAGGTTCCGGCCATTTCTCTGAGCTTTGACGGCATCGCTCATTTCTGCGCAAAAGAGAAGACTTGAGGTCAAGTCAACATTGAAAATTTGAACAAAATCGTTGACAAAAATTCACACCATTTTTTTAAAAATCTTATACCTTCTCTTTTATTCGAATGAAGATTATAAATAATGTATTGGGTAAAAAAAAATTTCCATACTTGCAGTGCCAAATTTTATGTTTGAGTCAAAATTGTATTTGAAAGTGAAAACCGATTTGGCTCAAACTAATTTAAGATGACTGTGTGATATTCTCAAAATACGGAGTCCAAACGTTCAAACCGTAAATAAGATGCCAACACCTTCGACGCAAAACCGGTTCGAATAGTAAAATATTTGTCAATGAACTTGTAAAGAACTCCGAAAGAATAAATAAAACGGCCTAGAACGGTCAGCTTTATTGATTTGAAGGAAACGAATCGGATATGAGTAGCCATAAACGTTAAGAGCCGGTAATGATCAGTACAAAATGTAAAGAAAATACAAGAAAGTTTGAAGAAAAACAAATGACGAAAAAGCTATAAAGAAAGTTAAATGTATAATCTTGTGTGATGAATTGTGTGTGCGGTTATCTCTTCTTAGCTTTTATAAACTTTCCGCCAACCCAAGTTGGGATGCAACCAAAGTCGAATACGAAAAGGACTTCTGTTGCGGTAGGAATCTTTCTCCGACAAGGATTGCTGCGTTGATGAATCCTTTTCCAACAATAATTTCTGTGTCGATAAATTCTTCTCCAATTCAACTTGTTGGTCGACGCCTTATCCCTGGACTCGCAACTCCTTGCGGGCTAACACTATTTTACGGCGATCGGCCCAACTCATGTGAACCGGATTTGTTAAAATCGGTCCAACATAAAGCCCCCCCGAAGAAAGCAAATTTGGCTGAAAATTGCTTGCCTTACTACCCATGCCTACAAGGCCCAATGTAGTGGGACAATCCAGCAAAGAATCTGCTCAATAGGAAAAAGAATTTGATCGGCCCAGGATCCTCCCCTGGCAAAGGCGCGTGTGACACAGACGCGGGTTTGTTAACGCCTAACGGCTGGATGACTCCGTGAATCTCGAGTGTTGACCAGAAGGAAATTTTGAATGTTGTTTAAGGGATGGCGGAGAGAGAAAGAAGAAATCTCAACAGCTTTTCTATTGTGTCAACGGAAAAGAAAATCTATCCCGATTCCAAATCGAAGAAAAATCTCAATTTGCCACACCAAAATTCTATTAAAGCAACATCTGAGACCAGAGAAAGAATCATTTGATGAAGCCGTGACGCTGCCCTTCAATCGATCTGCACGGCACTTTACTCTGGGGCAAAATTTCCCGACGACGCCGGAGAATCTGAGAGAATACATTCCATTGTTGTGTCCAGAAGATGCCTACCATAAATACCACAATCCTCGCAAGTTTGAGAGATTCGAAAGGATTCGGGTATGGCCATGGTCGGACAATGTAAGTGCCGATAAGCATGTAGAATATTATCCAACCAACATTGTAGCCCTCCAATTTGGATTTGCTCAAAGCGTGCCACATTTTGAAGTGTCTGGTTGGAACACAGGAAGATTAGGTAGAGAAAAAACTAACCATGGCACAGTATGTAGAACATTAGGAACTGATGGCTACTCGTGGAAAAACTGCACCGATAAATCCCTTCAAAATTTGTTTTGAAGTAACCCCTGGTTTTGCAGAATGGTGGAGCCAAATTGCAGGTAGCATGTTTGGATCTGGATATGAAGCTGTGAAGAGTGCTTTCCAGATTAGAAAGTATACCAAACCTGAAGCTGCAGCTACCGCGCCTGAAACTGACCCGAAAGGTAACATAATTCCACTTATGAATATATATCATTTTGTGATCTATGAAAGTCATATTGGTTATTGGCATGATAGGGAAAAACAAGGCTGGTGGGAAAGCAAAAGGTGGTCCAGAAAAAGACAAAAAGGCCCTACTACTGCAGGAGGAAAAACCAAACAAGTTCCTGTCAAGGATGTACCAACCACAACCCGCCGATCCACTAGATTGATTGGGCATAAGCGGTCTGCAAGTAAAGCTAGCAACAAGGTGAATGCACCATAGTTATATGAAACGTTTTGCCCGAACTTATTGTGACCAAGTCTCATATCTGTCGTCGTCCTGCAGGAGAATCCGATAAATGTGGACAACAGTGATGACGAGTCTGAAAGTAAAGAGAGTGAGAAAGGCTCAGTCGCCGTTGGGGAAAGTATTGCCACCAAGAAAGACGTGTCAGAGTCTGGCGGAACTAAGAGTAAGAAGAAAATGCAAGCAACCACTTCTTCGACCCAAACAGGTTCTAGAAAGAAAGCTTCTCCTTCTGTTGCATCTCTGATGGCACGTTTAGAACAAACCAAAGCTGCTGTATCGATGAAATTTAGTCCTGTGGCTAGTGAGCCTGACATCCCTTTGGGTGTTGCCCTGCAACAGATTGCTGAAATGTTCCAATTGCCAGCAAAAGTAGTCTATAGCACTAAATATGATTAGTTGAAAAAATTTCGATCGACAATTCAAATTGCTCCCATTGATGATGGCATGGCATCGTTGATTCGCCTGATTGCAGCAGAAGTGGACCAAAAACAAATAGAACGCCAAGTCTGTGTGCCACACATAGAAGAATACCAAGCTACTGGAGCAACTAGTAGATCAAGCAGCACAACTAGAAGCAAAGATTAAGAAGAAAATGGTAGAAGAAGCATATCCGATGGCCAAATTGGAGAAAGTGCAGATTAAGAGAGCAGAGTTAGAAACCACCTTGGGTACAATTGTGGCAGAGACCGATGTTGCATTAAGTGAGTATGGGAATATGACCAAAACATTTGCAAAACTCCATTCCAAGTATCAAGATACTCAACACGTGGTGAAAGAAGCACAAAGAAGCTGGGAATTCCTGAAGGGTACCATCTCTCGGCTCATGCAGCAGGTTGCTATGGCTGCAAGTACTACTTCTGCTTCCCCTGCAACTGATGATCAGTCACTGCCAAAGCCAAGTGAGGTGATTCCAACAATGGATATAAGCCCTGCAACATAAAAAGGAAAGATCACCACTCCACCACTAGCCGACGAAAAAGTGTTAGATGTGGCCCCATTGCGGAGTGAACCCTTTGGGGGAGGATTTGCCATCTTCCCCTTCTGTGTAATCTCCTTAATTGTCATCTGCATTGTTTTTCCTATTTTTTTTTCGATGTTGCAACGGTCATGATTCCTGCAAGAAAAAACAAACTTTTGTCTATTTTGTTAGTAATAAACATCCCGTCTGCTTAAGTATATCTTCTATTTGCAATGTCTCGTGCCAACTGTTGCTCTTCATGGCTGAGTTTGTCCCATGCAGTAGTGAAATACTTCTGCAAAAAGGTAGCATTAATAGATCTATCTGCAACAGTTCTATCCAAGTCTTTCAAAATGTATACCCCACGTTGTAAATGTCGGTGTATAATATAAGGATGTTCCCAAGTGGGGCTCCATTTCCCATAAGCCCAATCTTTGTATCCCAACGGTAACACAGCTTTCCAGACCTTTGTACCAACATTAAACTACCTAAGCCTCACAAATCTGTTGTAAGTACGTATAATTCCGGACTTCTGATTGATGATATTGGAGGTTGCTGCATTCCGGATATGAGATAATCGTTCTTGATCAATCTGCATTGTTGTAGCATAGTCGGGTGAGTCTAATGGAGATTGTTGAGTAATCCTAAGAGAGGGCAAAAGATGCTCGATGGGCAAGACAGCGTCATGTCCGTAAACCAATTCATACGGAGTTGCCTTGGTGCTACCCCATTGAGTTACGCGATATTGTCATAATACTTGCCGTAGTATATCATGCCATTGTCTTGGATTATCAGAAATTGTTTTCTGGATAATGCCCTTTAGTATCTTATTTGTGGACTCAGCCTGACCATTCCCTTGCGCAAAATAAGGCGAAGAATGTGTTAGGGTGAAACCCATATCCTTGGCGAATTGCACCATTTCCTTCACAACAAAGTATTGTGCTTGATCTGTGATTATTGTTTTAGGCAGGCCAAATCCGTATATGATCAGGTCTTGCAGGAAAAAGATAACCGCCTTTTGATCGACATCTTTCAATGGCACTGTTTCGACCCACTTGGTGAAATAATCTATTGCGACCAAGACATAACAATGTCCAAAAGAAGATGGTGGATGTATCATGCCAATTACATCCAAGGCCCAACAACGGAACAACCATGGTTTAACTATGAATTGCATTGGCTCTGGATGCGTATGTGGAATATCTGCATGCTTTTGACAATTAACACATCCACAAGCAAAATTGATGCAGTCTTGGGTCATAGTAAGCCAGAAATAACCATGGCGGCGGAGCAACCAAGCCATTTTACGCCCGTCTTGATGTGCGCCACAATACCCTTCATGCATTTCCTGCATAAGAATTGTATACTCTGGCTTACTTAGACATCGAAGTAAAACTTCATCTGCTGTTTTTCTATATAATTGCCCTTACAACAAAACATAGTTAGGTGCTTGACGCCGGATAGATAATTGAGTTTGGTGAGTCGGGTCCTGCAGAAACCGGATTATTAATACACGCCAATCACTGGATGTGGTATCTGTTATAACGGAAAGGACCTCTACAGGATTGTAACGAATATACGCTGGAGTGTCGAAATTAACGGTGTTATAAGCAATATCATGATCAACTGGTGTCATGATACCCGGAAGCCAATTATGCCATGTCATTGGCCTCACCATTAAAGTCCCTTTCAACATTGTAAAATTCAATATGCTGGAATTGAGCTGTAAGGATGTCGCCTATGGCTGCATATTTTGCCATGATATCGTCATTACGATTCATCAACCTCTTCATTTGCCCGATGACCAATGCAGAATCGCCAACCACCTTTGCACGAGTTGCACCATTATGTAATAAAGTCTGCAACGCACGGATTAATCCTTCATATTCCGCCTGATTATGTGTTGCGCAGAAACTTAGGCGAACCTGAGAATGCAGCTTTTTTCCACTCGGAGAAGTGACAACTATTCCAGCGCCGCTACTCGTGAAAGTCCGGGATCCGTCAAAATGTGACGTCCGTAAAGGCTCTTCCACTTGATGCACCTAAAATGATTCGGGGAATTCATCGCTCCAATTTTCATCAAGTGAGGGATGTGCAGCTAAGAAGTCTGCTAATGCCTGACCTTTTACTGCTGATTGGCACATGTTGAAATTGATATTCCATCAAAGCTAACACCTATTTTTCGATTCGGCCACTCATCGTTGGACGGTGCAACATGTACCGGACAAGATTAACTTTGCTAATGACGCATACTAACCCAGGGAGCATGTAATGGCATAATTTGATTGCAGCAGAATACAATGCTAAGCGCAACTCAGAGGATATCTGCATTCCATATCAGTAAGCATGCGGATTAAATAGTAAACAGTTCTGTCGAAACCATCGTGGCCATCTTGGGCTAGTAAGCAGCCCAACGATTCTTTAGTCGTAGAAAAGTACAGTTGCAATGGCTTACCTTTGATTGGGGCAACCATAACCGGAGGGGTAGACAAAGCAAGTTTGATATCCTGGAAAGCTTGTTGTTGCTCCTCTTTCCATACAAAATCTTCAGCCGCTTGAACCTTCAAAAGTGGGGTGAAGGGTCTCAATTTCTTAGACAAATTGGAGATAAATCGGCGTAAAAAATTAACTTTGCCGATCAGACTCTGTAATTTTTTCTCAGTACGGGGAGGTCTAGCGTCAATAATCGCTTTAGCCTTTTCAGCATCAACTTCAATACCCCTTGAATGGACTAAATCCAAAAACACACCGGATGTCACTGCAAATGCACACTTTAATGGATTCAATTTCAATTGATATTTCTGCATTCGCTCAAAAAATTGGCTGCAAATGTTGCAGATGTTCTAAAAAGGAATGTGACTTCATAACAACGTCATCGATGTAGACCTCCAAAATCTTTCCAATGAGATTATGGAAGATGCAGTTAATTGCTCTTTGATAGGTTGCTCTTGCATTCTTTAATCCAAAAGGCATGACCTTCCATTGAAATATGCCTAACACCCCAGGTGCTCGAAAAATCTGTGTGGAAATATGACAAAAATTCCCTTTGTTGTGCGTCCCATGATGGTATGGAGCCTGGTGCTAATGATCGATACCAATCAAAAGCGGTTCCCTTCAAAGAATACGGAAACAGATGCAACTTGATCAATGCATGGTTGTTTACTGAACCACATTGCAACTCAAAAAGGCTAATGTGTTCTTTAGGTCGTTTGTCATCCTCACCCGAAAACTGTTGAAAATCTGGAATATTGAAGCTTCTCCGCAATGGTTCCCGTTCAACAAAATCAGGATAAGGTTTTCCTGGTACTTCTGGAATCTCTGTCCCTAATTCCTTTCATACCATATCTTCTACCATTCTTGAAAATGTTGCCTCCGCGTTCAATGTTTGCTCAACTCCAACTTCAAAGTCCTGTTGTTGGTTAACATTTACTGTTACATCTTGCTCTTGCCGAAATTCATTTCTAAGATCCACTCGATGGCGGCCACCCCTTTGACCCAAAGGCTTTGGCTATTGTCCACGTTGCCGGTTAATGTTTGCGCCTAAAGGATTGCCATAAGGGTGACCATTAGCATGTGCTCTGTTCCTATTCAAAATTTGATTTGCTTTGTATTCCATCCACTGTTGTTCTTCTCTATTTTCTTCCAATGTTGGATGCGGCGGAACTACATTCTGATTAGAAACCACAATGCCTAACCCTTGAGGTATATGTGGATCAATAAAATTGGCACCTGCATTATTACCTCTTGATATTGGCAGCGTAGCACGATTTTGATACAGAATAAAATGGCAATCATTGTTTCCCTGAACATTTTGCCCTGCTCGTTCCGTATTCTCGACAAGGGTGCCTTGATTTGAACCTGAACCCGTTGGACCTTGAAGCAAAAGCCTCTGATTCCTCTGCACACCTTGCATTGTCCGGGAAACATTTTCCTGCCTAGTATTCTGTCTCGGTATTATATCTCTCATGGGATCATTTCCTGTTGCAGTCCCTGTGTATTTGCTTTAGGACTAACTGGCCAAGCAACGTGATAATATAGCGCCATTGGTGTTCCATAAACTGTGGATTGTCCATTAAACTGAGCAGGCAATGGCAGTTACTAGCGTCCATCAAAAGTAAAATTCCTAGACTGCAGAATGAACGCTGGTTGGCTTGGATTCACTGAATAATACCAACTCTGTTGACCTTGTCCTGCAGTACCCCCAGCGGTTTGCGTAACATTGTTGCTTGATCCTTTTCCCATGTGTTGCACCGGAGTGACTGTTGCGGATGTGTTAAATATAGCATTTTACAGTGGATTACTGATCATATTCACCTGCGGGATCTCCACCTATGACGTTTCTGCAACCGTTTGGTTACCTAACGCCGTCAATGCATTAACACCTAAACTCCCTGAATCGGAACTCACATTCTGTTGGCTTATCACAAGTAGTGCTTGTTCAAATCGGGTTGTATGTGTAACAAGCTGTTGTTCCAACGCCATAAATCTTTGGTGGGTCAACTCTGGAGTCATTGGCGGAGTTTGATCCATCCGCCCTTGATTGTGAAACACTGGAGGAACATCGGGCTTTGAAATCCTAGAGTATGAAACCTGGATTCCTATAATACCCCAAAAAACTAGAACTTTCACCGAAAAGCCCTAACCCGGTGCTACTTGCACAAAACTATTGTTGATTAAATTGTTGATTAAATTGTCGTCTCAAACCAGTTGATTGATCAGTTATTACCGTTGAGTATGAATCAACTGCTGAAACACGAATAGGAGTACTTATCGGCACATAACTCCCATTTGAAGCAGAAGTTTGAATCGGCATTGACACTTGTCCCACCGATGGCACCGCTGCTGATACTTGAGGCATCGACATCGTTCTTTCTGTTTGCACAAGGCCTGGAACACGCAAATCGGTCCCACCTGGCGTCTTAAGAAAAAATGTTTTATATTTGGTTTAAATGATTAAAAAGGTTTCCTTCAGTGGGAAGTTCTTAGTTTTTTTTTTTTTTTTTTGGGGGTGAAATTATTAAAGGCACAATGTTCAAAGAACATGTAGTAATAAATTTTGCTCTATATACCAACAAACACTTTCTGTCTTTTGACGAAGTCATCAAATTAAAAGATCAAGTTTTGTACATTCTGGACGACATTTTAACAAACACTTCATATGCCATTTGCCGTACGTGATGGAATTTTGGTAGGCATGCATTTGAATTTTACCTCTTATATATATTCTTACTATTTTTGTTTTTCTGCCCGTATATATCATCATGCATGCAACAAATGGTCAGCCAATTAGAAATTAATATGATTTAAAGTTACCAAACAAATGTACTCTCCCTCCATCCTTGAAGATGAGTAATATTGTTTGTGTTTTCTTTGTATAAATTTTTTTTAGGACGGAAGAAGTATTATTTCGTGAATTAGCTATATCTATAGTCGATCGTATAACGACGAGTCAACGGCAGAACTTTTAGAAAAAATTGGTTTCCGTTTTCCAAAGGAACATTCTCATTCTGAGTCTACTTGGCAATTTGTAACGTAAGTCAGGAATCAGGACGCAAAACATTATCATAGGGGTGCATTCAGTCTAACAAGTTTTAAACCAGAATAAGCAACGAGGATGGACTCAAGTCAGTCAACTACTCCAAGACACTACCGTTTTCTGGCTAATATTCATTCTTGACTGAATTAATGATATTCTTATTTTTGGATCTTCTATTATTTGTGGCACATTCTTAGAGTCGACTTCTTAGTGTGGTGTTTGACGATTTCGTGTAAAGAAGACGTATAGTATCAACCACAACGCTATTTATCAAACTCTATATATACACCATCCCCATATTACAGCTTCTCATGCAAATCTTCAATACCAAAAAAAACAACCCAAAAAAGAAGAAAAATGAAAATGAGGATGAAGATTAAAATTGCTAGCCTTCAAGCTTTCTTTGCTATTTTCTTAACCTTTTCATTGGTTGCATTTGCATCCAAAACACCAAAACCTAATGAGCAAGCTTTTCTTAGCTGCCTTGTTGAACGTGACACCACAATATCAAGCCTGATTTACACACCAAAAAACACCAGCTTCTCCAACGCCCTGAATTTCTTGATACAAAATGCACGTTTTATGAATCCACAAACCCCTAAACCGAAAGCCATTCTTACCCCAGTAGCCGAATCCCAGATACAAACCGCGATTTATTGCGCTAAAAAACATGATATGGAGATGAGAGTTCGAAGTGGAGGGCACGATTTCGAGGGAAGTTCCTACATTTCTCGAGTACCCTTTTTCGTACTCGATATGTATAACTTTCGATCAATCGTTGTGGATTCGGATTCAAAAACTGCCTGGATGGGCGTAGGATTGACTCTTGGTGAAACATATTATAAAATTAATGAGAAAAAAACCACATTGGCTTGCCCAGCTGGATACTGGCCAAGTGTTGGTGTTGGAGGACATATTGGTGCTGGTGGATATGGTCCTCTGGTTAGGGAATTTGGCCTAGCCGCTGACAACGTTATCGACGCTCGGATCGTCGATGTTAACGGAAGAATTCTTGATAGGAAATCCATGGGGGAAGATCTGTTTTGGGCTATTCGAGGCGGGGTTGGTTCGAATTTTGCAGTAATTCTTTCATACAAAGTAAGACTGTTTGAAGTTCCTGTTCGGGTTTCCGGGTTTAACGTGAAAAGAACCCTGGAACAAGGCGCAATTCAGCTAGTCCATAAATGGCAACAAATTTCTCCCAAAATGCCAGTAAAATTAGGCCTCACAGTCCAATTATACAGCATTGTTAACTCAGCTGAATCTGGGAAGAAAACTATCTTAACCGAATTCATCACGACTTATCGTGGTGGGATTAATCAGCTGCTTTCGATCATGAGACGTTATTTCCCTGAATTGGGAGTGACCCGAAAAGATTGTCAGGAAATGCCATGGATCAAAAGCTATCCATTCTCGCTTGGAGTTCCAATTGATGATAACAACAATTTGAACGTGAAAGATTTCTTGACAAACAGAGGTTCACTAGGGGACCCGTCTGGTTTCAAATGGAAAGTCGATTTTACGGAGGATCCAATTCCACCAGAAGGACTAGAGAAGATATTCAGCAAGCTCCATGAAGTTCCTCCAATGACAGCTCAATTGGGATGGACGATTTTAGGAGGAGGGATCATGGATAAAATCCCTGAATCCCGAATTCCATTCCCACATCGGCGTAAACTGATGGTGATGCGTCACGTCGTGTTCTGGAACAAAAATGACACGTCAGTAGTAGCACAAACACGAATTGATTGGATGCAACAACTTCATAGGATCATCGGGCCATACGTTCCGAATAATCCTAGGGCTGCCTATGCCGGATACCGGGATTTCGAATTGGGAGTGAACGTTGTTGAGAATCGTGATCAGACGAGCGATGTTGAGAATGCAAGAATGTGGGGAAGTGCATATTTCAAGAACAATTTTGACAGGTTGGTCAGAGTGAAGAGTTTGGTTGATCCTCAGAATTTCCTCAAGAGTGAACAGAGCATTCCCATCCTCCAACGTTAGTAGGTCGTCCCAATAGGATATAATTCAATCTTCCCATCCTTATTAATTTCCGTAGAATGGAAGTTAATTTGTGTTTGTCTGAATTTAATTGCTGCTATCAGCTTCTTCTGTTTTGACTCAAGATTCTTTATCTTCTCCAATTTGTAATAAGTTGAGTTCTCAAACTTTCTTTTCTTTTCGGGCTAAAATAATATAGCTCAACTTTTAATTTCACTGATCCACTGTTCACTTTTTATTTGGGCATATTACACAACCATGTGTTTAAGATCGTTGTTACGACTAGCCTACTAAGTTCTTTCTGACAGATAAATCTCTCCCAACAAATACTATTGTATGTCTATGCTTAGATTCAAACTCAGATCATAATTAAAATCCAGATCATTATATCCATTGTCGACCGTCCCATTAATTTTTCTTTTCCCGGATTGTTTATTAGCAGAGCATTGAACTCCTAATCTTTCGGTTTACAATCATCCGTCCTCACCATCTTATTATTGTTTCGAGGTCTTGTAGCTTGATAGTGAGATTAAGAAAATGTTACCAAGATGCAACAAATAATTAAGTATATGAAAATAATTTCGCCTTTTCTTTTTTTTTTTTTTTGTTTTCATCCTACATTACGTATTTAATATTCGAAATTATTGCTCCGACCAATTTAAGTTTAAGTGGACTATGTACAACTCATAAGTCAAATAAAATTTTATTTTGAGCATATTAGCTACTGGATATCCGAAGTCATTGTTTCGATTAATCCGGATTCGAAGTCATGATAAATTTAATAGGTAGAGGCTATGATCAAGAAAAGAAATAACTTATACACTACTCACTTTGACAAAAATATTAATGATATTAGTAAGTTAATGAAAACTTCAAGTAATTACCATTCAGCCAAGTACAAACAAAATCACTTATAATAGCTAGATCCCATACTAATTTCTAATGACGTGCGACCGCGATGATTTCTTCAGCAGCCCTGAGATCACGTACACCGGCCACTTAAACAAATCCACGCATAATTTACGACTAAGAATACAGTATAATAATGTTTATGTTCATTCATCATCGATTATATTAATTTTTAGCAAGTGCATTCACATTCAACAGAAATGCTCCGATCAAGTAGCAGATTTATTTATTTTGAAAAAAAAGTAGCAGGCTTATTCAAATCATAGTATATCCTTAATTAGTTCATTAACTGACCGGGAGTATCTTCATCCAGACTGCAACTTATTTATAAGATCGAGCGGCAAAGAGGTTGACTTTTTTTTCAGTTTTCACTAGTCGACAAGCATCGTCTTGGGAATCATGATTATCTGACATGAGTGTAATTGACAGTATCAAAAAGAATTTATAAATACTGCCAAGTAGATTTGATGCATTCATTAACATTAATTAATGGCCAAAAAGTCCACTGGCCAGCTGATTAGCTCACAAATTAACAAGAAACAGAGAAAAACAGGGGAGGGGGTACTCTCATTAATTAGTTTCTGATGTTATAAATATATATGTTCGAATGAGTTACTCAAAAAACAACAACAAGACAATTAAGTAGAATGGACGGAGAGAGATTCAAAAAGGAGACAAGGTTGAAGAAGAAGAAGAAGAAGAAGAATGGATCATTTAAGTCAATATTCACGCATGCAGACAGGGTTGACAAATTGTTGATGATCATCGGATTCATAGGAGCCGTTGGGGATGGAATCTTATTCCCGGTGATGCTGTTGGTGATTAGCAAACTCATGAACCGCATCGGAATCCGGGATCGGATTCATTCCGGCTCCGATCATCATAGTTTCACCCACACCATTCAAACTGTACTGAGTTTCTTCCATCCTCCATTTATTACCCTAAAACACACATTATTCATATCTACTGTAGGGATTTTTTTTTTTCCCCTTTCCTGATGTTATAATTAATTCTTTGTTTGATGCAGAATGCTTTGATTATGTGCTACATGGCTTGCGGGCGATTCATATTTGCCTTTCTTGGTACATAAAAAAGAATTTTTTTTTTCTTTCTCTTGTGTGTGTAAGAGTAAATATTGCAGCTCCTTTCGTCTCGAAATTCTTGTCCAGTTTGTATTTTCATTTCTAGTACTCTCTTCGTCCCATAATTATTATCTAGTTTAGGTTTTCATTTCTAGTTCAAATTGTACTAAAAGTGAAATCTCAAACTTGACAATAATTTTTGGACAGAAGGAGTATAAATGCGTATATAAATTTTTTTTTTTTTAATAAACGTATAGAGGGATATTGCTGGACGAGAACAGCGGAAAGGCAAGCATCTGCATTAAGAACAACGTATTTGAAGGCAGTACTACGCCAAGAAATTGGCTACTTTGACCTACAAGTCACCACCACCGCCGAGGTCATTGCTAGTGTTTCCACTGATAGCCTTATCATTCAAGAGTTTATTGGCGAGAAGGTTCGTTCTCTCAATCTATTTCTTCTTTTCGTTCCACAATAATAATTATATTTCTTTCTTCTTCTTCCTTTTTCTTTTTTAAAAAGTAGATTCTATGATTCAAGAAAACGTACGAAGCTTTCCTGCGCTCAGTTAATTTCTAAGATAGGAAATTTAATACTCCTTCCGTCCTTTACGAAATGATTATTTAGATTATATTTTAATTTTTAATATTACATTATACTAAAAATTAATAATTATTTTGAAACAAATAAAATACATATTGCAAAAACAGACGGTCAGACTATTGAACTTGGTTCGTCCCCGCTGGCAGTACGAATGAGCTTAAGCTAACGTCTAGAGTTAGGTACAAATCATATACAGCCTTAGTCATTTCTCTGACTTCAATGTTATACTCTTCAGGTATTTTATACATATATATATATAAATTAATAGAAAAAGACTCTTTTTAATTTATACCCTCTGATCCCTCCATTCCGAAACTATTGTCAAATTTAGATCTTCGCTTTTACTAAAAATAAAAATTTAAATTGGACATTATTTTTTTAGGCAAGGGGAATACATATATGTTCTCTCATTCTTTTACCTCCATCGATATCCTTTTTCTCGCTTTTTTACAATGGAATCTGAAATTCTGAATATATGTATGGGGAAAATTTAGGTACCAGCTTCAGTGATGCACATATCAACCTTTGTGGCCTGTTATTTGGTATCATTTTTTATACTATGGAAACTAGCAATAGTGGCATTTCCGTTCGGGCTAGTGATGGTGATACCGGGCCTGATCTGTGGCAGAGTTATGATGGGCATTGCTAGAAAGATTAGGAAAGAATATAGCAAGGCCCAACAGATTGTGGAGCAGGCCACTTCTTCCATTCGCACCGTTTATTCCTTCGTCGGGGAGAAGAAAACATTCTCGGAATATTCCGTTGCTCTCCGGCCAACGGTTCAACTAGGAATCCGGCAAGGTATAGCAAAAGGTTTGGCCGTCGGTAGTTCTTCCATTGGGTTGGCACTTTGGTCTTTCATAGCTTATTATGGTAGCAGACTTGTTATGTACCACGGTGCTAAAGGAGGGACTATCTATGCTGTTGCCGCGGCCCTCACTCTTGGAAACATGTAAGTGTATGTATATATACTCTTTCTCTTCCGTCCCAAAATGATTATACTGATGAAAATTTTAATTTTTATACTATCTCCGTCCCACAAAAATAGTCCACATTGAGTTTTCAAATTTGTATTAAAAACAGTATAAAAATTAAAACTCAATATGGACTATTTTTGTGGGACAGAGGGAGTACAATTTATAATAGTGTATCTGTTAAAATTGAAATCAAATATAATCAAAACTAGCTAGAGTAAAATACGTATGATTCTCTATATCACTTTTCGTGCCATACATTAGCCTCACATAATGGTAGATTTTTATTTTTATTTTAATAGGACATTTGAAAGTTGAAACACCTAGAAAAGAAATGAAACATGAACCATTTAAATAGAGTCACACTCTTTCTTCAATTATTTACTATAATGATTGAACAGGGCGCTGGGTTTTGCTTTTCCAAACCTAAGATACCTGTCGGAAGCAAGTGCAGCAGCAAAGAGAACGATAGAAATTATAAAACGAGAGTCTGAGATCGACCCGGAAGACACGGATGGAGAAACAATAACACCAAACAATAATTTGGGAGAGATTGAATTCAAGCAGGTTGAATTTGCATACCCTTCAAGACCCGAAAGTATAATCCTGCAGGGATTTAGCCTTAAAATTCCAGCAGGAAGGACAACTGCTCTGGTAGGCAAAAGTGGTTGTGGAAAATCAACAGTGGTTTCTTTGCTGCTAAGGTTTTATAACCCAGTAAAAGGCCAAATATTTCTTGATGGGGTGAGCATTGACAAGTTGCAGCTCAAATGGTTAAGGTCACAAATTGGTCTTGTGAATCAAGAACCTGCCCTTTTCGCAACAACAATTAAAGACAATATTCTGTTTGGTAAGGAGAATGCATCTCTTGAGGAGGTTATTGAGGCTGCAAAAGCTGCTAATGCTCATCACTTCATTACTCAATTGCCTCTGGGCTATGATACTCAGGTTAGTACCCAGCTCATTAATCTATTTGTACTATTATTCTTGAATGAAAGGATAATTGAAATAGTTCGTCTGTTCCAAAATGATTGTCCAGTTTAGATTTTTAGTTTTAATATAATTTTTTGTACTAAAAATGAAATCTCAATCTGGACTATAATTCCGGAACAAAAAGAGTATATAAAATACCCTATTTATGAATTGATACATTATAACTATCCAGGTTGGGGAGAGGGGAGTTCAGATGTCTGGAGGGCAAAAACAGAGGATAGCCATTGCAAGAGCTATTATTAAGGAACCAAAAATTCTCCTCCTGGATGAGGCCACAAGTGCGCTTGACTTGGAATCGGAGAAAGTTGTTCAAGAAGCTCTGGATAAGTTAACTATTGGGGTGACTACTATTATCATTGCTCACCGGCTTTCTACCATCCGAAATGCTGACCGCATAGTTGTCGTTCAGAATGGTCAAGTCACGGAAATCAGTTCCCATGATCAACTTATTCAAGACGAAAACAATCTAAACACGTCGCCCGTTCGCTCGCAACCAACCGATGATGAAACCACTTGTGCATCTGTTTCATCCTTGAATGTTAATCTGAACAGCTCGAAGGGTGCGAGGAATTCATCGTCTTTTCGGAAATCATCTTGTCCTGATTCCTCCGTGGTTCCATCCAGTTCAGAAGATCATCAAATTGGCGGTAATAAACCATCATTGAAAAGACTGTTTGCCATGAATTTGCCAGAATGGAGACAAGCGCTATTAGGGTGTGTAAGTGCTATACTGTGTGGCGCTGTCCAACCATCATTTGCATATACAATGGGAACAACAATGTCGGCATTTTTCTTGACGGATCATGGAGAGATCAAGAGGAAGACAAGAATATATTCATTTGTTTTCTTGGGGTTGGCTTTGCTGTCACTCTTGATCAATGTAAGCCAGCATTATAACTTTGCAGCAATGGGTGAATACTTGACTCAAAGGGTTAGAGAAAGAATGCTTTCGAAAATCCTTACTTTTGAAATCGGATGGTTTGATGAGGAAGGAAATGCAACTGGAGTTATATGCTCAAGACTAGCCAGGGATGCCAATGTGGTAATTATTTAAGCTTTTTAAAGTCACCAAAAACATTCTCTTTTTCATTCAATTGACTTCAGTTTCATCCTAACTGATGTTGTTTAATTTCACACAGGTGAGATCTTTAGTAGGTGATCGAATGTCACTCTTGGTGCAAGCGATTTCATCAGTGACCATTGCTTGCACGATCGGCCTAATCATTTCATGGAGATTAGCACTGGCAATGATGGCCATTCAGCCACTTGTGGTTGGAATTTTTTACTCCAAGCATACGCTTCTCAAAACCATGTCCAAGAAAGCCACTGAATCCCAAAACACAAGCAGCAAGATTGCAGCTGAAGCGGTATCAAATGTTCGTACCGTTGCCGCCTTTAACTCCCAACCTCAGATGCTCCAGATGCTCAAGAAAGCCCAACAAGGATCAAAAGGAGAAAGTATTCGACAATCTTGGCTCGCTGGGATTGGTCTCGGGGTGTCGAATTGCTTGCTGTTATTAGTTTGGCCTTTTGCCTTTTGGTTTGGTGGTAGGTTGGTGGTGGCTGGCTCTCTCACAGGTGAAGCTTTCTTCCAAGTTTTCATCATTTTGTTCAGTGTGGGTCGGGTTATTGCTGAAGCAGGAACAATGACAAATGACATAGCCAAAGGTTCCAATGCTGTGGGCTCTGTGTTTGCAATCCTTGACCGGCAATCTTTAATTGAACCCGAAGATTCTCAGGCTTACAAACCCCATAAGATAGAGGGTCATATTGAACTAGTTGATGTTGATTTTGCATACCCTTCCCGACCCAATGTCATGATCTTTACACAACTTTCACTCCAAATTGAGGCAGGACAATCCACAGCAATTGTGGGGCAAAGCGGGTCAGGAAAATCTACCGTGATCAGCTTGATTGAGAGGTACTATGATCCTGTAAAAGGGTCAGTGAAAATAGATGGTAGAGACCTGAAATCTTATGATTTAAGATCATTAAGGAAACACATTGCTCTTGTAAGCCAGGAGCCAGCACTGTTTTCGGGTACCATACGTGAAAACATAACATATGGTGCACCCCTAGATTTAGATGAAACCGAGGTCATTGAAGCCGCGAAAGCAGCAAGAGCTCATGATTTTATATCAGGATTGAAGGACGGATATGATACGTTATGTGGGGATAAAGGGGTGCAACTTTCTGGAGGTCAAAAGCAACGCATCGCCATCGCTCGCGCCATAATGAAGAAACCTGCCATACTGTTGTTGGATGAAGCCACCAGCGCGTTGGACAGCGAGTCCGAAAAAGAGATACAAAATGCACTTGAAAAGGTGGTGATGGGAAGGACAAGCGTGATTGTGGCACACAGGCTAACCACAATCCAACATTGCCACAACATTGTTGTTCTTGACAATGGGAAACTCTTGGAGAAAGGGTCTCCTGCTTCTTTACTAGCTAAAGGCCCCAGCGGAGCATATTTCTCTCTTGTTAGCCTTCAAAACAACAATTCCTTATAAATGATGGCAAACAAGGCAAACTAAGTCAATCAATAAATAAATTGTACCCACTCCGTCCTAAAATGATTTTTCTATGTTTAAATTTTAACTTTCAGTACAATTTACGCAGAAAATAAAATCCAAACATAATAGTCATTTTGGGACAAAGGAAATTAATCTTGAATGAGGAAGGAAATTATATTTCTACTTTATTAAAGTAAGTACTATCTAGTAATTCTATTTCCCTAAAGATCATGATTGTATATACAAATTTCTCACTTTGCTGAGAAGGTCTCTTTTATTCTGTGAATTACCAGGTGAAAAAGGAACAAATAGTAATAACCTACATTCAGAGAGAAAGGATAAAATGAGCTACGAAGGAGAAGGATTCAGTCATGTTTTTTTCTTTCTTCCTGTATCAGCTGAAAAATTCGTGCAGCTGATTCTGACGTGGACTTGAAAGAATTGTGAGGCACGACTTTGATCACTTGTATTTTTTTACTATCCTGATGATTCTGGTCTGAATATCTTAACATCTGATCCATTGGTGTTGTTGGAAAAAGAGGAAGTCCTTCTTCAGGGCTTTCCAGAGAATCCCTGTGTCTGAAACCAGGCGAAATCGCACCAGAATCCGTCATCATCCCGCTTTCCATGCTGGGATTACAGGATGTTTGGTGTGGAATAATTAGTCCGCTTGATGGTTGAGTTGTGCCAAACTGCTGCATTACATCTGAATCTGGATTCGAAGTGTTGTTCATCTCAGGGGAATACGCCAATGCACCATGGCCGGTGTAAATGACAATCCCTTGCTGGTGGTTTGAAGCTGGGAAAACATAAGTAGTTGTGTTGACAAATGCTGTTGCGTCCATTCTGGTTAAGCTTAAAGTAGTGCCATGGTTTCCATAAACTGATGCCATTGAACCATGAGATGGCGCCGGGAAAGGCCCTAAATAGGGCTTGTAAACAAGTCCTTCAGAAGCTGACCTTACAGGAACTAACCATTGATATGCTCCAGATGGTGGTTTGTAAAAGCAAGGTCCAGATTCGCTGTCGCCAGGGACACCAGATTCTGATTTCATTGTGGGATTTGGATTAATGTTGCCTTTCTTGGTGTTATCATCTGTAGCAGAAAACTTTCCCCGTGCATGCTTGGCGTCATAATCTTGACGTTGTTCGAGCTGTGAAGATTCAACTTCTGGCTTTATAGGTTGAAGTGGTGGTTCTGGAAATACCTTCATTTGCAACTTATTTTTCGTGAAAAATTCAGTGGAAGGTTTGCCAAAGATCACATTGCCTTCAACTAACATTTTTGGTGCTCCAGCAATCAACCTTTGAACCTGTAACATTACCGTTGGCAATTCCTCCAGTAAATAGGTTTTTAAAATCGCAACATGGAACAGGATTTCAGGAGCATGTGGAAAGCTTGAATAACACAATATCACAGTAAATCAACTTTACAAAGAGAAACCATTGGGAAATCTCACCTTTATAAGTCGATGTAACTCAAATATTTGCGTCGCGAACACCCTTTGCTGACTGGAATCATCGAAACAAGGATTTCAGGTTTGAGTTGCATAGGAAAAGAAGTACAACGAATGAAGTTAAATGGAGTGACAGGAAAATGTAAGGCGCTATTAAGAGTTACAACACAAAAGGAAAAATGTCACTGAATGCAACTTCCTTCTCTGGCTGGCGAGATATTCGAAAGGACAAAGATTACACCTAACTAAGCAATAATGTAGCTAGCATATAATATTTCCAGCAGATGATTTTCCACAAATACAGAAACGAAATTCAGATAAAGAATCCAGATACCTTTCTGCTAGGATTAGTGATAAGGATACTTCATCAATTAGTGAAAATGGAAACAAATGGCTAAATTAGTTGAAGGATTTTGCATATACCACTACTTAATTGCAACTAGAAGTCTAGAACACAAAGTTAACCACCATGTACAAATATCTGATTTTTTAAACCTTGAACTACTACCATTGCTGAAAGCAGAAGCATGAAGTAAGCCAAGGAATGACAACAATGAAAGTATCATGATAGCAAGTTAAACCGCATTTTCTTTTTGGAAGTTAAAACGCTACTTACTGATCAATAGTTGTTCGTACTCTCCAGAAGAAGTTTGGACCTATGACTCGCATCATCATGTCAGGCGTTATGCACAAACGTGACGAGGAATCCACCACAGATGTGTCCGAGATAGCACTAGTTCTTTCAACCACTTCCAAAGGTAAATCTTTACGATGATCTCCCGGGAGACCCTCATTGGCAGATTTAATCCTACTTGATGCTCCATTGTTTTCTCCAGCTTTTGTACTGGAACTAGAACACAGTGGCTCCTCCATTGCTGCAGAGTTTCTCTTCCTCAAGAGTCTTTCAGGGTCCCCTGATACAATCTCTATGCGTGTGGTTTCCAAAAGCAAAGATTTGCCCTCTTGATGCATTCCAACAGAACTATCATGCAATGTGCTAAAACCATTACGAAATGTACCTTTTATATGGTGTAAGGGTATAAGTCTATTACCAGACTCATGAGTTTTATACACTCGTTGAATACCTAGATCTGCATTGGCAGAAAAATTATGATCTGAAGATGGAATAGGATGAAACATTTCACCTTTCTTATCACTCATTTCAAATATTTTGGAATTAAAGTTGGCTTGATTTCCTAAATGCTCCCTTGATAAGACATTAGTTCTCTCTATCCTTTTATGTCTCCCAAAAGCAGTTTTATGTTTCTCTAACAAATCTGAGGAATTGCCATGTTCTTTCTCCATTCTATGAGCGACCATGCCACCGTTCAAAACTTTTTCTTTTCTGCCAAAATATGGAATTCCAGGGTCATCCTCCTTCAAGTGCAACTTAACTGAAGAATTCAAAGAATGATAGTAATGATATGGCTGTGTCATTCTTAACGCCCGTCTTGCATTTAGTGCTTTGTAATATCCAGATCTAACTATCTGATTTTCACGGTATCTGGTATCCGCCTTCATGCCATTCGAACAGTTAGACTGAAATCTCCCAAGCTTATGGGAAGCCGCCTCATGTGTGCTGCGAAACAAGGGATATCCATTCATCTTCTGGCAATGCCCCTGAAACAGGTGAAGTTGTATGGTGAGTAGGTTTAACGTAATAACCCTCAGAATCAAGTACTGAAGTCACTGAAGCTGAGATGATAAGATGCTCTGCAGACTACATGAGATCAAACGAGGGCCAATCTGATACCATTTCAACAACTAGAACCCGAACAAAAGCAACACTAATCTTGCTACAATAATGTACTAGAGTGTCGAGCTCTGTAAATTTAGGAATCAAATTAATCACTTCACTAAACAAGAAGTCAATTTAAGAGCAGAGCAGTGAATGTGTTTGCCTAGTAAGTGAATGTTCATGCTAATATTTTGAAATTGAGATCAAAACAGGTGAAGTAAACCCTGTCCTGTTCTTTAATCATGACGTTGGCTCCCAAATGCGACAAGAAAGATAAACACTTTACGCAAACAAACATTCAAAGATTAAGTTAAGAAGAGAAATTTTCTATTAGTGAAGAACCAGTACCAAGTTATTGTCATTGCTGGTTGAAAGTGGTGGCATTGGCATTTGCATTGCTCCAGAAGAAAGCCTTTGAGAAGGTGTATTTACTTGTCCACAAAGAGCCATTTTGTTTCTTGGGGGTGCTCGAGGCCCTCCCTGCTCAGTACAATTAATATGTAACCTTGGAAACAAAGGGTCCAATGGCATCTTTCCTTCTTCCTCAACCCCTCTCATTCTCCTCCTAACACATAACTCTGTATCTGTTCACCAAAGACACAAACTTTTGAACCTAATTCCAAAGCATGGTCAAATGTCATCTGAAAATTCCTCACTCAAAGAAATTAAAGATCAGCCCACCTCAAAAGAGCACTTATTTTGGCTAAGAAAAGGATATAGCAAGAATGAACACATGAAAATGGCAAGGAAAGAAAGAGAAAAGACTAGTCACTGAAAAAAGGAAGACAAAAAAAAAGAAAAAAAATCAGAGCTTCAAACTGAAAATGTAAGCCAGACAACGCGAACCCATTAAAAATCCACAAGGTAGAGGGGAGGACTAGAATTCAGACAGACCCACTTGGTTGGATTATTGATTACAATCTAGAAGCAAGAAGGGAGTGGAGGGCAAGGCAGAAAACACGTGAAAATGTGCAAAAGATATAATTGGAAAAATGGGGGGAAGAAAGTCCCGGAAGAGATGACACCTCAGTAAAGGAATGTACCAAAATCTTTTCCTTTTCACTTAAACCAGCACCAATCCAATGTACTATTATTGAATTCATGGAAAGGGCCAACAAATCACATGAAAATGCTGCATTCACAAATCACAATTTGGCCAGACAAAAATATCATAAGAGGGACGGAGAAAAAGTAGAAGAGGCGACTTGGAAAGGGGGGAAAATATCATAGATAGATGACGAATCAGCCAGAGTGGAGGGAAGTTGTCCTTAGAATCTACAAAAAGATCCATATCAATCACAATCAGAGAAAAAAGGAACATAACGAAAAAAAAAAGGTAAAAAACAGGGGGCTGACGTTGTTTAACCATGCAACCCAACCAGTAGGAATAACAGAACATTTGACTTGGAGCTTACGGTCATGGCATTGTTTTCTAGACATTTTCTTTCTTCATTCCATTACCATTTTTACCAGGGGTTTGCGTTTGTGTATTTGCAACAAAATCTGTTAATAGTTATCTTTGATCTCACCAGTCACCAGCTCCTCTTCCAATGCATTAATAAACCCAATTGGGATTATTAGGTTACTCTCTCAGAGCAAGATAAAATGTTTTACAGGAAATTTCTCTTGGCATTATCTCTTATAATTAAAGCACTTTTTCCAGAAAATAATTACAGCACTTTAATGTACTGGAAGCTAGGAATTGTGTAAGCAATGATTCTCGAAGATAATCCACACTACAAAGTGATATATTTTTCATCCCTGAAATTGAAAAGAAACACAACCTTTTCAATCTGTAATCAACAAGTGCTGTCATGCTACATTACATTAACAACGAAATTCGCAACAATCCCGTCCTATACACGTCAACCTCTCTTCCACAGCTAACTTGGAAAACTGATACATGCTTCTACAAATCTTTATCCATCGATAATTAGATTGAACACCTTTCTCAATCACTGACACTAATCAGATTGATGCCCAAACAGCCAAAGCGAATACTTTTAACATAATGACATACGAGTAAATTAGCCAATTGTAATGCTAACAAAACCTGAGAAATCCAGTAATCTTTCCTTGATTGCGGTAGAGTTTACACTTGATAGGCATTGTCTCATTCCTTTGTAAAATTGCAGAACTTGTGAACTTGGCAAAGCAACGTGGTGTTCTTCAAAAATCTTCAAACATTTTTAAAGATCCTCAAAGATGATAGATAACAAAAGTAAGCATCAAACCTAAATCCTTAAGAGTTCACTAATGTGACCAGGCGATTAACTGAGTTCCAGCAAGCAAATACATTCAACATGTGGGGTGTGAGGGAACATGTCCACAGGCTGTAAGCTTTTCAATTTGTAACAACCCTCGACATTCTGATCCGGCTGCAAATCAAAGGGAGTTGAAAAGGCTCAGACGACCGGAACATGTAAAAAGGGTACAGGAGTGACATTACTCACCAATCCATGACAAAGATAATCAAGGTCACGAGCACATGTTGCAGGATTGCATGAGACATAAATGATGCGTTCTGCCTTCAGCTTGAGCAGAAACTTAATTAATTTGAGATGCATGCCAGGCCGATTTGGATCTGCAAGTATTACCAAAAAGTTTGAGACAAATGGAAGTAACAAGAATTCTAAATCTACATTCATAATCTTTACTTCATGAACGAAATGCAAGTAAAGGGCATACAATCAATAATTACCTGTAATGACAATGTCTGGCTGGGGAAAGTTGTCCCCAAATTTCTCATCAATTTTATTAAGATCCCCCTCAATGAATGTTGCATTTTGAATGCCATTCAATTCAGCATTCCGGCGTGCATCTGAGACGGCCTGAGGGACTACTTCATACCCATAAACCCATCTTACCCTGATCAAATTAAACCAGCAGTTGCAGTGAAAGTCATATCCAAAATATCAAAATAGCGCAGAAATACAAAACATCAAAACCTTTTTGCAAGAGTAAGTCCAATGGTTCCTGTCCCACAAAAAAGGTCAAGAATGACTTCTGAACAATCTCCTCTAAGACAGGCGAGGTCTTCGATTAATTTGTATAATACTTCTGCCTGCAAATTTCATGCGGATCAGTGACCGTATATTATAATAAGAAATTAAAATCACATATTATCCTCTAATGTAGTAAAAAGAATAAAAGCAAGTAAAATTCATTCATTTTCCCATCATACCTGGTGCGAATTTGTTTGAAAGAAAGAGTTCGCAGAAATCTGAAATACGGTTCCTCTTAAAATCTCTGTAATAGTAGATTTGCCGTACAAAACATATTCCTCCTCGCCAATAGCTGTGTTGCCCACTGAAGTATTAACATTGTTCACAATGCTTACCTGGGTATTGAAAAGCAAATAAATCATTTATAATTAACTTATACTCCCTCTGTCCCGAAATTATTATCCAGTTTGGATTTTCATTTTTAGTACAAATTGAACTAAAAGTAAAAATCCAAACTAGCTAATAATTTTGGGACAAAGGGCGTATCAAATATCATTTAAACAGTTGACAGTTTTGGCTATGTAAAATGAGAGGACAACACAGAAGATTTCTAGGCTCACCACTTCTGGTATTGCCGCAATTTTCTCAACAATGGGGTTTAACAACTCTGGCTTGTGGGAAGCCGTTACAAAATTAACCATCAACTCAGGAAGACCACTTCCAACATCTCTGAGGGGGAAAAGATTAACAGCTTAAGTTCTTAGATTTTCAGAGTTACAGTGGCAAATAATATGCTTGAACATAGAGTATAAAAACTTGCTGCAAAGAGGCATAAACAACTACAAATGAGTCCTGGACCACCTAATGTCGCAAACTGAAGCCAAATGAAGACAACTAAGTAACGTGATAAATGAAACAATGGAAACAATAAAATTGGTTAGTGCATCCCGTAAATGGGCCTCACTGCTATGAGTTTGGTCAAAAGCCAAAAAAATTAGATGCGAACAGTTAATGGATCCAGTTCGAGGGACTACTCAAGGGTATTAAACATAATAATTGCTGCTAGTCAAATTCATGCATCATCCTATCCTTAAAATCATGAGAATAGAATAAGTAAAGTCAGCACCTTCCAGTTCTCAACACCAGATGCTTCAGAAAGCCAGCATGAGAGTGAACATTGTAAGGCGAAAGGCCTAACTCTGGGTCTCTCCAAACATCTTGGACGACTGCAAGAACCTATAATCAGAAATCCAATTTAACCAGAAACAAGCTAATTCCAATAAAGGTACTCAAAATGAGGATAAGATACAAATGCAATAATATGTTCAATCCAGGGAAGAACGCAACACCTCATTGGCCAGCTCACTTTGAAGTAAGCACTTCTGCACGTTTAAAATCTTATCAAAGAAGCCAGGAACATGAAGTCCCAAAGCAGAGCCATTAGAGCCATTCCATCCTTCCCCAAGCATTTCAGGAGGTAACCAAGCTTTGTGCCCAAAAGAAAACTCCATCTGTGTAAACAAAACGATGGGATGAGAGAACTTCCTCCGCAACAATGTGCTAGAACACAATTACCTAAAATGATCTACACCTTGTTCCGGTAATGAAATTGGATATCACAGGGCACAATGGGCTTCATGATGCTACTAAATTCAGGGTCCTTATCAGAAAACTTGCCAACATGGATCACCAAGTCACGCACTTGCTGCTCCTTGGCCCTGACTTGAGCCTCATACAACAAATTCTGCATTTTACAACCCCCACAGTATGAAGCATATTCGCAAGGGGCTTCCACAACATCCAAGTGAGGGGCAAGCGTCTTCACTTTAGTAACCTAAACTCCTTAACATTGAAAAAAAACAAAGATCAAAATCACTACTTGCGCCATTTCCAAATTCCAACGGAAGCAGTAAAAACGGTCTAATTTCCATGATGAAATTCCGAAACAAAACTGGTAGTTAAAGAAGACTGCCAAATCCTAAGAAAATGAAACGGGATAACCTCGGCGTAGCTATTCTTCTTCCGAGTGACACGGCCAATGAATCGCTCGCCGGGGAGGGCACGGTCACACATGACGACGTAACCGGTGTCGGTAACTTTGCAGACACCTTTCCCTTTGAAGGCTAGGGTTTCGCAGACCAGCTCCAATGTCTGCCCTCTCTTCGGAAAATAAGAAACATTTTTAGTATTGTTACTATTTGCCTCATCGGTCGAAGTGGTGTTGCTTTCAGAAATTGAAGCGACGGCGGAGAAAGGAGAGGAGGGAACTGAAGCTATTTTGTTGGTACGGAAGGTTTGGAAAAGTGGACGGCAATGAAATCGCCGGAGTCCGCCGATAGAAGGCGGCGCCGCCATGGTCGCTATTAAACGTTGGGAGCGATAAAACGGCGGCAAAAGTTACGACTGTTTTTGAAGATAAGGTGAAAATTCAAGGACTATAAGAATTTGAGGTTTTATACTGCTAATCAGCCCACTGGGCCTAACCCGCCTAATATCTAGCGCACTAGATCCAGATTCAGTAAGGCTTTCTCACTTGTTACCCTACTGGCCTACTAAAAAGTAAGGAGTAGTGACAGAACATCGATAAATTAATAGTAATAAATTAATAACATCGATAAATTAATAATTTTTTCCGGTCTCAATTCGGAACCAGTACAAAAAATAAAAAAATTAATAAAATAATATAATATTAATTTTTCAAAAAAACCCTATGTAAATATAAGTCCCGTCAATACCATAAATTAATAATGACTTAAAAAAATATATATATGAGCTAGTAAAATATGAATCTAGCGATATTTATTTTTTCTTAAATCTTAAATTTAAAAAAATCGTAGATGTTGTGAATTTTTTTGCATAATGTATCCAGCCTTTGATAAGAGTTTAAAGATTTCGCAGAAAAAACATTAAATCTCTTTTGATAGAAGCATGTACGTAGATTGGGTAGATGATAAAATTTAAGATGATGGCGTAGTCTTCTAAATTATAATGCATATGGGATATAAGCGAATAAAAGAATATAAATCTTATATGGCTAAGCTTAAAAGATTAATAGGATGCTTTGGGATTTTCTTTAAATTAATATTATTAGTTTGTCGATAAATTAATAATTATTAATACATCGATAAATTAATAATTTTTTGGATTCCTAAGAGTACTAATTTATAGATGTTTGACTGTATATTAAGAAAATTTACAAGAAATTTAACCTGGACTACTATTTCTTAACTTTTAAATGGATAAACCAATAAAGATATGTATATTCTTTAAAAAAAATTTCCCTTGTAACAATGGTTACTGAAGAGTACAATCTAGTTCGTTATTTATTTATTTTTTATCGATATAAAAACCTTATTTTTCCCCCCTTGTTTGGTTTTATAATAAAAGTTTCTCTTGGGCAAATGTAAAGAATGAATGCTTTTAGAAGAAGAGATAAGCGCCGGGAGTACAATAATGAAACTTACACACAATTTTTTTTACATTAATATACTCCCTCTAATTCTTATTATAATGCATTTTGATTTATCGCAGGTGTTACTTTATATGTTTTTGTGATTGAAATAAAAAATTAAGAATATTTCTTAAAAATTAGAAGAATACAATGAATGTGAAAATATAATTTTAATATTCTTTTTTTTTAATAAAAAAAATATATTAGGTGAAAATTTAAACAAAAGGGAGTATGACGCGGGTATGTAGTGGGTTTTGATGAGCCTAACCTTCAAATTTGGGTTACTAATGGAGGCATGAATGTGGGTTACCTGTTCAAAACCCAGATTCATAGGCATATTTAAACATCAAATTGGCAATCTACGTACGCACATGTACACAGAATATAAGGGTATGTTTGTTTGGTTTTTTTAGTGCGTGTTTTAAGTGTTTTTTGTATTAAAAACGTAAAAAAGTATGTTAAAAATGAAAAAAAGATATATTAGGATAAGACAGTTATTAATATACTCCCTCCATCCCATAATTATTGTCCAGTTTTACTAAAATAAAAGATTTTATTTTTGATCAAACTTAACTATATTTTACCATAAACAACCGGATATACCCCTACATAAGTAATTGTTTAACTACTAAGATTTTATGGATAATGTTTTTTACTAAGGACAAATGTGTAACTTGATCCATAAAAAGTCAAATTGGACAATAATTTTGAGACGGAGGGAGTATTACTTTGACTAGGAAGGGTAATGTAAAGAAGAGACTGATTTTTTATTATGAACATTAATTAATACTTTGATAACATAACATCACCAGCGTTCTTCATATCGGTCTCATGGAAGCATTATCAGCTTTTTTTATAAAAAAAAATTATGATGATTTTATATAGCCGAACAAAGGAGGGAGGTTGATTAAAAGCATTATTAAATGTGTAAACCTTAATAATCAATTAATTCCGTTTTATATCAAACGGCAAGAGTCGGATCGGTTTGCACTTTGCAGTACAATACAGAGGAAAAAAAAAAGAAGAAAAAACACACGACACTATTCTCACGGAGTACCACCAAAAATTCGGTGCGCAAATTAAGCTCAAAAGAAGAGCAAACATGGTGTGAAAACAAGAATCTGTTGAATCTTAATCACAAACCTCTTTACGCTCTTTCTTTGTTGTTTTTTCAATTTCCTCTCTTTCCATAGACAGGAATCTGATGCATATTGGCATAGATCGAATTGAGGTGGCAACAACCCACATGATTTTAATCTGAAAAAAAAAAAACACACTCCAAACTCCACCTTTGTATGAATCCCTTTATTATCTCAGCTCATGCTGTATGTTTTCTGTCTCAATCTTTGACAGGATATTCTTCCAGCAATTCGACGTCTTCTTTTATTTCATTTCATATTTTATACCCTTAGACATTAGGTAGGACTTGGCAGTGAACAGGGCTTATTTGTATCGTTTTGATACTTAAATAGGGAAGTGAATCGCTGCTTTACCTTTCCTATTGCTTATGAGGTGAATTAATGAAGACCCTTTCAAGTTTTCCTCCTATTTGAAGCTTTTCTTGTTTGTTTGTTTGTGTTTATTTTTTGTAAAAACCCATTTCTTTGTTTTGGTTGGCAGCTGGTATCGTCGCTGGAATAAGAGGTTGATTCTGAAAAAAATTGTGGGAGTTTTGTTCGTGTTCAGATATTGCTGAGTCAATGCTGTGAAATCTAAGGATGCAATCTAGAGTTGGTAGCTTAGGGAATTTGGAGGAAGGGAAAGAACCTTTATTGAAAGTAACACATCAGTTATTTAGGCCTATGCATTTGAGATTACTCCAGTTTATATTGTTGTTCTTAGGTGTAGCTATTGTGTTTTCTTTTTTTAGTATGTATATGATTAGTTATGCAGGAAACCAGAATTTAGCCACAGTTGCACAATCTATACTTCTGCCCTGTGTACCTGAACCAAATACTTTAGAAAGTTGGATTAGGCCTCCATCAAGTTCATCGCATGTAATGAATGATTCGGAGCTGTTTTGGAGGGCGTCGTTTACTCCTAAGATAAAAGATTACCCTTTTAAAAGAACTCCTAAAATTGCATTCATGTTCTTGGCTAGAGGGCCTTTGCCAATGGCTCCCTTGTGGGAGAAGTTCTTTAATGGAAGTGAAGGGCTGTATTCTATCTACATTCACTCATTGCCTTTCTACCGGCCAGATTTTCCACCTACATCGGTTTTCTACGGGCGACAAATTCCTAGTCAGGTCTGTACTGCCTATTTTGCAAGCCATTTAGAAGATGAAATTTTAAAGTTCATTTCTGTAGTTAGGAAGAAGGATATATCTGGTTATTTGAGCTACATTAAGTTTGGCAGTTTTGATTATTTATTGGATTGGCTTGAATTAACTCGTAGATTTTAACTTGATGACATAGCAGATTTTCTCTATTTAGTCCTTCACTTGTGGACATCGTTAACTTCACCTGTATTTTCTTTTTACCTTATTCATAAATTCATCCACTATGTTCTACGTTATCCCCATTATTTAGTTTCAGCAGCTATGGTCTGATTTTTCTGTCTCATTTTTAGCCTTTTCGTTATTTTTTTCGTTCCTAGTTCTTAAGTTTGCATTTTCTGATGACTATTTTTAATTGGGAAGGTTTCACGTGCTAAATGATAACCTTTTGGTCTTAGTTTCATGCTTATTCTCTTTAAAGGGATTGGAAGCGGCCATTCTAATAGCAGTCAGTTTGCTGTATGACAAGTAAGTTATGGTGTCATAGTTTTGTAACGACATAATGTGACTGAAAAGCAGAAGCTGGATGCGTGACACTTAATATGCCCTGAATAGGTTGCAAGATAAACTTCCTTGTTTATACCCCTGAGCTTGTTGGAAAGATGTTGGTTTTGCTATGTGCTACTCCATTTGAAACTTTTTGCGGAGTCCCATTATGTTGGTTGGTTCAGCAGTGTGCTAAATATATTTTGAATTGAGTGGTTGGAGGGACTCATATTTGATGGCGTTGCATCATGGCCTACATTTTTGGTATGGGGTTTTGGTGAGAGGGAGTTTGGGGTTGTTGGATGGAAGATTTTTATTCAATATACTACGTCAAAAGGTTAAATTGTTGTTATTACTGCCACTAGGAATGCAGTTAGATGATGGTTCTTCCATCACTTTAGCTCTTCCACCTCTGTGTCTTTTGCAGTACTTGTAAGTACATGATTTGGCGTATGAATCATTGAATTTTGCATAAAAAACAATGTTTCTTCCAATGAATACAATGCGGTGATTATGGAGTCTTCAATTTTGCTTTTTTTTTTGTCTTTGAGCACATTGCCCTTGTAGATGCTGCAGACTTCAGTTTCATAGGTGTGCCAAGTTGATGTGGTTGGTTTTTGTTGCAGATGGTTGAATGGGGAAGAATGAGTATGTGTGATGCTGAAAGAAGGCTGCTTGCTAATGCCTTGCTTGACGTCTCAAATGAGTGGTTTGTCCTCCTATCTGAATCATGCATTCCTCTGCACAACTTCAGTGTTGTCTACCGCTATATATCAAGATCCAGGTTCAGCTTCATGGGTTCCTTTGACGAAGATAGCCCTTTCGGAAGAGGCCGATACAATGAGAATATGTCACCGGAGGTTAACATCACAGAATGGCGTAAAGGATCGCAGTGGTTTGAAGTCAATAGAAAGTTGGCTATTGACATAGTTCAAGATACCATATATTACCCCAAATTTGAACAGTTCTGCAGACCAGCATGTTATGTTGATGAACACTATTTTCCAACCATGTTGACTATCCAATCTTCTCATCTTTTGGCAAATAGGAGTCTCACTTGGGTGGATTGGTCCCGGGGTGGTGCTCACCCTGCTACATTTCGTTCAAATGATCTGACAGTTCAATTCTTCAAGAAGATTTTCGAAGGTACAAAATGTGTCTACAATAATCAGCCTACGATCCTATGTTACATGTTTGCTAGAAAATTTGCTCCCAGTGCTTTGGGCACATTGTTAAACCATTCGTCAGAATTTTTTGGATTTTGACAAAAAAAAAATGAAGATATAGTATTGAAGAGTAGCATTATATGTAGGCAGTATTGAAGAGCTTGAATGTAGTTTATATACTCAAAGACCGATTTATAGGCATATTTTAAACAAGTGGCATTATATGTAGGCAGTATAGAGGAGTGCTTCCCATGTATCTTTTAGAGTTTAGAAACTTAACACTCCCTCCGGTCCTTATTATAAGGGATTTTGATTTCATTAGAAATATATTTTAAAGGTTTTTTTTTTTCAATTAAAAAGACATCTTAGGTTAAACCTAGGATGATATTAAAATACCTTATAATAAGGACTGGAAGGAGTACAATACCGTGTTGTTTGCCACTGTTTTATTGCATAGATATATTCTTTCACCTTCCTGGAATGGAATGCATAATGTAAAAGTCACGGTGTGATGTTTCTTTTGATGGTAACATTTGCAGATGTTTTTTTCGACGGTCAATTCATTTGCAAAACTCCAAGAGAGATCTGGTTCGCGCTTTCATTGATTTTTCAGAACATTTAATTAATATATGTCTTATCATAATATACTTTTTTACATTCGCAATACACTTTTTTTACATTCTCAATAAAAAAAACACACTCAAAAAACGATCCAAACATAATCTATTTAAGAATCTAGACGAAATGTAACAAAATGAATATACATGGAATACTTTCCATTTTCAAAGGAGATAAACAGCAAAGAAACACAGAATAAAAGCAAATCCGTAACCCGTGTAACTATCTTTTCTCCCCAAAAGAATTTTTCTGTCAAAAAAAATAAAAGGTACAACCAGATGAAACTACATAAGACCAGTTCATACGGTATTTACAGAAAAGGCTAAAGCTGAATGCCATTTCCAAGATACCCTCCATAGTCTAATGAAACTGCGCCGCTGATTATTTACGGTCAGTAGTGGCTTACAACTCATCATGATTGTTCTGATTCACTAAAGGAGTTTCTGAAACGCTTTGAAGAAGAAATCTGGTAGCCAATGATGCATGAAGGGAAGCACCAAAAGGAAGTGCATCTTCGTCAATTTTAAAATATGGGGAGTGCACTGAAACAGGCTTGGCGGCTTTTGCATCCTTTACTCCAATGAAGAAGAAGTAACCAGGTATCACCTCTTGGTAAAACGAGAAGTCTTCGGATCCCATCAATGGTTGCATCTCTTTGACATTTTTAGTGCCAATCACATCACCAGAAACTTTTAGGAAGTAATCATGCAAGCCTTTGTCATTAACAGTTGGTGGAAAGAAAGGCTTTTCTTCAGAAAGAAAGTCAACAGTAGCATTACACCTCTGTACAGCTGCTTGCCCAACAATAACCTGCAAGAAATTAGAGGCAGATTTGTAATGGTAAGACGTTTTTATTGGTCTTACTAAAATGCTAGAGCAGTAATGGTGAATAGAAGGTATGGTGCTAAAGTCAAACTTAGTTTTGCCCCTTGCACAAGTTGCCCAAGTAATTTAACAAGATATGTTACACAGTAATTGGCCGATGTGTTGGAAAGCCTAACAGTTCTCTTTCAAGGAAACAATTATTATTAAGGGGAAAAAAGGTGCCTTCCTACAAATCAGTGCATGTTATTGCAAATTTCCAATTGAATATAACCATGATCTGCAAACAATCATTTGGAAACATGATGGTATTTCCCCCTCAGATACACCAGAAGGATGCATATTTCTCTATCTAAACGAGGTGGAGAATGAGTTGTCACAGCAAAAGAGGTAACAATTAACTCTCCCCTTGGCCCTAGCATCAATGCATCATCTATAGTAGGAAATTACCTCCTCAATTCTTTGCTTGAGCTGCATCAGGATCTCCTTAGAGAATGCTCGAAAAGTTCCACCAATTGTTACTGAATCAGGTATGACGTTAAATGCTCCACCTCCATGAAATTTACCGACTGTAATTACCTGCACATGTCAATTTACTACTGTCAGACAATCTAACCTTATATAGGATCAGGGTATAAACTTTTCAGAATACAGGTCAATAAGCTTTCATCCAACTTTCATTCTTATCCCATCTCTGCTTAGCTTTAATTATTATTATTATTAAAAAAATTATTACTATTAAACTTTTTTGTAAAATCCAATCCTTATCTATAATCAAAGATTTCAGGACAGAATCTGATCGTGAGAAACCATGAGCGGCACAGGCATGTGATTGTGCAGGCCCAGAGAAGTGTTTGGGAATGTGAAGTTCACCTGAGAGTCAAGTGGATCAGCTTCCCTCGAGACAAGATGTTGTAAACTCACAATCACATTGGATGCGGCTAATATTGGATCTATTGAGTGTTGAGGAATAGCAGCATGACCTCCCTTTCCACTTATCACAGCTTCAAAAAAACCACTTCCAGCCAAGAGAGGACCAGATCTCCCTTCCACTTCTCCCACAGGCAAACTGGGATCAACATGGAGACCAAAAATGGCTTTGACATTTTCTAGTGCCCCTTCTTCAATAATTTTCTTTGCCCCTCCACCTCCTTCCTCAGCCGGTTGGAAGACAAGAACAACCGTTCCCTATCAACAGTCAGAAGCTCTGTTATGCATTGAAAGTCAGCTAACAAAATACTCCAATAAGTAGCTAGTTAGCGCAGGCAATTAGATTCAATTGACTTTTGGATGTACCATTGCATCAATCTATGTTCTACTAAAATCTCCTCAATGAAGATACTAAGCATCATCATTATTTTCCAGAGAACATCAAGACATGGCTGATAAATACTTTGATCAGCCTCTCAGAAACATAATTCTATGTAGACTATCAATACACCAACAATCTCGGAAGAAAGCCCTAATGATGTTGAAATTTAAAACAAGCAGAAAACAAAGAAGGGGAAGCAGCAATATGCTGGTAAGGAGACAAGTCACCACCAAAACACAACGTAATGCCGGAAAATTTGTGCCCTTTTCACAATGTACTGCATCGCCTCCCTCCGTTCAACTAAACAACAGATACAAACAGCCTCTAAAACAGATAGATCACATCATATAGAGCAGCTAAGAACTTCAATATCCCACACACCAAACAATTATTGTTAAATGAATCTCAGAGTCCGGAAAATCGAACCTTCAAAAGTTGTCGATGCTCTTGAAGAATCTTTGCAGCACCAAGTAGCATGGCAACATGTGCATCATGTCCACAGGCATGCATCTTTCCTGGATTTTTACTCTTGTGCTCCCACTCAAGCAATTCCTGTAAAATTCACAGGAGTCTCTAAAGTTAATGATGATCAAGAGAAAATAATGCTAAAAATGGCGATAAGCACTAGCTTGCTTGAAGAGCCATCTAGCTTTAATTTCTTTAAATATATGTAAAGCAAATCAAACCGAGCCATATATCCCCACCAAAAAAATAAATAAATAAGTAAATAAATAAACCAGCCCTCATCTTCAAACTACCAATTCAAAAAAATAAAACAAAATAAACAGTCCAATGATTCTGTAATGTAACACAAGAATTAGAAAAAATTAAATCACACCTGCATTGGAAGAGCATCCATGTCAGCCCTTAAGGCAACAAAAGGAGGTTCCCCAGAACCAACGTATCCAACCACACCAGTAACAGCAACAGGATGCTTATAGGGAATCCCCATCTTATCTAGTTCTTCTCTGATAAGTTTACTAGTCTCAAACTCTTCATAGCCCAGTTCAGGATTCTCATGTATCTTCCTCCTAACACTCACAATCCAGTCAGAAAATTCAGGTGTTTGAGCGAATTTCAGAAAATCCACGGGAACCTCTGAAACTTCTTCTTTTGAGCTTGAGCAGAAACTGTGCTCGGTTAAAATCGCTACAAAAATACACAAAATCAGCAACAACAACCTTGAAGAAAACCCCATGGCTCGTCCTCAGTATCAATAATGAACAAAGGGTGACAATTAGTTGACTTCGATACTGATACTATTTTTGATGAATCCAAACCAAAAAACAATCCCAATATAAAAAGTGGAGATTCGGAAGAAAAAGGGGATATGAGGAAGAGATAGATTTGCTGGATGGATCAGAAGTTGAGAAATTCGGAATGGTACAAGTTGAACCACGATGAATGAATGAATGGATGGATGGATTTGAGTCTTCCTGCAGTTTTTGATGAGTGTTTTTGATCTTCTTGGTCGAAGATATATAATAATTATATACGTCGTCTGCTAATATTGTTTGACCCGAAAATCCCCGGTTCTTCTGTTGAAGGGCCGACCACGTGCCAAAAAGGGGGGGGGGGAAATAAAAATGTAATTCATCACGTGTAAAAAGTTCCTATTTAAAAACATGTTTATTTTTTGTACACAGTAAACAGTTCTAAAATTTGCATGCTAGTAGTACTTAATTGCAGAACAATCGACGATATTCCTCATTTTACCTACTATTTATTTAAACACATGATGCATACGATCTATTTTACATTTTGATTTGTCTTAAATAAAATTTAATATGGTTTTTAATTGCAAATAAAAACTTAAAAATAATTTTTTTACTGTGTTCTCTCAATTATTTATTAAAAATATTTTTAAAGTTTTATTTTCAATTGAAAAAATATATTAAATGAAATTTATGACAAATCAAAGAGCGGTGAGAGTAATACATAATGCACAATTTTACTAGGTCAAGATTAAAACTTGTAGAGCAATAAACCATTAACCATTAGTATTTAGGATAATTTATTCTCTCCATTGCAATGATACTTCTTTCTGGAGTCCGATGGCTCTACGTTTCTTGATCCCTTGTGTTTTCATGTGTAGCAATAGCCCACTTGTCTGCACACGTACTAAAAATCAAATTTTGGTATAAAATGGTATAAAATTTTGAGCCTCAAATTTTGGCATAAAATGCCCAGAAACACAACAAAAAGAATGGTATCAGATTCCGTGATGGTCATAGTTAAGCAGGACCAAGTAACTCGAGCATTACGAGGTTAGCGACTCTATTTGTAAGAGCTGAAGTTCGACATTGGTGGTAAGACAACATATACACTAACGTCAATATTTGAAGTCACTGTCTTTTCAAACTCACAAATCTTGTCAGAATTTTATGTCCTGCCTGTCTCAAAATTATTGTTCAGTTTGCATTTTCATTTTTAGTTCAAATTATAAAATGTGAAATCTCAAATTGTACAATAATAATTTTAAAACAGAAAAAGTAATAAAATATGAAATTTGCTAGTCGGGTCGAAATTCATTGGTAGAGTCATATGCGCCGTAGGAAATAGAATAAGCATTTTTTACCGTGTCCCCTTTCTTGGGGGTTTATGGATTCTGCATTAGCTTCAAAATGCCGCTGAAATATGTACTTGTCCAGAATCCAATCCCTTTGCCGCCTATAAATAAAAGCAATTTGTTGTAGGCTTGACCAACTACATTCAAAGTGTGAGAAGCTTTCACTACATTCAACCGGCATCCCTGTTCTTTTGCAGCTTCCTATGTTTGATTTTGATACGGTAGGAATTGATTTGCTTCTTATTCTTCTTCTTCTTCTTTTTTTTTTTTTGCCCTGTGCTTATGCCATTTTTCTTTTCCTATTCGCTTTTTACATGGGACGTTCATTTGGTCAAAGTACTTATTTGTTTGCTTTTCTTCCCCCCTTTGGTTAAAGAATGGCCAGAATGAGCAGAACAAGAAGATAGTAGCAGTTGGACCATGGGGAGGAAATGGCGGTGACGCTTGGGATGATGGAGGCTACAATGGAGTCAGAAAAATTGTACTTTCTCATGGCCACTGTATCGACTCCATTCGGGTTGTGTATGATAAAAACGGGAAGCCTTTCTCCGGAGAGAAGCATGGCGGCGTAGGAGGAAACAGAACTACTGAGGTAAAAATCTCACAAAGTAGAAACTTGTTTCCTAAATTGCAATGGCTGAATTTCACTAGTACTGAACTTCAGAATCTGTGGCAGATCAAGCTACAATTTCCAGAAGAAATTTTGATATGTGTGAGTGGTTATATAGCACCAGTGGTTCATGGTATGAGCCCCGTGATCCGATCACTCACGTTTAAGAGCAACAAAAGGATATATGGACCCTATGGAGCTGAAAAAGGAACGCCATTTTCTCTACCTGTTGAAGGTGGCCAAATTGTTGGATTCAAAGGAAGGTGTGGGTGGTACTTGGATGCCATAGGCTTCCATTTGTCTCCTGTACAAACGGCAAAGCTTCTCGACAGGGTTCAACAGCACCGGCTCAGGATACTATGATTTCTGATGCATACAATGATTAACTCACAGTTAAATGTTGATCAATATGATGATAATAAATGTAGTCTAAGAGCTTTGACAAATTTGTAGAGTTTTCTGCAGGAGAATGAAAAGATCTAATCTCCCCAAGGAATCAATGTTTGTCATCTTAGGCTCAAAGCAAATAATTTAATGAATGGTGGTTTTCTATCGTGGTTTTTTTTCTTGTGTGTGTGATGCTTGAAAACTTTAAGTGATATGCCATATTTCAATGAATCACAATCAAAAGGAAGCTCTACGGGAGGAGTAGCAGGCAAAAATATTAACGGATCCAATGAAATAAGGGTGCTAATATAAAGGGTATACTTTGAAGTTCATACCAAAAAAGAAAAATGCGGTTTACTCCAGCATTTTCTGGGAACCATCAAAATACGTCTCAAAACGTACAAAATTTCCCAGATCAAGGCGCAAAATACGTCTACAAGCAGCTTAATGTCACAACTACAACATCTTTCACTCATCTAACTTAGAACTTGTTCCGTATAAGATGGTGAAATCTTATCTTCTGCCCCTACTTTCATTAACTTGCTCTCCGTGAAGAATGAGTTGATGTGTCTGATTTCTCAGCCAAATAATGCTCCAACATATCTTCTTCATCATCTGAAATGGGCCAAGTGATTGGAGGACTCCCAATGCAAAAATGAGAAAAACAGAGAAAAAAGACCAAATAAAAAAAAAAAGAAGTATTTTTATAGACACACCTTCAAAGTCCTCGTCATCAAAGTCGATGTCTTCTTCATCTTCATCAGATTCTTCATCAACTGTTGCCGCACCTTTCTGAAGTGACAGTTAAAAGAAGGCTACTCAGATGAAAGGGTTGTTCAATAAGTTTTCAAACTACTGTATGGAGAAGATATAATGCAAAAGCAACCGGTGAGTACATCCCAAAAGTATTTAATAAGGATGCCAAAATTAATAATAGTTAACAGTATTGAGTAGTGCATCAACTCTTTTCAGAAGACTCCGGTACTCCACGTTGAGTCAGAATGACAAGGGATCCCTCTCAGCATAAACTTAGTAGTATATAAAATTAAGTACAGGTGGTAGACTTTGAACTGATGTTTATGGAAAGTGATTGTGATAAGATTTTGCAACATGCAAGGGAACTACATCAGAAATCACATATCACGATAGCAAATGCCTTCTTCAACTTAGGATACGGTACCTAGATTAACTAGCTCATTCAAAAAACTCTTATAAATGTATCGAGTTGGGAATGCTTGCTTGAATTTAACATGAGGGACTTCCATGGATTTGGTTGATGCCTAAGGACTAACTAGTAAAGATGTAAATCAGAAAACACATTTCAGTGAGGTACAAAAAGCAAAGAATCGTACCGAGGCAGCACGTCCACTTTCAAACCACTGTCTGCCTGTAAGCTTCTTGTCCTTTGGTGCTGCAAGTGCTGCGTCAGGCATTAGCCTAAGATGTTGATGAATATTTACATTAGAAACATATCCAAATAATATGTAATAACACGAGTTCATGGACCATGCACCATTGCTGTACGTGCAACAATCTTATTCTGTTTATGAAACGTCCACCACATGCTGTTTATGAAACTTACTTGGCTCTTTCCAGAGCTAATTCAGCTTCAAATCTTTCTCTCCAAGCCATAAATGTATCAACAGTGACAGGCTCACCGTGAGGCACAATAACCTAAAATTAAATGAAAATTCCTTCAAAAAGTCAGATCAAATGAACCTTCCAACATAAGAGTAACAAAATTTGCCTTTAATCAGGATAAAAATACTATCTGAAGAATTATGACAAGTTTCTGAACTCCAGGTGAAAGTTCTCCTCATTATTCTTCTAGATTATTTTAACAGAAAATGCTGAAGTTAGAAACTTCCATAACTTATCAGCACATATTGGAAAGAGCTAGTATCTCCAGAAAAGAGAAAACAGACCCGCACAAGGACAAGAATGAATCTATCCACTAAAAGTCACACTTGAAGCCAACTATACCTCATCTTTAGCAGCCTCATCTTCTACAACATCGTCAGCACCATCTTGAGCAAATCTATCAGATAGCCAATCCTTGGCTGATGTAACTAATGTGTAAATCATAGCCATTCCAAGATTCAAAGAAACCTAAAATGAAGGCAGTAGTACTTTGTGTTTAGTAGCTAAAAAAGTCACCTAACTAAAGATATGTTTCAACATGAACCAATCATGGCCACATTCCAGGATACACCAAGGGGTATACAATATAGAGAAGACACCCATTGACTTGCCAGATTACTCACTGGCATTTTAACGCTTTCTGAAGTTGGACCAAAAGATAAACATCAAAAGCATCAAATTCAGTCATTAGAAACAAGTCCTAAATATGCACATGGACAGTTGTCCTCCTTACAAAGTAAAGTATGATGACAGAACAGCATATAATCAGCCTTGGGTCATTTAATGACGAATAGACTGTCTCGAAAGCCTCTCCCACATACATCCTGGCCTCCAGGACATTAAATATTGAAGTGCTCCCAGGGAATAAATACACAAGCGCTTATCATAGAAAACTAAAGAACAGAATTCAGTTTCCCTTTTTCTGGAAGGGACCCAAAAGAAGATTGATGCACATGTCTGAAGACAACAAGACAGAAAAAGGCATAACGATCTACCTCCTCTTCAAGTTTTTGCTTTAGAGCAGCGACATCTCCACTATGGACTCCTCTTATACTGAAATTCAAAATAATCAAGCTCAGCTGAGATCAGACTTGTAACTAAGCAACACATAAATTGCTGAGTACCACAAGGGTACATCAAAGCAAGTATATTTGGAAAATACATGATGGAAATACTAATTTTTGCAGTACCTTGTTACATTCAAAAGAGGGGGTTCATCCGGATAATTATCAGTGTGTGCAAAGATCAAAGCCAGCTGTGCTGCATTTTGGCAAAGGTGCAATTGTTTGAGACAATCTAATATGCACAGCAACAACAGAAATCACAGAGCTCCATCACCAAAAAGAAGAGACTTATTTAACAGATACAAACCTGGAGGATTAGACTCATCTCCGTCATCATCCTGCACATACAAAAGAAGTCAATGAAGGAGACAATACTATCAATGCGCAACAAATATATACCCACAAGATACAGCGTTGCCCTTATTCAGACAAGATCATGCACAAATGAATGGACAACTAACAAAATCCTATTTCTCCGAAAATGATTATACATCAGCTGGTGAACAGTAAGAATTGCAAAAGCTTCAATATTCTTCCCTATTTCAAAACACTCAGAAGGTGACAATTATCTTAGGCATTACTAACCCGAGGAGATATGAGAATCTGAAAGCACCTGTTGGAAGTGTTCAACCCACTTTCACCTGGGTGAATTTCTGGAACAACATTTGACAAGAGTAAGCTACATATGGTTTTTGATACTAAAGGACAGATTAGAGAGTAGAGACAGCCTCGGACCTTTAAATTCATCCATAAGTATGGCTTCTAATGCTTCAATCTCCATTTCCTGCTCCTGGTGATAATCTGCACAATGCCAACACTGATTAATTAACAATCAGAGAAAATTCTCCAAAAAGTATGAGAAGAAAGCTTCTGAATCAATCAGAGAAAATCCTCCTGAAAGCTGTGATTACATAAATATGCAAACAGACTTCCGCGTGGCCATCCGCGTGAAGCCATATCTTAATCGATGTAGATGATTGTGCAAGATCTATGGAATAGTATGATCCTAGAATTACGATAGGCTATCATAACAAAATGTTGTAAGAGGCATCTGCTCTTGCATCCACGCGCATAATATATGTCTTATTATGTGTAAGAGATGATAGCACGTGATGTATCCAAAGCACGTGATGTATCCGACAGTATCTGGCCAAAAAAGGTTACACATTGAATTCAAAAAGCATAAACGCTGATATTTTGACCGAGTACACGAACGCATTCAAGTTGGAGTACCTCATATAGTCAATGCAATCATAATAATTAATTATAGCAACCAAATACCTAAATCTCAACATTTTTTACTCCATTCGCAATGTTAGGGCATCAAAGGATCCCTCTAGTTAATGATCCAACACGTATATATGTTTGCCCTTTCTTAGTGAATGCATTCGTGGTGCTTCGGAAAGAAATAATATTTATGATACAGTTATAAGCGCAAAACTAAATACTCAATTCGGGAGATATTCTCTTCCATAATCCACTTTAGGGATAACAAGGGCAGTGGACAAAGACTGCGTAAATTCACTCCAAGAAGACAGTAAACTGTCTTACCAACAGAATGCAATCATACTATTATCATTCACCACAACTTCAAACTTCAAAGATAAAATACCCAATTAGAAGCTACCATATCAATCCTCTTAATCATTGTGCGAGAAAGATATACCAAAATCAACACAAACAAGCAGTAATCAGCATCTCAAAATCCCCAACAACCAAGCAACAAATCAGCAAATGTACCAATTCTAACCATACTCGAATTGCCAAAGCTTCAAACTTTACCAATAATTAAGATAGAGAAGAGAACACAAAAAAATTTCATGAATGGGCAACAACTCAATCCCCGTTATAAGATCAACAATCAAAATATCTCTCTACCCATCAAAATTTCTCAAACAAAGATTACTTCATTCCCCAACTGAATTACCTGTCATGGTTGCACGTCTTTCTGTTTCCTCCCGCCCGACCCTTTATCGACAGCAAGAAGATGAATAGCTGAAGCAACAGCCACTATTATATCGAACACCAAATAAGCTAAATCCACTATGCTAGTTCTCAGGGTACTTGATGAAGTTGGTCTGTAATTCTATAAAACTTTTACTTTTCCCTTTTTCTTTTTTTTTTCCTTTGTTTGGGGGGGGGGATGGTGTTAAAAATTACGGTGTACTGCGTTAACCTAAAAGTTCTACCCAAATTAAATCAGAACCGTTAATCATATATTATTGGTCATATTGAGATAAAAATCCATTCTTTAATACTTTGAGGCAAAATCAGCATCCATCAATCAAAATAGTAACATTGATCCTTCATAATTACCTCCTAAAATATGATACAGGTGTAGATACCTTAACAGACTACCTGTCGTGTCTAATCACAGCCGCAGCATCACAATTTCCCCTGTTTTTTTTGCCCTTTCATTTTTCAGTTTTTTCTCTACTGTTTTCCGCTCTTCACAATCTCTCGGCAAAACATAATAAAAAATAATAAAAATGGGGTAATAATAATCCACAAAATCCAACACGCACACACACACACACACACACTCACAATCCACTTCACACCGTTCTCTGTTTTAGTGTGTTTTTTCTCTCGAGAGAGAGAGGGCTCACTCACTATCTCTGCTTTGGGTCTGGCTCTCTTTGTCTGTCTTGGCAAAAAGATACCAAAAGAAAAGAGGTACGTCCGATCCATTTTTTCTAAAAACACAGTCACACACCTTACTCACCCTCTCTGCTTCTCCTTCTCCTTCTTCTTCTTCTCTTTCTGTACTTCATATGTTTCGTCATCATCATCAACTGTTTGTGCACATGAACCTTTTCTTTTCTTTTGTTCCCTTTATTTTTATTTTTCTCTCTTGTGGGGTTGAGTTTGTTTCGAACTGTTTTTTCGACTGAAAGCCTTTTCTTTCCTCCACCCCCCCCCCCCCAAAAAAAAAACATTTTTGGTGTGAAAAAAACATTTTCTTTTTTTAAACAGAGGCACGTTTAGGGGAGCATAAACAAAAGGGGGACATGGGAGGTTTTGATTGTTTTTTTTGGAGGAACAGTTTACCATTTTGAAATTTTTTTCTTGAATAAATAAGCAAAAAGGGTATAGGAAAGTTTTGAATTTTTAAGAGGATATTTGGTTGGTTTTATTCTTCTCCAGATCTATTTATGTCCCTGTAAACCTTTTGGTTCTGGGTTTTTCAGCATTCTTTCCTTTTGTGGTGCTATCTGATCTGGTTTCCTCGCTTGGGTCAGTTTTTTCTGGTTCGAAAAAATGAATGATATGTGTAGGGCTTGAATTGCATGGCGGTCCTTGTTTTCTAATTTTATCTCTATGTTTTGGGTCTGAAGAATTAGGTGCATTTTGCGGTGCTGGAAAGCCTATCTGCCGTTTTTTGAGGTTTAGGTGTGCAGTGAAATGTTGAGTTGAGGTTCGCTTTTTGGGTGTTTTTTCTTCCCTTACGTATTGGTTTTCCGCCCCTTTAATTGGCGGTGGTGTGATATGGGGAGCTCTGGTGAGGCTGCCGACAAGAGCCTTGATGTTTCAGTTGGATGCTTGGTTTGGGTTCGCAGGAGAAACGGTTGCTGGTGGCCGGCTCAAATTCTCAGTCCTGAAGAGCTGCCAGAAAGCTCCTCAGTTTCTGAAAAATTAGGGACCCCTGTTAAACTCCTGGGAAGAGACGATTCCAGTGTGTGAGTGTTTTGATCTGATTGTTGGTTCTTATGAGATTTTGGGTGTTTTATTTTATTTTGTCTTTTCTGTCTGTTGGTTGTTTGACATAAGGTTTTATTTGGTTTGAATGGGTTTGTGCATTCTTCATTATTTGGCAGTTGACACTCCTACCAATTGCTAAATGTGTCTGATTTTGAAGTTGAAGGTTTTTGGTATAATCATGTGTATCAATATAAGGAAGCTGCAGGTTTAAAGTGTATGAGTCTAGATAAGAAGATCTTTTACTTCTGAATGTTTCGATTTGACTCTCAGATGTGCCATGATTTATATTACATTTATGCAATGTTAGTCTGTAGTACAACCACCTGAGTTCTGTGTATTTTTTGGACTTTAAAATTTTGCTATGTTGGATATGCTTGGAGTTTTATACTAGTTTCTAACTCTTTTAGGGCTTGGTATAATTTTGAAAAGTCGAAACGTGTCAAAGCATTTCGTTGTGGGGAGTATGATGACTGTATTGAGAAAGCTAAGGCAGCAGCTAGTGCTTCTTCAAAAGTAGTGAAGTATGCTCGAAGGGATGGCGCCATTCTTCATGCTCTTGAGATTGAAAATGCTCGCCTAGGGAACGATCCTTCTGACCTTTCCTTAGCTGTTGATAAGAAAGAGGAAGAGTTGCAGTGTGAGAACTCCCTTGATACTTTACAGAGTCTAAAAGATACCGAATATTCTGAGGCTGAACAACAGATGAGTTTTTCCAAAGATGATTCTGATTCTGATGCTGGTTCCGCTTCTAATTCTGAGCTGGAGTTTTCTCATTCTGGCGTGTCATTTGAAGGGCAAAGTCAAAGTAGTACTGGAAAAGATGAATTGGCCGAGGTTAGACAGCAGAGAACTCCAAATGATTCAGAGGATGATGGAATGGAAGGCATTAAGCGCATGAAAGGACTTGACGATCTGGGTATGGGTGTGGTGTCATCATTGAAAAGGAAGAGATCTACAGTAGCACATGCTCATGAGTCCCTTAAAAGAAAAAGTCGCCGCCGAACATTATCTAAGGTTTTGGAGAGTACTGCAATGGTATCTGTACCTGTTTTATGTGAACAACTTGGGAGTCCAACTGGATCTTGTATCCCTGGGTCATTTGATAACAAGATTTCTGGATTAGATCCTGATGGTGGTAGAATTCTGTATGAGAATGGAGATGCCTGTGAATCTTCCATTGGTAGATGTACCGAGAAGGAGAATGGAATTTCAGGCTTGTCGGGGTGCCCTGAGAATGATTCTTCTGACAGTTTATACGACGTGCCTCTTATTGCGGAAGAAAAGGACTCAGCAGGTACCTTCTTTTTTTGCAAAAACTCGTAATGCACTATTCGCTTCAGGCATTGCTTCCTGAGATTCTTAATCCTTTCAAGTTGACAAAAGGATTGCACTCCTCTTACCATACCTAGGTGACTATGTTGATGTTAAGTATTTCCATCAATGAAATAGTGGGTGGGAAGTTTGGTCTTGTTATTAAAGTTTATTATTCTCTGCAGCCTTTTGGAGCACCTCTTACGGGTCTCTATTCTTGGTTCAACTGGTTCTGGCTTCTCCCCTCGTAAATGCATTATAATGTGGTTTTAGCTGTGTAGCAATGATTGGCTTGCTTTCATCTCTTTTATTTCACGATTACGAAGTGAGATTTATGTTTCCTGTGTAATTTAGGTCCTATGGTCTTTTTTAACTAAGATTGTTGTCCATGCTTGCTTTTTGTCTGTTTGTGTTGAACCTAGGTCGAGCTTGTCTTAGCCAAACTGGTATGTTTGCTTTCTTTTACCTGCACATTGTTTAGTAACTTGTCTGCCACGGGTCTTCTTCTGGTAGTTGTGATTTGTTTGTCGCCTCTTAGTATGTTGGGTTGCCTCTTTTACATGCTCTGTTATTCACATGATTCAATAGATATTATGTGCTAATATCTTACGCTTCTCTTGTCAGTGATTCGTTCTGCTACTCAAAAGGGTCAAGGTGGCTGTGGAACTCAATCTAGTCAAAGCAGTCAAGTGGAAACAGCTTCCTTGGGGAATGATGAGTTAATTGAATCTGGTTCTGCCAGTTCAGGAGCTGCTGATATCAATATTCTGAACAGCATGTTAGAAAAAGGTGCTTCAGAATGGCAATTAAAGGGGAAGAGAAACTCTAGACACACCAGCAAAAACAAAAGGCTAGATACAAGATTTATGGATGTTGACAAGGATTCCAGTCCATATTTGAGGGGTATGGATCAGGATGCATTTACCCTTGGTTCTGGTCGAAAAGCTGAGTGCAACTCGATTGATGGGGCCAGTCCTTTGGATAATCGGGTAAAGTCCAGAACAGTTACTGATATTCACCAAGATGATTTTCGAGGATGGAGCAGTTCCCTCAAAGGATCTCAAGATGAGGACCTACCTGCTGACTTGCCTCCGAGGTCACAACCCTTGCGTATGTCTCGTTTTGTGTTAAATCCGAAGTACGACTCATCTGATTTTTCTCTGAGGCACCACATTGCAGAAAATTCCTTGTATGATGTTAATGTTGAAGTTAAAGGCAGCTATCGACCTCAACATGTTCCATATATCTCTTTAATGAGTAAGTTAAATGGCCAACCAATTGTTGGCCATCCTCTTACTGTTGATGTCTTGGAGGATGGTGCTTCTGATCATCTAATGAGCAGCTCAGAATGCTATAGCAGCAGCTACGAGCTGGATGATGATCATGGTGACGATCCGTTTGTTTTTGATACGGTGTATGAAAGAAGGTCGAAGTCAGGTGGAAGGAGGGGAAAGAAGTATCGCAAAACATGGGGTTCACCTTCAAAGCTGCAGAAGTCAAGGAAGAATGGTGCCTTGTCAAAAAAGATCCGAAGATTGTCTTCTCTCACTAGCCACAAGCATGGTAATAACGATGACAAGAAACCGATGACGGAGAAGCTCAAGGGTCCTGCTGTAGCTTGTGTACCATTGAAAGTAGTATTCAGTAGGATAAATGCTTCCTTGAATTGCTCCATACGACCAACACAGCGCCTCCTTCCACCAGCCAGTGCGTGAAGAGATTTTTGGCGGAGCACATAAACTTTGCAGTAGCCAGGAAGTTTGCATATTCGTAGGAATTTTGATTAGTTAGGGATCTTGATATCAACATTTGCTGAATTTCCTGCACTGTATATCATACCTTGAGAAGTAGAATTTCCTCCTTGTATAATAATGCCGAGAAGCTGCATTGTTGTAGGCCTTGTATGGTTGGAAACTGAGGTATTCATGGCATTGGGCTGCTCTTTTAGTGTATATAAATGTAACAGTAGTTGGGTAACTTGGGTTACAAAGAGTGTAGTGTTGATTTACTTTTAGGTCTGAAATTCGGGAATTTAGTCCAGAATGCGTAAGTTTAAAAGACCAGAATTCAATAGAGCAGCGGGCATTTGACAGGAGTAGCATGATTTAATGGGCAGCCCATCTTACCTTGTTTTTATATTTTTTTTTTCATACTGCGCACAGTGCATTCTAAGTGCATTGCACTCAAACTAATTCGCAACGAGTCGGGTTGGTATCTCTTAAATGTATTGCACTCAGACTAATCAGCAACGAGTCGGGTTGGTATCCTTTCAGAGAGAATGCTCTTTTAATATTGCTCTCTCTGTTCGCGAGACTCGAACTGAGACCTCGCTTAAGGGAACAAAAGTACCTTACTACTTTAGCCAAGCAAGTATTGGTATCTTGTTGTTATATTTTATCTGCAAAATTATTTTCTTCATCATATCCATGAGAATTCTTGAACCAAATATGGCTATCTTGACCAACCTTTTTTTTTTTCCTCCTTAAGGTAGCTTTGGTAATCTTTCATGATAAGGGTTTCAGATTGATGTACACAACATATGAATATTATAAAACCAATTCTTTATGTTTTCAATCAATTTGATCAATGTTCCTATTGGATCGCAACTCCCAATTTATATGAAAAAATAGTTGTAGCATGTAAACCATTTACTACGAACTATTCAGTCGAAAATAATAGTATTAGTATATTACTATTTAGTACTCCCTCCGTCTCATAATTATTGTCCAGTTTGAGTTTTCATTTCTAGTTTAAATTGTACTAAAAATGAAATTTCAAACTGGACAATAATTTTGGGACAGAGGGAGTAAATTACCGATTTTGCAAAATGCATGCATGATATAATTTCACCCGGCCTAAATGGTATTTGTGTCAAACAGTCAAAGTGCCAACCATTAGATTTGTGGGGAAAAATTGAAAAGGACAAAAGAATAGGAGGGCCTCACTGATGAAAACAAAAATAATATGGGCAATTTCGTCAATGCAAGTCTCTGCCTAGGGTTTTAACACCTTATATAAACAAAAAATATTTTACTCCTTTTGTTCCAGCTCTCCCTATCGCCTCTCTTAGCGAAGCCGTCAGCAAAACCCTAATCTCCCCTCTATTTCCGCTTCATCTCGGTGATTATCTGCTCTCTCTTGTTCTGATCTACCTTTGAAATTCGTTTATGGAAGTTCTGAATTCCGTTTGGAGTTGATTTAATTTGTGTTTTGTGGGTTTCATTTGGTACAGGCCTCAGCAATGGCGACAGTTCCAGGGCAGCTGATATGGGAGATCGTTAAGAAGAACAACTCCTTTTTGGTGAAGGAGTTCGGTAACGGCACTGCTAGTGTCAAGTTTAGCAAGGAGCCCAACAATCTCTACAACCTCCACTCCTACAAGCATTCTGGTTTGTCTGATTAAACTTTCTCTCTTTTTCTTTTTTTTTTTGTTTTTGATAGTTTACTTGTTGCATTTTTTGCGATCGTTGGGGGAAGATTTAGATTTTAGGCTATTGATTTAGGCGTCCGCTGTTTGCATTGAATCAATTACCGTGATTTCTGCTCCTTGCTATCGAGGGTGATGAATATGTCGATAATAATTGGTCCTTGTTCCTGTGGGTGATGGATATGTTGATGATTGGTTTGTGTGTGTTGTGTATTTTAGGCTTGGCAAACAAGAAAACTGTTTCCATTCAATCTGGCAAAGATCAGTCTGTGGTGCTTGCCACTACAAAGACAAAGAAACAGAACAAGCCTGCAGCTTTGGTCAACAGATCTGCAATGAAGAAGGAGTTCAGCCGAATGGCCAAGGCTGTTCAAAACCAGGTAACAAAATGAATTTCATAGCTACACTAAAGGTCAAATGTTGAAATTTATTACTTTTGCATTTAGGCTGGTAGCTTATAGTTTCCCTAATTGTACAAATTCGCCTGTCTCTTTTGTATGTCGTAAAGCTTAGGATTTTAGATTAAGCCAACTTTCAGGAGTGTATTGATGATTGGAGTTATCTTTTGCTTAACTAATTTATGATACACCTGATTAGACTGTTAAATACTCTAATCTGATGTGAACCCTCCTTTCACAGTTTAATGCCCAATTATCTTGTTATGCATCTGGTTTTTGAATTTATTTGTTCTAATTTGCCTTGAGGTTTGCTATTCCCTTGAGAAGTTATCGTGTTACCTTCTGCTTGATGTGCTTCCAGCGCTTAAAGTTCTTTTTAACACGATTTTTATTGTGAATGCTTTGTAAACATGTATCAGATGATATGTTAGTTAGCTTCTTATAGGCTCCAAGACCTATGTTGTTCCGTATGAAACTTGCTTAAGACACACCTTAGAGATATATTTGCTTTCAGAAACAAGTCTTTGTGATTGTTTTTCTTGATTGAGCTTTTATACTGACGGTTTGTGGTTTATATGTTCTGTTCTGTAGGTCGCTGATAACTATTACAGGCCTGATCTGAAGAAGGCTGCCCTTGCAAGGTTGAGCGTTGTTCACAAGAGCCTCAAGGTCGCCAAGTCTGGTGCTAAGAAGAGAAACAGGCAGGCTTAGAGCTTGAATATTTTAGTTTAAAAGTTGAGGTTAAAGAGGATTGTTGTGCTCCTTATCTCTATTTTTGTCACTTGTTCAACACTCCTTTATTTGGATTCTAGAGATATTATAGGTTTTTTGGCATTAGACGTTGCCTAATCTATCATTATCGTGTTTGTGGATGAATTCTTGTTTTCTAAGCCAAAAGCTACCCCGTTTGTTGGTATGGCCTTAAATCCGTGTAGTGCAGGTTGATTGAGCTGCGTTTCCATGCGTTGCCCCAAGTCCTAAGTATACAATACATTTCCTGTCAAGGCAAAAATGATATAGGAGATTAGAGTTTTTTGTGAGGGGGGGAAGAGTCACAGTTATGATGATTGCAATGAAAGTTTACCAAATGTTGGAAAAAAGATAGTAATAATAATAATAAACAATGAAATTATTCCATGAGTAACTCGTTAGATACTATTTTTGTTATTTTACTACGATTACAATAAGCTGAATTACTCGAAATTATTTTTTCTCTCCAACCATTTTTTTTTCCTTTTCTGGGGATGACGGGATAAATCGTCTAATAATAGTATTGGAACCAATTAAGAAAAAGAAAGAAAGAAATGTAGTACAATTACCAATAAAAGGGAAATTTCAATGGAATCTAAAGAAAATAGAAAAAGCCATAAAGAGTATGGGGGTATTAACGTCATTTGAGCGTCTAAATCTCCAACAAGCTCTTCGGGTTCTCCTATAAAAGGTTCTTCCACAGTTGCTTCTCCTCAAAACTCTTCTCGGCTTCAATCGGAGCTCCCTGTAGGCAATCAGAATAAGAAATCCTCAGATTGTCAACCTTGAAATTTGCAAAATCCATGTCGGATTCTACAGCTTCTCAATCCCCCTCCGGAAACCCGGAGATCGTGGATCCCCTTGAACCCAACTCAGGAGGAGATGACATCTTCCACTCCGCAGTGTGCGTCGAGGATGACCACTTCAAGGAAGGTTACAGTCAAGGCTACGCCGACGGTTTAGCTTCAGCAGTCGACAAGGAGGACGGCCGGCTTGTGGGCCTTAAGAACGGATTTGAAGTGGGCGAAGAATTGGGTTTTTACAGAGGTGTCATTGATGTGTGGAATTCTGCTCTTCGGGTGGACGGGTCTTGTTTTTCGACCCGGGTTATCGCCTGTATCAAACGGATGGAGGATTTGCTGAACAAGTACCCGATATCCAACCCGGAAGATGAGTCGGTTACTGATTTGAGGGATAATTTGAGGTGGGAATTCAAGAAACTTTGTCTCAGTAAGAACTGGAATTTGGAATATCAGGGCTACCCCAAAGCTTCTGAAGCTGGAAGTCTTGATTTTTGAGGTTGTTTCATGTCTGTACTCTGTAAGAAATTGTTGCTTCTTTTTCCCTTTGGTAGTTGTGTACTCAGTACCGTATGAAAAACAATTGCTTTCAGATTTTTGTTTGTCTGGAGCGTTTGCAGAAGTACTTGAAAAGCATGTAGTATGAGCTTCATTTTATTATAGACTGATTTTTGGCAGTTCATTGATTGATCTCTTCTCTTTTTTATTCTCGCTTTCCAATAGAGAAAAAAAAAAGGATTGAACGCTGAAAAAGCAAAAGATGGTTATATGGGGGAAAATTATATGATGTTTCCAAGAATGCTTCATATAATAGAGAACTCCAACAATAGTTCAATACAGATATGTTTCCTAGGCTGTCTTTTGACTATCAATGAAAAAGGCAACCGCCTATTGCGAGAAACAAATAAAATACAAAATTGTTTCTTAGGAATCATACTAACATCAACGCTTTCAAGCAGAATAAGCACAGCAAAACGCACATCTAAACTGTTTCAAAACCAAAACAACTGAAGATTACATGTGGTTCAGCAGTCATTCCATCAGTGCAGAAAGAAACAGTTTGTTGCAAACAAATCACCTATATAAAATTATACATATATGAGATATTCCTACTTAAAACTCAAAATCAGGCGTCAGGCAGGGCTGCAGCTGTTGAATTTCCTTCCCCACCATCTGGAAGACTAGCTGGTGACCTGGGACCTTCTTTGTTTTCCTCTGGCTCAGTTCCCTCATCAAGGGGAGGGACTTGGTCTCCATTTTCCTCAAGTTCAGGCCGAAAATTAATTGGGGATTTGGTCACTCTAGGCTTGTCTGTAAGTATATTTCTCTGAACCCTGTCAATCAGAACTTTTTTAGGAGGTTCTTCTCTTAGCTGATCATCATCATAGTCATTGTTCATATAATAACCCACTCGAATGAATTCCTGTCCCACGTACGAGCAAGTCAACAGGAGCACTGTCACACCAATTATATCTTCTTCGCGGATTTTTGAGGGATCAGTGGATCAGCCTGCATTGTCATTACAAAACTTGAAACATGTTGGGGAAAGTGAAGATAAGAGGATGGATTCAGAAAGAAACTGCTCTTCTAATGGAGTTACCTACAAGACAAATCGATAATTGCCAACTTTTCCTGGCCCAAGAAGAAGCTGGTCATAAGTTTCATCCTCAGCAGATCCAACATATATGAGTTTCCATTCCAAATCTGCTCATGACATTCAATGCTTATAAGCTCCAATAACAGGTTTAAAAGCTTCTAACATGTCTACTAAACTGTTTCTTGGATTGGACGTAGTTAGCTCAGTGTGAGCCAGACACAACAGAGGTCAGAGGATAAACAGCAAGTAAAAAGGATTTGAAGAGGGCAAGTTTTCACAGCATCAGAACATGACAAACTTTTCAGCGAAGACATATTATAATAAGTCAGCAAAACACCAGAGATACTGGCATTACCTCCATATATAACAGATACAAACATGTCAATTTTCTTTCTCTGCTTTTAACACAATGCCTCAGCAAACAATTCTCATCTCATGAGATGGTTTATTTTTACACCAGGAACTCTGATGTTCCCTATTGAATCAATATGTCAAGTAAATCTCACATCTCAGCTCAGTCCCTAGATCACAGCTAGGCAAATTATCAGTCTCGTCATCAGAAAAGATAGTACGACAGTAAACACTTCACAAAAAACAGACAAACTGATCTAAAAAAACAAATGAAATCCACATAAACACACCAAACCATGCTCTTCCATCATTTACAAAGGCTAAAACCACAACTAAATCAATGAAGAACAATCAAAATTGAGCATATGACCAAAAATCATCATGCACTTTTTTTGCTTATATCGATATCCTTCTGAATGCCCTCTTCGGATGTGCTTTCGTTCAAGTTCTGTCTCATTTTTCCTTTATTTCCAAACAAACATTTACCGTCCGATTGCATATACTTACATTTCCAGTACAACTTACTGTAATGGAACTTTTACAGCACTAATTTTTAAGGCTGGAATACAAAGAAAACTCTTAATTTAAAACCTTAAAGATATGATATGGGAACTCTGTACAAGCCCTAGAAGATTCTCATCGAAATATAATTTAAGATATGATCGCCGGAACAAAAAGGGGGAAAAGGAATGAACAAATTGCAAAGTGAGAGGTGGAGATTTACCGTCTTTAAGAGGAGTGGTGCACTCGTAGGAGATTTCGAACTGGAAAGGAGCGACAAACGGCGCCGGAGGTAATATTGACCGCACTCATCCTACTCGAATGGAGCAAAGTAAAGGCGTTAAATTGGGGTTGGAAGAGTTCGACAGTGGCCGGAGCGATAAATCTAAATTATGGAGCGGGGAAACCCCTGCACAGATTACAATCTGAAACCACCGCGCCGGCGGCGAAAACGTCAGACGATAATGGGAGGGAAAAACCAGCGTGGCCTAATTTCAATACTTCGAGCAAAACAGCCGCTTATGTAGATTGGCGGGAACTTATTTTAGGTGGGCTGATGGGCGGATTCCTAGCTTTTGAGATTGCGTTCCGTATCCAATGTAAGCCCAACCATGTCTTAAGCTTCGATGAGTCCGGGATTTTGGACGAGAGCTTTTACTAGTGTGATATGATATGACTAGTACCCGCTAATTCATTTCATATAGTTTTATTTGGACTCGTTGATTTTGAGTTCAAATTTGGCTCTTTTTTTAACAAAGTTAAGCACAATCTTGCGAGTGTAAAATCATAAAATATGGTTTGTTTTGTTTTTTTAGTGTGTGTTTTTAGATGTTTTTTATATTAGGAATGTAAAAAAAATATTAAAAATATAAAAAGGTATGCTCGGATGAAACAATTATTTTTTAAATATTTTGAAAATACCATTAAAAAAAAATCTAACAAACAAAGCCTTGGGAGCCCTCTTTGGTACATACAGTTTGGCTTAGGTTGCTCAAGGAACGATTCCGCCTAGTTGGATTTGAATTTGGCTCTCAACTATTAAATGAGCCGAAACGGGAGTTTGTGATTGAGCTGCTCACAAGCAGGCTAATGAATGACTCAATTTGTTATTAGTCTTATTTTTTGAGTTTTTGACGTGAAAGTGGATGCATGAGACAAACCAAAGAAATGAATTTATTCCAGGGAAAAAAAGAAAAGAAAAGGAAATGATTCTTTACAGGAAGAAATCTATCGACATCAAATTGACAGCACTAGTGTTCTCGTACAGCCAATGCCGCACTATGTCGACCAGTTATTTCGAATTGTATAGGAGACCGACTGCTATCTTCTGCGAGGCCAACATTTCACACAGAATAGTAGCTCATAAGCCACCCAAAACCTAATATTCGAGCAAAGAAGCAACCCAGAAGCAATGTGTAGGTCAGAAAGCCAAAATAATAAACACAGGTAGATTAAAACTTCATTCACAAAGATGTATATGGTTAATGATAAATGCCTCAATTTTTGTGCTGCATCCTCCCGCTTTCTGAACCAGCATAAGGATCAATAATGAGATTTATGACGGCAGGCTTCCGTGCTGTAAAAGATTCAGCAAGTGCAGATTTGAGTTCATCGGGTGTCTGGACGAGGTAACCTTTTCCACCAAAAGCTTCCATTACAACATGATATGCTGCCCCAGGTACAAAGGAAGTCGGCGCTGGATCGTCCTTATATGGCCCTGCAATTTCTTCAGAACTCCTGCGATCACCTCCGTACACACCGCCATTGTTAAAGACTATAACCACCACAGGTAGCTGATACCTGACTAAGGTCTGCACAATGCAAAGCAATAGAATGTTCTGAGGCGTTAATCACATAGCCCACCAATCAACATTCTTATCTAACATTGTTCATTTTTGTCTTTGTTTACTGACAAGATTGATTCTCCAACCTTTAGTTGATCCAAAAATTTTTATGAGTAAAAATATGAATAATATATGTTAAAACCGGATTATAAGGTTGACTATAAATACATCTTGGATCAATGAAATGAAGAGGAAATAGAAAAGGAAAAATAACAGAAAGCATTTGAATACAAATCAGTGACAATGAATATACTTAAATTAGTCAAGAGAAGGACAAACCAACCTCAACCTCCATCGCACTGAAGCCAAATCCAGAATCCCCTTCTACAGCCACCACAAGCCGATCAGGAGAGGCAACAGCAGCCGCGATGCAATATCCTAAACCAACTCCCATGGTCCCCCAAGTCCCTGCATCCAACCTAGTCCTTGGTTCTGTTTGAACCAATACAGCTCGACCAACATCCATAGTATTTGCTCCCTCCGATACCACAATGGGAGCAGGACTACCTACACCCAAAATTGCATCCCTAATAATCCTCAAAGGCGTCGTAAAATTGAATGGAACAACATCCTTTGCCAACTGCAGCTCCATTTTTGCTACATTCTCTTTAGCCTTCTTTGTTATAGCCTCAACCCAAGAGTGTGTTCTTCCTAAAGTAAAAGGGTCATCTTTAATCTCCTTGTGTATTTTTTCAACAACATCTTTCGCATCACCCACCAAACCCACAACAGGCTTTCTTAATTCAATCTCTTCTTTGCAGATATCTACCAGAATAAACTTCACATCCTTAGACCATTTAGGAGGCTCCCCGAAATGCAATAACCAATTGAGCCTAGCACCAATAACCAATGCAACATCACATCTTCCAATTGCCAGGGACCTGGCAGCTGTGGCTGACAATTCATGCGTGTCACTCAACAAGCCTTTTCCCATTGGAGTGGGTAAAAATGGAATCCCAGTACTCTGAACTAGTTTCTGCAGTGCATTCTCTGCTCTAGCATATGCAGCTCCCTTGCCAAAAACAATCAGAGGTCTCTCTGCATTCCTCAACAGCGCAACTGCCTTTTCAATTTCTGAATGCTTAACGATGGGCTTTTCAATCAATTCCTTCTTTCTACAGTGCTCAGCCTCATCAATCAACTTCTGGGCCTCAATGTCAGTAATACACTGGTGAAGCACATCGGTAGGAAGGTCCAAATAGCACCCGCCAGGCCTACCAGAACCGGCATGGTCAAGAACCTCAAAGACGCAAGTGGGGATTTTTGAAATGCCAGTGGCTTTAACCGAGTACTTCGAAAAGGGTGCAACTGCAGCGATTTGATCAAGCTCCTGGAAGTCACCACGGCCAAAGTCCTTTTGGTCACATGAGCCCGAAATCAAAACCATGGGCCAAGTGTTGACACCAGCATTTGATAGACCAGCCAAACCATGAACGCAGCCTGGCCCAGAGACTGTAAGAAGAATACCCGGCCGTCCCGTGAGGTAACCATATGCTGAGGCAGCATAGCCTGCAGACTGCTCATTATGGAAGGCGATGAACCGGATTCCAAGGGACACGGCCCGGTTTGCTAGTGAAGTAACAGGGATGCCCACAACTCCAAACATCTTGTCTACTCCGGCACGAGCCAGGCACATGGCCACAAGAATATTGCCATCAACTGAAGTAGTAGTATTTTCTTCAGAATCTGCCATAAAGAACGGAATCTGACCACATTGATTCCAGATGATCTGCAAAGGTGTTTGAAGCATGGTGAGATATAAAGAATTTCCTCCATACTGAAAAGAACAACAGCGTAACTAGCAAGTTCATCAAGCATTCTAGTAACCACTATTTCAGAAGAGTAATGAAGTTCATCTAGACCAGAGCCTGTACTGGCAGATGCTAGAGATCATCCCAGCTGAAAATGCGAACTAAATCATCTTCACAGCACTCAACATTAATAAAGCACAACTCATTAGCCTAAACATCCCAAAACACATAGCGCTAAAAATGATTCATCGTCAAATTTAAGCACATAAAACTCCAAATCATCAAACTCTAGTTCAAACAATGCATACTTAAGCTGCTCACACCAGGTGATAGATCAATTGTCAACATTCAAATCATAATCATTGCCAATCAGCACCCTGATTGCATCTCTATCTCAAAGGTTTGCTAAACATTTATCAGATTATAATACTGACCACTCACCAACTCAGAAAGGTCGCCCTTTCAGTAGCAAGAGACGGACAAGATACAAAAAAATAAATAAAATAAAAATTACAGTTAAACATAGCTGAATTCTTTACCACACAACAGACATGTATTTTGAAAATCAGCTAATTTGTGAAAGAAACAAATTAGACTTTCCGTTGGCAAATGATCGTTGAAACTTAGACAAAAATTGGCGAGTTTCCACAAATTTTAAATTCAGATAAATGCTCTACTAATGTCAACTCTTCTATGCGTAAAGGAACTTCTTCTCCCCAAATTAAACCCTTTGGCAAAGCAAAATGGTAGGAACACAACCAGTAATCAATAACAGCACAACAATATTACAGTACAGCAGTAATAAGAGTGAAAGGGGCAAAAGTTAAGGGGCATGGAGGAAGCCAGATTTGATAATTACGTACGGTGATGAGGAATAGGCGGCGGTCGGAGCGCGGACGGCGAAGGAGCGGAAATGAAAATGGTGGTGGAGCTGACACGTAAGGTTCACCCTTCACACCGTCTGGGTTTCAAAAAGAAGGTGATGTTTATTGCCGGGTTTAAAAGATTATCACGTGCGAAATTTACTCTTACGGTAAAAAAAGAAGAAATATCCTTTCTCTATTTACTTGCTGAAATTACGTCGGATCAAATCATTACCATCTTCATTCTTCTATACTTATATATTTCATCAAATAATTTATCCATTTAAATGAGTGTATATATCTATTTCCCTTGTTTTCTCTAGTAACGTTCCAATTTACAAAAATACTAATTGATGCTATGATTTATTTATGAACTTGTATGGTTACAAAATGTGTACATATTAATGCAACCAAACAACTTCCTTCTTTAGATTTTGGTACACCATAAGAGCATCTATTTCCTAACACATCAAATTATTACTATCATATATGGATAACGTGACCTGTTGTAAATCGTTATGATTAGTAATAATCAAAGAAGTCAAATTATTTATCACAAAATTCAATGAATAGAAATTATATTTTTATTCAACACACTGACCGTCCTTATACGTGTATATATATGTTGTAAAATTTCTAAACCCTAATATACATGTTACGGCTGGGAGTGATTGTCCGTTTTCCAACTTCTTCTTCTTCTTCTTGTCAATATAATGATTGCATAGTGATCTCCACTTCTCCAGTACCTGCCCCTTCAGACAAACTTTATCAAGATTACGAACAGGTTTCGGAGCAAGTTTAGCACGTTTCGGTGCTGGCCTTTTAGGCAAACACGATGAAGGCTGCGGATCGATCAATTGCTAAAAAGCCAGATTCAGCAACTGAAATAGACATGATTCAGAGCCAAGCTCCTATTTTCATCGAGACTACTTAAAAATGAGTTTTCCATGATAAAGAGCAAAGTGAAATAGACATGATTAATACGAAAGATAAGTAATTCCTTCAATACGGTTAATAAGCTTCAAGTCATATGGACGCGTATGATTAAAAAATAGGCTCTTTTGCTGCAGAATTAAAATAGCTTTGGTGCGGCTGCAGTAGGGGAACTAATTTGGGATGACACATGCCATTTTGTTAAGGCGTTCAGCAAGAATGTGAGTGCATGCTCCATCTAGACGTCAGAGTTAAGAGCAATCCCTTTAGCTATGGAGGTTGCAAGATAGCAGGGCACCAACAAGTTGCTCATCAAATCTGAATCTCAATGGGCGTTTGAGCTTGTGAATCACCTAAAAGATCAAACCATAACGCCCCTAGATCCTGAAATAAGGAGTACATATAATCTTTTACAAGCAGACTGGGTGGTGGATTTTGCGCGTACGCCGCCTTGAAAATGTACCATGTGTCCATATGCTCTAGCCAAGGAGGCACTAGAAGTAAGTGGTTATATATATATATTTTTAACATAATCCCCCAAACTTTTAGAGGAAGCTTGTAAGTCTTATGCTATGGAAATATGACTATTTCAACCAATTAAAGCAGAATCTTGGTTTCTTGGTGTCCTCCGCCAACAGGAATGATTAAACTGATTACAGATGGTGCTGTTGATGCCTTCCACCATCGTGCAATGGCAGGAGGAGTGCTACTTAATGATCACGGAGATTGGTTATCAGGCTTCTCAGCAAATGTGGGCTTTTGCTCTAAGTTATGGGTGTTGGAGGGGTGTATTATGGACTTCAAAGAGCAGCAGCTGCTTGATACTCCCACTTAATTCTGGAGCTGGACTCTTTTGAGGCAACATCGATACTTCTCAATGTAGAAGATACGGGACAACAGTCGGGTTTGATCCGAAGAATTAAACTTTTACTTCAACGTAACTGGACTGTAATAATCAAACAGGTATTTAGAGAATGTAATAGTGTAGCTGACCTCTTAGCAAACAAAAAAAAAAAGGATCTTGAATTAGCTTGTGGGTTATTTATTTTGGCATATCCCACAGAAATGCTATAGAGTAGCCTTTGGTTAGACAAAACTGCAACTCTTTTCTAATGAGTGTGCAAGTGTAAACAAGCCGAGTACTTCCATCTTATATATATATAAAAGGCTCAACAGAGAGAGCTAAAGAAATACGAGTACGTGGACTTGGGAAAGTATAAGGCTGAAATCTTACTCCAGCTTCCAAGCAATTCTAGCTTTGAAGATGTTCACTCCATGCATTTAATTAGGTTTTACTGCATGTTAGATTTCCATATCCAAGTAATAAGACCATATACTGTAGGCCCCCCAAATAAAGTCTTCGTTTCTATGGATAGTGTTAATATTGTATTCTTTCGTACGTGGTTGATCACTGTCCCATGTCCCCAATACCATTGTTTCTTGTGTTTCTACTAATTGAGATGAAATTGAGGCAAACCAAGACAAAGAAGTCGAGGAGACAACTGATGAAGATGCAAGTGAGGAAACACAATTAAATCTCAAGCAAGCTCAAAATCCACACCTACTCCTATTTCTAGCTAAGCACAGCCCTTTCATTTCCATCACAACCCACGGAATCAGCATTAGGGGCCAAATATATATGTCATACATCCCGTGCCTTATCAGTACCTATTATAAAACTCCCATAGTGAGGTACCTATTAAATCTCACTTAATTTTGAGGTCACTTGTTATTTGTGAAACTTATTAGTCATCACCTCTAACAATTTATAATTGCTTCCAACTCACGCTTCATTAGTAACTTTAATTAAACAAAATACAATTTGTATGCCTGACTACTTTAGTAATTATAACTCTATTACTTGATTAAACTGAATTCAAATCATCAATCTATTGTATAAATCGACTAAATTAAACTGTTTAAAACAAATTCCCAATGAGTTCAAACTATATCAAAACAGCACCTCATCATACGTATACCCTAACGCAAACTAAAAGATAAGGCATGTATCTACTCAAAACAAATAATGAGGTAGACAATTTGGGGTTATACAGATGGTGGAGGACAGAGACCAACCAGTGGGAATTCATTTTGGCTTAGTTTCAGTCATTAGGGAGAGCTAATGGAGAGGAGCTGGGAAGTGAAGTTGAGGCATGTCTATAGGGAGGAGAATTATGCAGCAGATTATCTTGCGGGCTTGGCGGCATCGAATCCAGCAGGGTTGATTAAGTTGGATTCCCCACCATCAGGAATAAGAGTACTTTTACAAGCTGATGTATTAGGGGTTGCTAGATTAAGGAATGTTGTAATCTAGTCGCCACTATTTTTCAGTGTTTCGCTTTGCTCAGTAGTACTCCTAGTTCCATCAGAACCGTTCGATGATTATTGAGTTTTTCAGTTATCCATGTTTTTTTATTTTTTCTGTTCAAGTCCATGCTTTTAGGCCTAAATGAATAGAAAAATGAGGACCTTGAGCAACAAGGCCCAAATACACCAAAATTGGATCTGCATTTTGGGAGAATCATAAATCTACTCGCATAAATAATACATCAAAATTGGATCCGTCTCAAAAAAAAATAATAATAAATAAATAAATCCAATGATAATTAAATTATTATAGAAATGGAGGGAGGAGCGTAGAAGTATAATAGTACTCTCTCTCCATTAAATTTATTGTCTAATTTGAATTTTCAAATTTAGTACAAACTTAACTAAAACTGAAAATTTAAACTGAATAATAATTATGTGACTGAAAATCTAAACTGAATAATAATTATGTGACAGAGAATATAATGTATCCTTTATAATATGTAACTTGTATATGGAAGTAAGAAACAGAGAAGTTCATTTTTCAATGGTTAGTACCACGTTTAGTAATATAAAAAAAGATGATGCGTTGTAGAAGTTTATCTAACCTTTAATCACTTGACTTTTTTAGGGGGTAAATCAGTGAGATATATTTTGATTTACAATATCAAGTTTTAATCATAGTTTAATTTAAGAAACAAATTATCTAGTCAATGTGTTCTTTTCAATCACTGAACTATTATCTACACTAAATAATCTGTTGCAAAATTTGTCGGTCGAAATCTGCTCGACAATCCATTTTAATAAACACTTTTAACATGCATTCTCAAACAATCAAACAATTACTACTACATATCACGATATCAATACATATCATTTAGTTTAGCATAATAACATTTTTCGACGAATCTGACGCACGTTCCTAAATCCTAATAAGTCGATTATTACTTGCCCAAAAATTCTCAAACTCACTGAGTGTCGGTTTAAGGTTTGTGCGTTAAATGTGACTGATCGATGAAGGGTAGTAGTATATCTATGAGTTAGTTCTGCAGCTCCTACATAATTGAGGTATGATATATTGGTCCAGCTCCAGCATCCATCCACTGTCGGTATTGGTAAGTCTTTAAAATTCCGGGGAATTTCCATTTCGTCCAAAAGCTTCTTATAGTTCTAGAAAATGTTGTGAATGTGACGGGGCGTTCTGAAAGTGATGAACAGAGCCCACACCCCAAATGGAAATTTCTTCAAGGGAGCTGACTTGTCTGATTGTGACAAATTCATTGTATACTTCAATTTGGCTTAAATAAACTGAACTCCAAACTAGCAAATCAATTCCGATTGAATTAAAAATGTCAGCATCTGATCTACAAAATAACCCCCAGACACTGAATGATCAGTTTGCCATTACATGCAACTCCTCAGCCCGGATTTGGTAAATGCCGACATGAATGTAACAATTTCACATCTTCATCCATGGCACTATACTAAGATCGGTGAATATAATTGGGATATAATATACCTTTAGCCCGATTGGTTCATATTTCGAGTTATAGAAAATAGTAATAATGACTAATGAGGCCTATTGGTGGAATTAGGGCACCAACAGCTGCAGTCACTCCCTTCGCCGGAATTTTTTTTAAGCGTATTTTCAAATTTTAGTGTACGTAGAAATTTTTAATTTTTTTTCTGCCTTTGCAAGTTAAAATTTTGATCATTTCGCCTTATATACGTAAAATCCTAGCTTCTCCACTAATGAAACCAATCTTCAGTGGTTTTACTTACAATTACTAATGGAGGGTTATGATCTTACACTATTATCAGTTTTTTAGAAACTTTCTTATAATTTGAACCGAGTAATAATATAATTATTGGTTTTACCTTCGAACAAAAAGATTAATATAGTAGTACCAATGCAACTACTAACAGCCAACAACCAAAATGAGTGATGGTAACATTCTAGGATTAGATGGTTGATTAAAAAATGGGATCAAATTGACCAAATTTTCATTTCCAAGTAAAGTACCAACTACCCAATAAGTAAACTAAAAACTAGTGATGATAACATTCTAGGATGAGATGCTACAAACATGAAATGAAACAATATATTTTGGTTTAGTTTCTGGAGTCTGATCTCCTTTGTCCCCCATTGACGTTTTTGCTTCTTGATTTTCCCCATGTGGGTGTTACCCAGAAGATCCCTGAGCTGCCCAATGGTGGCTTGCCACGTATGTCAGAGTGCATCGGGTTCACGTGTGGACTCCATAATGATCAATTTGGGCCCCCACCTGGAGCAGTCTTACCATCACAAGGGGCCCGTGAGGTTTAAGCCGAGCCGGTGGGCGGTAATCAAATTGGGCTCAATGAAATAATTGTTGGCTTTGAGAATGACGGCTTCAAAGCGGACAAATTCATGCGTCTTGTTTACCAAAAATGATGCGAGTGCGACTATAAAAACACAGACATTTATTGAAGATATTGACATTGTTAAGTGGACCACCTAGCATAGTGGGCCAATCCAAATGGGTACAAATTGGCATTTACAAGTCCACTCTTGTTCAGCCAGCCCAATTTAATTCCGAGAATCATCAAGTTGGTTTTTAAATGGCACGATTCTAATTAAACTTGCTGAAAATCGATCAGTTCTAATCGATACATCACAGAAACACTTTATAAACCAATGAGGTTCCACCTAGCAGAAATGATACAAAGGCAAATAATCGCATTAAATGTAGTGTTTAACTTCTTTCTTCCATTTGGTTTTTGTTTATTGTACTTCTTACTCATGTTTGTTTGAGTTCCAAATAGGTATTAGGCTAACATACAGAAGATCTACAATTTAAGTGACAAGAATTTGGTGAGAAAAAAAAAAAAAAACCACAAAGATTTGAGCGTTGACACGAAGAAATGAAGTATCAGAAGAAGGTGACAAAAAATGGAGGCAAATGCAATGGGAACCCATTTCATTGAGCTGTATTGATGGGGGCATGTGGGGATGCCTTCCCAGTCCAGATGTGCGACCTGTATACTGCAACTTCCTTGGGCTTGAATGAGACAGTAAGTAAATAAGTTTGGGGACAAAACACTAGTAAGTAATAAGTTTGAATTAATTATAGTTCATCTAAGAACAATCCTAATGTAGTCCTCCTTGACATTTTGGTCAATTAAGAGTTTGAAATAGTTTCACTAAATGGACCAACAATGTTTGATTAAGGTGGTCATTTAGTGAAAATCAAATGTTAAGGAACAAACAGATGTTTGGATGGTTTTTTTAGTGTGTATTTTTATGTGTCTTTTGTATTGGGAATTTTAAAAAATTTATTGAAAATATAGAAAAATATATTGGGATGGGACAATTTTATTATATTATTCTGAAAAAAACATTAGAAAAACGAAACAAACGGAGGACAATTAATTTTCACGTTTGCTTTCAATAAATGATTTGTGTTTGAAACCCTTTCAAGACATCCGAGATAACATAGATTAGACTTCCAAATAAGTGAAAAACCATATAAAGAAATTTACCCTTTGATGGTACCTACAGGTTGCAGTAGTAGAATAAATATCCTAGGAGCAAACTGAGAACTGCGAAGTAGTGGCTGCTTCTGAAATGTTATCTTCTCAAGACAGAAAGAGAGAGAGTTCATCAGAGTTTGTTGTGTTCAGTGGTTCTGACTAATTTTTGCTATTTTTAATCTTAGAATTATCCTTTGCGGTTTTTGCCCACATTCCCACTAGTATTTGTTCTATATGTGTTCATGCTGTCCAAAATGACGATCTCGTATCCCTATCCCTTTTTTTTAAAATTTTTTTTTAATAAAGAAAATATAGTATCACTCCATTATTTCAGATCTTCACCCCCCAGATTTTCTGTTATTTTGATTAGCAAATATGAAGGCATTAATATCAGGTTCCACTTGTTACTTGTTATTCCGTGTTTGGTTTATTCCAGCTAAGGATATGCCAATATGTCATGCCCAATTGGCAATCAAACACTTGCGTTTTGGTTGTAAAAATAAAATAATATAGAATAAAATTAAAGTGAAATGAAACCTTCAAATATATACAACTCCATACAACAAGGAACTAAAATTCATCAATTTAGTAGTGTATTATTTCTCACATTTCAGTCAACGAAAGAGCTCTAAAAAGAAAGCACTTAATAATCAAAATTAATTTAACTTTTTTTTTTTTGCTCCAAATAATTTCATTATTTTTGGCTTAAATATGCAAGTTGACCATGTGTGACACTTTAACAAAGACGGGGAAGTTGGAGGCGTTGAATCATTTTAGATGCAGTTATTATTGCAAGCGACATCAATGACCTCAAAAATTATTTCTTCGGGGAAATATGTAACTTGTGGATTGAAATTGTTGACAAAAACAACAAATTTATATAATGAGAAATGACTTCAAAAATTGATGTGTTGCACGCATAATACCGTTGATATATTGTTCATAATCTTATGTGCCTTTAACATAAGTCGGTAAAACATGTTACTGAATTTATTTGCGAAATTTACGTTACTTTGTTAATAAGTAAACTATGTATTATTTCAAAAAAAAAAGGAAAAGTAAAATATGTAGTATCATTCAACATTTGAATGGCCAGAGCAAATTGTTACCTCCATCGATCATCGGAAAATGTAAAGTATGGAGTCTTCTTGATCTGGAGTGAATTATTGATGAAAATCGCCAGAAAGTGCAACTTTTATCATCCAAAAAGTACTGAGGGGTAAAAGGCAAGCAGTTAAAAACCATGATTAAAACTATGATTGATGGAAGTCTTTTTGAAAAAAAGGTTTCCCTTCAACAAACAATAATATTAAACCATATCTTTTCAGTACGCATGGACTTAGAATGGAGCATGAACAACCAAAAGGCAGGTCAGACTTCAGACCTTTTCTCCCCAAGCAAACTATTTTTAAACCTGTAGTATATTTTTTCACAATAATAAATAATTTTACTATAATTAAACAAATCAAAATTAAAATTAAATAAACAAAGATTTCAAGTTGGCTTCCTTTCTGAAATCTCATGCTACCCATCTGCTAAAAATACTCTATTTTAGCCCCACATATCTGACCCCCCAAAAAAAGCTTATCTTTCCAAAGCCATTACAACTATTTTTCCTGTCAACTGTTAAAAAAAAATACACAAAACAAAGGCATTATCAATTTCTCCAAGAAAACTACACACATTTTGCCATGATTATTCTATTTCTTCACCTTTCATTTTCCTTCAATTCCTGGATTTCTATATAACCCCCAAACAACAAACAACATTGTTTCGTCTTCCAAGTTCCTCCAACTCAATAAACACACTGACCCCTCCATTGTAGCTCAAGGTAGAGCCATCTCACATGATTTATTTCCATTTGGTTCCACTTGAAGGGTTCCTTTTTTTCTTTCTTTCTTTTTTTTTTTTTTCTTTTAGTGCGTGTCTGTGTGTAAAAGTATTTTTTTTTTTTTCACTTTGACAAGATTCAGTAACCTAAGACTGACGTGGGTGGTGAACTGTTGTTATTTGGTTGATTGATCACAGTTTCCAAGGTGCAACAATTGATCACGGTGGTTAGAGCTGGTACAAAAGGGTTTGTACAGGTTGATGATATACACTTCAAGAACTATCCAGACGTCATCTCTTCCTTCTTTTAAACTCAAATGATACACCTCCCTCAGCTTCACTGATTATTCTCCCAACACTATAAGCATCATCAATATTAGCTGGATTTGGATCCGTACTTCTTTTTTTGGTATGCATTTTTGCTTCTTCGTTTTCAAAACAATAATCCTTTCAATCTATTAAAAAAAATACGATTTTTATTTTGGGACGGAATATGTATACCGAGCATAATGCATTGCACTTGTGTGTGTGTGTATATAGAGCTTGATATTGTTTTATGTTTTGTCCCAATTTTCTGTTAGGATTTGAAGCGCCCCTTTTGACGTATTGTCATTTTCTCTCTGCTTTGGTAGGTGATAATTAGTACTCCTTTTGTAACAAATGGATGGCTTGGAATTGGATTGGGTTGGTTCTTCAGCTTCGTGGGAGAATCCTCCAGTGCAACAGCAATTCAACTCCACAGCAATACAAGACATTTTCCATTCAATTCAACTCATCCACAAAAACAACAGCAAACCTCCAGGCAATCAAATGTTTCAGCAAAATTCAGCACCAGCATTTGATCATCACCATCATCATCAGATTCAACCCAATATTTCAAGCTGGAATCTTCCTCAACAGAAAGATGCAACAACAAGAGGAGTACCTGATCAGATATGTTCAGATGATTTCATGATGAACCAATTCAGCAGCACTGGCCTAATAGTCTCCGGCGACTCCCTCCAGGAAGCGAAAGCCGGATTAATAAGGGCCGCGAGAACGACAACGGCGGCTACAAGAGGAGGAGCCCTTGATTGTTTGATTTCAGCATCAAGCAGCAACACAGAAAACAACAACAACAACTCAGTTCATGAAGATAATCATCATGATGATCATGAATTTTCCATGATTTTATCAGAATACAACAAAAACCTGTGGAATTTCCAACCCTTCAATACTGGCGTTTCATCAGGTGAATCTGCCTGTAACACTATAAACGAACTTGATGAAACAGCATCCCACAATTCAACAGGCCAATTAACTCATCAAAAACCTTCCACCAAAAGAACCAGCGAAACCCTACAACTCAAACCCGATATTAATTCAGCAACCGAGCAAGCCGCCACTACTTTCCAGCTTATTTCAGATCATGATCAAAACCCTCCAAAATCCAAAAAGCCCAGATCAGAAAAACGCTCAAACAACACTTCATCATCAACAAACACCACCATAAGCTTTCAGCTTCAGCCAAACAATTCCTCAGCAGTTTCAATATCAGGAGGGGAGCCTGATTCAGAAGCCATTGCGCAGATGAAGGAAATGATTTACCGGGCGGCAGCATTCCGGCCGGTGAATTTCGGGACGGAGTTAATGGAGAAGCCGAAAAGGAAAAACGTGAGGATATCAAGTGATCCGCAAACAGTGGCGGCAAGGCAAAGGAGGGAAAGAATCAGTGAAAGGATTAGGGTTTTGCAGAAGCTGGTTCCAGGAGGAAGCAAGATGGATACAGCATCAATGCTGGATGAAGCAGCAAATTATCTCAAGTTTCTCAGGTCACAAGTTAAAGCATTAGAAGCCTTAGGAGGTAGCCACAAGAATAATAATGGTACTACTAACACTGTTAATGAGTTTGCCAGTTTTTCTTCCCTCCCATTCAACCACTCATTTCCAGTGCTGACATCTCAGTTTCCCATCCACACCCCTAATTATGTTTTTCACAACCACCCAAAAATTTGAGATTTTTTTTTTTTTTCTCTTCTTGTTCTATCTATCTACTATATTTCTAGCTAGCTAGTTAGCTAATTCTATTAACCTCACAAAATATTTCACTAAGAGTATGCAAGAACTCTTTGTATTTAGTATTTTGTTTTCATTAATTGATGACTCCAAAAATGAGAGATGTTATTTTCTTTTGGGAGCCATTTTTATTGATCATGTTTATTGATGATCATTGGAAGAAGAAGAATGCATGCATGCGTTTTTCTTCTTTTTATTTTTTATTTTTATGATCCATTCTTATTTACGAATGTATCTATTTCGTTTCCTCATGATTGCTTATAATTTCATCATGCATGATTAATAAGCATATAATTGGTAATCCCTCCATTCTAAAATAAGTGTCTTCCTACACTTTGCACATAGTTTAAGAAACTCTTAAATAGGGTAATAAAATTATTTGAATATCCTCAACCAACCCCATTATAAAATTGTCCACCAATAGCATCAATTCTTTTGAGGGTAATTTTGGAAATTTTCGATAAAAAGTACATTGAAATGTGAGAACTGACACTTATTTTTGGAATTTCTCCATTTTGCTAAAACGACACTTATTTTAGAATGGAGGGAGTAAATCTTTATTTGCACCGATCTCTATGGTTATAATTAGGGTCATTATGACACCCATCTTCCCAATAATGAAAAAGGGTCCCAAAATGAGTTTGTACTTTTTGATTTGATACTACTGCTTTCTCTCATTGTTTATACTTCAGCTGGGCACGCTTAGCTCGTACATTGTCCTGCTGATAAAAATGGCTAAACTCGAAAAGAGTTCAAGTCTTTGAGAGAATATCAAGAAAAGAAAGGATAAAGAAAGAGGTTAGGCCAAAAGTTGTCATGGACAATCTTTTTGCAATTATACAGGTTATGATTAAAGATCAAGTCTTAATTACTTTACGATTACACTTTGTATTTCATTTTTATCTTTCATTAATTATTAGTTGGGCACCTGGGGTGAAGTCAATTGTATCATCATGTTTTATAAGTTGAGTCTTGACATGAATACTAAAATTAAGACGCCAATTTGAATCTGAATTATTAATCGACTAATTAAGCTTTCCTCTAACCAAAAGACATATAAGGTAACATATACATTACTCGAAACAGAAGAGTTGTTTTTGTAGTTGTGAATACAACATATACATTACTCGAAAAGTAACTTAATAATACAAAAATATTCACCTAAGCATAAAATAATCTATACACTATTCGTTCGTAGACGGATTCACTAGGTTATAAAATGTAATTCGAAAACTTAAAAAAATTTAATTATCTCGTTTTTCTTCATAGGATGTCAAAAGCACCACCCTATATATTTTTATAGTAAGTGAATAAAACAGGAAACCAGAATATATGTGCTCCTTTTTTTTGGAAGTGTACTTGAATGAAGCACACTTATCTTGGAGATCCTCAAGAGTCAAGATGCGGTAAAATTTAAAAAGGAGAAAGGGAATTATCTGGTGAATACAAAAGACATTCCCTTGAAGTAAGTCAGAGGTCGTGTCTCCTAGATTCAACCCAAAGCGTGCCCCTTGATTTTCATCCTCCTGCGCATCATCACTGTCTTATTATTGCTAAATGCTAAGCACATGTTGTAACATTCCCTTTTCTTGGCGTCTTCTGTTTAATTTAATCTAAACTAATCCTCATAATTTGAGGTTTACATGTTAAACAACAACACCTTTCTAAATAAAGTACAAATTTGTGATTCTTTTTGCCTTCCTCCATCGACCTTATTAGTCGTTTAGTGCATAGAAAGTTAAACATTTTGACTGCCTTCCTGGCCATTGAAAAGAGAGGCCCGATTCCTTCAAGTAATAACTCACCTCCTCTATTACAATTTTCTCTGTGTCTCATTAAAATAATTCACATTATTAATAAAAATAGTATTAAAATAATGTAATTTTTTAATCTTTAATATGAACTAATCCTATAGGGCGGAAGCACTATGATAAATATGGCTATTATTTTTGGAATGAGGAATAGGTTCTACTTATTAGAGACATAATTGGGTGTTGGAGATTCAAAAAATTGTATCTTTGAAAGTGTAATGAGATGGGCTATAAAACGAAAGAAGACGACATTATCTGACCAAGTCATTCGTGGAAGCTTGGAGCTATTTTAGGGGTCTAGTCAACTAAAGGAAAATTATTAGAAAAATGCTGATTAAATAATGAAACCAAATGCCTAAAAATACAATCAGCTAGCTGGTTTCTTTCCTCCAACAGATTTTTTTCTATTTATAGCAGCCAATCCTAACAAGAGATTTCGATGATGTACAAGCTCCAGTACATCAACGTTCCCCAAAATAACAAAGAAATTTTTGAGTTTTCTCTTCTCCTTTTTCTGGATTTTTTGTGTTTTAATTTTTGTTCTTCCTCACAAATTTTGATTATGCGTGACGAAATCTGCAAAACTCCCTAGATGTGGAATATGGATTGAAGTCGGTCCGGCCTTGATATGGTTGGTTTGGGCTTTTGGGACAACCAGATTTGACTTTGGCAAGTCGGTTAAGATACGGTCTTCCAAAAAAAGATTGGGTCTACACAAACGCCTTTTAACATCACTGCTACAAAATTTCCAATCACTCTTACTGAGATAACTTTAAATCCGCAAGCTAACAATATGAAATGAAAGTGAATAATGAACTCTTGAAAAGAATTAGAAGATGACTTGATGTTTGAGAAAACAAAATACTAATTCTGTCCCACAAAAATATTCCACGTTAAGTTTTTAAATTTGTACTAAAAACAGTACAAAACCTCAAATTCAATGTAGACTATTTTTGTGGGACGGAAGGAGTAATATTATGCCGTAACACGGCTATTATTTATTTTTCTGATTTCCAAAAGAAACAAGACGACGGTTGAATGAAAATCTCATGTGCAACTTGGCCAGAACATGACTCGTAGACTGATCTCATCAACCTCAATCCTCTCAGTTCAACATTGTAACACTAAACTCATTGAAGTTGCAATTATTAATAGTACCAAAAATAGCATCTGATTTGGATACGCAAAGCTGGTGCCGGACTGGCAGTATCTCTATCTATATTTTATTTTCTTTCCATCCTCCCGATTTTTCTTTTTTTTTTTTTCCTTCTGCATTTGACAACCAAAATCTTACATATTATACTGCTTTAGTGAATATAATATGCACAAAATTTATATTCCGATGCTCTTGAGTCCATCATTAAGCTAACTAACAGCCTTTGCTGCATCAGCTTTCGATGGTTAAATGCGCATATGGGAAAATCATTTTGGTCTTCTTTTTGAACATTTGATTGTTTACTTCATTTTTTTTTTTTTGGGTCAGATATACTGCTTATTACTCCTTCTGTCCCAAAATTATTGTCCAGTTTGAGATTTCATTTTTAGTACAATTTGAACTAAAAATGAAAACCCAAGCTGGATAATAATTATGTGACGGAAGGAGTATCTTTCTGTATTAAGTGAACAGAAAAGAAAAAGGAAAGGATGCCAAGACAGAGAGATCTTTATACTTGGAACAGTTTTAGACAGTCGATCGCCAGAAATGACCCAAATATTACAGTGAATAGTTTTACAAGTACAACTAAGCATCAAACTGGATGAATTAAACCCAATGTAAAACATGCTCTATTCAGATAATACAGGCAACTGCAACAAATATCTCTGTATACCCTTTCTTGTTTTTTTCCTTTAATTAGCCTCTCTCCAATATTGAACAACATGAAACATTCTTCTTCTTCAAGACTAATAATAATCTCATTCGATCTTCCAGGCATACAAGAAAAGGCAAAATGGTGAACCTTTTGAATGGCTTTGTGTAGAATAATACCGGCTATCAGCACTGGCTGCACTGCTATTACTATCCCCAGTACAATTGCTGTCTTTGTCACTACTATCTCCTCCTCCTCCTTGTTCTGCTTGCCCTGGCTTAAATATGAACAATCCATGCCCTGATCCTGGGCTACAAAATAACCATGAATGCACATCCCAGAACACCTGGACCGGCTGTTTATTCACCAACACCGTTTGATTCCCCCTGAATTTCCACTGCAAATTCCTTATGTGGATCAGCACGATCCCGTCGATGCTGATCCACATTTCGGGATCGCGGGGTCCCGACGTCGAGCTTTCGACAACTATGTCGTGTTCTTTCTTCCTGTGATCGAATTTCGCCCTGGTGGAAAACGATTTCTTCCCAAAAACATGCTCTTTCTTGAAGAACAACACCGCGTCCACCAGCGCGGGCCTCGATTTTGTCCGTTTATACGCCTTTTTCTTGTAATCCCCTAATAACAACACCACTTCCTCCTCGGAAATCAGGGCTACGTAGAAATCCGAACAGGGTTCCGGGCTGGAACCGGAGAATTTGGCCGACCGGAGATCCCAGTACGCGTCGAGTTGATTCCCGTCGACCTCGAACGTTTTGTACCCTTTTTTAGCCCAGAAATGCCAGGGTTTCAAGTCAATTTTGCAACTCTGGGGAAATTCACTGTCTACGCTATCTACAGTTATGTTAAGGGAATGATTCATCAAATTCTTGCTCCACAAAACCGTCACGTTTCGCCAAGACCCGCCAATGTGCGTCTGGTAAATGCATGTTACCGTGCTCTGAGGATTTTTCGATGTCACCGGATCATCGGTTGTTAATCTTTGTGATAATGAAGAAGATTGGGAAACGGACATTGACTGAGACCTCGTCGAGCTAATAGGGTATGCCATTTTTTTTACAAGAATCCCGACCTCCTAATGCATAATTGAATGAATCCCAAGAGGCAGAGTGAAGGAATGAAGGTGATCATGGAAGAACAGAGTCTATAATTGATTCGATTCATCCAAGAAATTGAAAAGAAAAATTCTTCTTGGCTATATATAAGTTGCTGATTCTTGTAATGCATCATCAGGTAATCGTATAATTAGGCCATGGAGAAAACGGCCCTGTTTGGAGAAATCAACAGAAATTTTCCCAGGGGATTCAAGAAACGGTTGCTGAACTAATCAAAAGATTTGCAGCCTTACCTTTAGGAACTATAGTTCTTGATGATGCATTACAGGGTAAGAACCTGGATTTGGGATCAACAAAGAGCCATGAAAAATGTCCCAGAAAATACAAAAAAGAAAAAAATAATAATGGGACAGATTTGATGAAATTGCAACTCGTGAAACAGATTTGATTGGGGGTATTCCCTTTTTCTGTTTTTTCTGTTTTTTTTCTTTTTTCTCTAACGGAAGGAAAAAAATGTTGGCATAATTGATAGGGGTAAAGTGCAGGTTTTGGACAGCAAGGAAAAGTGTTGAATATGGAGGAAAATTCTCGTGTGAGAGGCCATGGATTGGGAGTTTCCGCAAAGGAAGGGTCCAAAATTAGAAACTTTGGTTACATTGTCCAAAGCACTAAACTATCCCATGTATTTTCCTCGATGCTAATGCTATAAGACAAACACGAAGGGAAGTCTTGAAAGGAAAACGAAGATATGAAAATAAGGAATGTAAGTTTCCTACTCAGCAACGCTATAGACAATCTTATGTTTCTTTCGTACAAAATTATTATCCAGTTCAATTTTTTTACTTTTAGTTTAATTTGTACAAACAATGAAAATCAAAACTGGATAACAATTTCGAGACGGAGGAAGTATTAAATAAATACAATATTTACAAAGAAAACCCTGAACAGCACAATTTTTTTTTTTCCCGAAAGGTGCAATTTTGCTGATCATATGATTTTGTACCAAGAGTTTATATTAAAAATGAAGGAAAACACGATCACATCTGCATGTGCCCTTTAGCTCTGCAGCCTCTGCTACTTGTTAGAATATGACCAATATAATGGTGATAGATAACAAAACTTTGAGAATTCAAGACCGAGAAACTTTTAGCTTTGGTGGCGGGCGTTGATAGTGAAGCAACTTTTCTAAATATTTTTAACAAAAAAAAACTTTTCTAAGTATAAACTTCTCAAAGAGTTCTATGTATGTGGAACAAATGTGTTCTTTTACTTGTTAAAGTAGTCAACACGTTATCAAATCAACAGACTATAAACAGTATGTTATCTAGTCCAAATGGAAGTTTGCAAGTTTCTCATTCGATGTATTTGGTGATTTAGAATGATTGTAAATTTCTTCCCTCCTATTAAAAAAAAAAAAGAAAAAAAGAATGATTGTAAATTTGACATAATCCATTCCGATAAATCTTTGCTTTTTAAAACCATAAGCCACTACTAAACAGTTTGGATTGTGCTCAATCCCAATAAAATATTGCCAATATTGCTTATATGGTCGACTTAATTCTTCCTTGAGGATTCTATTAGTAAGTCATCAGTCATCACAATTTTGTTGCTTTGAGAAGATCTTGACGCCTCATATCGGCATGGAGATATATGGACCTAAATAAACAACGAATTGTAAAATATTTGAACTCTGAGTCCCATGGCTTTGGAGGCCTATTTTTGTGGTTTGGTTACGGGCCTAGAATATTTTCTACTGTATTAAAAGCAAGAGGACTGAACTCTGTTTTAATGACGGTGGCATTTTTGTAAATAAACTATTTGATAGGTCGTATTTTGTAAGTCTGTTTACTGCAGTTTCGATCTATTATTCTTCTCCAAACTCCCTTTCCCCTTCTTCCTAAGTCCTAACCTCAAAAGTAAATAGCCGCTTCGCCTGCCGGAATCGTCGAAGATAAAATCCAGACTATCACTCGGCTTGTAATAGGCTTAAAACAATGGCGGCAACGCCGAGCGCCGCCTTGGGGAATCCCAACGTGGATGGAGGAGCACCTCCGGCTCCCCAGCTTCCCGGAACGGACATGACCGGAATATGCTTCAGGGATCAGCTTTGGCTGAACACTTATCCACTCGACCGGAACTTAGTGTTCGATTACTTTGCTCTCTCCCCATTCTACGATTGGACTTGCAACAATGAAAAGCTCCGATTAAGCTCCATCCACCCTCTCGATACTTCTCAACTCTCGTATGATCCCTCTTTCTCTCTGTCACTTGTATTTAAATTCTAATAAAGTTACTTCTTTTTTAAAAATGTTTCTTTTCTTTATTGCTTTTTGTGATGGAATTATATTGATTTTGGGAAATAGACGGCTTGGGGGGAAAAATCGGTACTGGTTGATAATTTTCTGCTCCATAGCATAAATTTCACTACTGTAAGTTAAATTAGAGGTACAGTGTTGAATATTCTAGATTGAAGGATAATCAATTATATGTAATTCCAGTAATTGCGTTTGCCTGAGCTTATGGGAAATGTATATTGCGTTTAGGGTTATTACTGCTAGGAAAGCATGTGCAAAATGTACTTTGAATTATAGAGGCTTGCGCAGTTTTTATGTATTTTGTGTATTTGAGGAAAATGTAAAGCTTTGTATTTAAGATTTAGCTTGACTTGTACCTTAAACTTAAGGAGATGTGGGGAAATCCACCTGATTATATCATTGTATGGATTGTTTCTATGCAGCAAAATGACGGGGATAGAGTATGCATTGAGTGAAGTTTTGGAACCCAATCTTTTTGTCTTTCGCAAACAAAAGAGAGATGGTCCAGAGAAAGTAACACCCATGCTGACATATTATGTCTTGGATGGTTCAATATATCAAGCTCCTCAACTATGTAACGTCTTTGCAGCTCGGCTCGTAAGTAGCTCTTGTTCTCTTACTTGGTGTGCCTTAGTGGAAGGTCAGCTGTATTGTAGGCTAATAGTTAGCAGACTAGACTAGTGGATTTCTCCGGAAATGGGTGGATATGATGCTTGATCATCTATAGTAAAATTTGGAGTTTTATTTGGCGCTTGAAACTTTGTCAGTCGGTAAAAATCTGTGATTTTCAGTTTCCTCAGTCTCAAATTTACAAGTTTTGCTCTCATTTCCCTCCGCAAAATATAGGGGTGGGTGTTAGGGAAGGGTTACACTCAATAATAATGCTGACGGATAAAGCAAAATTGTTCCACTAAAAGCTTGTTTTTAAATCCTCAAATATATGTCAATGAATAGCTTCACCTGCTATTATATGATATATACTTTGTCTTTTGTCTGTTATGACAGCCTGCATATGGTTTTTCGTCTCATAAATGGAGGAATATGCTTTTTATTTTATCCTTTTCTTTGGATTTGAATTGCAATGGCACACAAATGGAGTATGTTGGTTTGCATTCGATACAATATGTGATATCTTTGATGATAATATCCACTTAATTTGTCTGTTAACCATCTGGCAGGGACGGGCACTCTTCCATATCTCAAAAGCTTTTAATACTGCAGCCTCAAAGTTGGAAAAAATTGGATATGGTATGTGGCATTCGTTCTCTACTTGTGGTTTGAGAACAAGATGGTTGGTGCCTGGATTCCCTAGTGTTTGGATGGGTTTAAGAATATAGTGTCAATTTAACAAGTTGCATCTGATTTCCTGAATTTGCCACTTTCTACTTTAAGAACTTGTTTACTCTGAATGCCGTGGATCAACTGTATTATTCTTTAGAGTTATGGGCTCATTAGTTTTTGCATATTAGCAAATGTTAGGCTTGTCACCTTTTCAATTGACTTTCTACTAAGTTATCTGCCAGTATAATGTTTCTACTGTATGGGTCTTATTTGCCAGATGGTGGTTACCATTGTCTTCATTAATTCTTAAGAGTTGTGGTGTTGCAGTTGATGATGAAGATGAGAAAGGGGCACCGGAAGTGAAGACGACTAGCAAAGAGAATATTGACTTCAAAGAAATTAAGCGAGTGGATCATATTCTTGCATCACTACAACGCAAGGTAATTAAAATGACCCTAGATATATTATGGATTTAAGGAGAAACTGAGAAAGAATTGCACTGAGTACTTCCTTAAGGTCTCTTCTGAGTGATTTGCTATGTGTTTGTACGTGTTTTTAGCTGCCAGCTGCCCCGCCACCGCCTCCATTTCCAGAAGGTTATACTCCACCATCAGCAGCTGATGGAGAGAAAGCTTCTGAAAACCAGCAAGCAGAGCCACCGGCAGTGGATCCCATCATTGACCAAGGCCCGGCTAAAAGAAGGAAATTATAAGCTGGGTTTACATACATTAGTCTGTAGTGTATCACGTGAAGCCTTGAATAGTAGAAACAGTCTTTGATATCTTACTCTGCTATTTATTCTCTCCCCCTCTTCTCCCTGAAAATATTCTTCCTTTTTAACTACCATGTAAACTAGTTAGTGTAGAATAGAACCGATACATTATTATAGAGGACTAATTATGTTGTAGTAATTTTGTTGATCTGTGGTGATTGATCAAATTGTACGGGGTGTTGAAAATCATTGGGAATTTACTGATGATAAGTGACAGACTGATAGTAGTAAAAAGTCGCAAGACAAAGTTGTAATGAAATTGTCCATTAACTCTTTCAGTGATAACAGAAAAACACCTGGCCGGAAGTTTCCTCTTGAATTGACACGTGAAATAATGAAATTTACAGAATCAAAATACCCATGAAATCTCGTGGTTGGGTAACTTGCCAATTGCCATTGTGTCAAATAAAATCTGGATTCTAAATGGCCAAAAAAGCCAGTAGCTACAAGGATACTTTTACACCTCAAAAGTTGTTGAAAATGCGGACTACATTTTAGACAGCCATTTGTAAAATCTTCATTCTAAAGAAGGTCTTTTTCTTCTCCTATTCTGCTTGTTTTCCCTAGCGGAAGGTTCCATTTCCCATTTGTGTATTGCCCAAATCAAATGTGACGATTCTGCGTGGTTCGTGTGAAATGAAAGGGGACCGCTTCACCACCATCCCCACAGCCACAAAGTTGACGAGGTTATGTTCAGGCTCTATGCATGGAGAGTTTGTTTTTGCGTCTTTTTTCATTATCAACAATGTAAAAATTATCTTCCATAAACTGCAAGTTAAAATAAGTTTTTAAAATGAGCCACGATAATAAATAACAAACACACACTTGAAATGGAACCAACCATCGCCTGATAACGGTGTGGTAAATTATAATGTACCTAAAAACTCCAAACAAAACCCAGCCACTATGACTTCGAGAAAACATGTTCCAGAAAATTACATGATTCTATTGATTAAAAATGATTCAAACAATGATAACATAACTAAGTTACTTTATTCTTTGTACAATTCATCTTATCCAAACTCTTCTCTCTTCCTATTAATAGGGAGGGTATTGTGGCAAACTGGCAATGTATGGATTAACATGATTTCTTCTCCTTTTTTTTCGAGGATGAAAGATTTTTCCACGGCTCAACTACTTAGATTAACATGATTTATTCTTCATAAAACCACACGTGTATTGCTTCTCATATCATACCTACCAAGTGTATACATCACACCTAACACTTCACCATATTGTTGTCAAAAGGGTTCATAAATTTCCTTTCAAAATGGTTCGACTTCGACCGTTAATTTGTTTCTAGTTTGGTTGAGTCTTTTATTTATTTTTAAATTTTTTTAAAATCACGGTTGAATCGGATCACTGTCAGTAAAAGATATTCACTGTACCTAGCTTTTAGAATGGTTATCATGCAGCCTTTTGAAATTCGCCGTTTCTATTTGAATCTGGATGGATATTAGGATAAATTAAAAACTTCAATGGAGACTTTTACTTATAAGATCATACGTAAAACAATAATGATAGGGACAGTGATTATATATAGTATAGTGAAATGGGATAATGACTCGTGAGCACCATTTCACTAAATTCATAACTAACAGTATTATAATAAGAGGCAATTAAGTAAATATATGCAACACTTGTTATTATCTCATTTCACAACTCATTATCACCGTATATATCATTTTCGTAAGTTAATCATATTAACTTCAATATCTTTGGTTATTTTATTGTTCATTAAATATTTTTATGATTTTTTTTTTTAGTATATTATGCATCTGGTGTTTGAAATCATTGCTCAAACTAATTTAAATTTTTAATCACTGCTACATGTCTATGTTCGAGGTGAATTTACTTGATGAGACATTTTGAAATAAATAATATAAAAAGTGAATTTAAATGCGCCTCCAGTGTGATATAGAATTTCTCCCCTTTATTCATTTTCACGTTTTCATTGCGTAAGTTTCATTTGCAACAAACCATAAAGAAATGTTGAATACAATAATTTTTTCTTTCACTCCCAAAGAAATACTAAGAAAAATATTTTTTTATAGTTCCTTCGTCTCAATAAAATAATTTAATACGTATAATCAGAATCAGTACAATGTTATCCATCAGATTGCCATGATGGAGATTAAAAGATTGTGAATCTCTTAAACGAAAAAAAAAATTGTACGGTAAACTGCATGATAATTTGTTTTACCAACGTTCTCATCAAATACATCTTAATTCGGAGTGTCTAATTCATTTATTTAGTTACTAAAAAATTACTATAGTTTCTAATAATACTTCCAATGGTATTAACTTATAATCATTTCACATAGTAGTAGTAATTTTCAACCAAGAACAAAAAATAAAATAAAATAAAAATTAGTTAAGGTTACGCATCTCCAAAACGGACGGTTAGGCACCGCGCCCAAGTCCAATTTCGGTGTCACAGTCCAAGTGACGGTAACGTCGAAAGTCTTGACTGGGTCCCACGTCAAGGTTGGCCCGAGTTTTTTTTGGGCGGAAAAAAAGATGTGGTTTCCAGCACGAAGCTGACTCACGAAGGGGCCCCACGTCGCAGAACGAGAAAAATACTACTGAAATATCCACGAACCGAAACAGATGAGAACACACAATGAAATCAGACGCCGGATGAGGCAGGAGATCTTCTTTTCCCCAAAAAACGCAGAAGAGTGAGGAGTAAATAAATAGAGATAATATAATTTAATGCTGAAATTAATATTATTAAATGGATATTGCAAATTGCAATTTGCAAAGTAAAGTAAAAAAGAAATAAAGAACATGAAAGTTTCAGATTTTTCAGGGGAAGGACTCGGAGGTTTTGAAATCTCAGGCAAGGACTCGCCGGCCGCTATAAATACTTTCATTTTTTTTTTTAGCTTCCGCAATGAATCACACCATCGCATTTCCTCCGCCGTTTTCTTCTACTTTTCTGCTTTTGCATTTTTCAATAACTTCAAAATTTGAGTTGATTATTTTAAAGCTCCGCCGGTGGGATTTCCGCTTCCCTCAGGATGACCATCGTCATTGAACAACCTGGGTCCGGTAATTATCCTTTTTTTTTTTTTTCCTTAACTTATTTCTAAGGGTCCACTTTTCTGCAAGTTCTTCATTTTTGTTTTTACCCCTAAAAAGTAAAAATGTTAGTTAATTTTGCTCTATATTTCATTTGCCTGATTCGGTGGAAACTGGAAACAGGAATTGAGGTGGAACGAAAGAAGTCGGAAAATGACGAGAAGGAATTGGTGATTAAGAATGGTGGAGGCTTTGCGGTGCCCAATTCCAATACCTTTGGCCACAACTTTAGGTCTTTTTTTCTTCTAATTAATCCCTTTTATTTTAGCGGTTTGATTTTTGCATTAGAACTATCAAATCCTACGGATCAAGATCGGACCGAATCCACTTTCCCCTATTAACCTTGATCAGATCTGACAGAGATTTAATGAATTTTTTTCCGCGCTGTAATGATCCCTTAATTTGGGTACTGCATTTAAGATGTCGTTATGTTGATTAATTTACTGAATTTTCGGACTATTGGCGAATTAACGAGCCCAGATTTTTGGGCCTTGATATGAAGTCCAAGATAAATATATATTGGGCGAGCAATTGTCCAGCTTTAATTTTGATTTATTTATTTAAAAAAAAAAATCAGCAAAAGAAATGATTATAATTTGTTAAACAGGGATTATGATGTTGCAAGCGCAAGGCAAGAAGGGGTTGAGAATTTCTACCGGACCAATCATATTTACCAAACCTACGATTTTGTGAGTAATTATATTAAATATGTTGCAAAAGTTGTTTTTTTTTTTAATTTAGTGTTTTTCAAATACTTTACTTTTATGAAATGATGATTGTTTTCAGGTGAAAAAGATGAGGGAGGAGTATGCGAAATTGAACAGGGCGGAAATGAGCATATGGGAATGCTGTGAGCTGCTGAATGAAGTGGTGGATGAGAGTGATCCTGATTTGGATGAACCCCAAATTGAGCACCTTTTGCAAACTGCTGAAGCCATTCGAAAGGACTATCCTCATGAAGATTGGCTTCACTTGACCGCATTAATCCATGGTAATTCTTTTGTGTGTGTCTGTGTGTCTTAATCAATTTTTTAAATTAATCCCTTCCTAAGTCCTAACATGAAAGATTGGGCTTCATTTGTTGTCTTTGCAGATCTCGGAAAGGTACTCCATCTTCCAGCCTTTGGAGGCCTGCCACAGTGGGCTGTTGTTGGTGACACTTTCCCAGTTGGTTGTGCATTTGACCCATCCATTGTCCATTTCAAGGTTAGTTTTCCTTACTTCCTTGCCCTATTACAATTTCAATTTATCCCCCTCTTTTAGAATCTTCTAATTTGAGAATTTTTTATTTTTTTATTTTTTACCAGTATTTGAAGGAAAATCCAGATTTCAACAATCCAGAGTACGATACCAAGTATGGAGTTTATTCTGAAGGTTGTGGTCTCGATAATGTCATGATGTCATGGGGTCATGACGACTATATGTATCTGGTATGTCACTGTTTTTTTTTTTTTTTTACCAGTTAACTGTTTTATTGTTTGAAAATTTATGTTTGGATCGATTTTTGAGTGTGTTTTTGTGTTTTGGGAATATAAAATGTATTGAAAATGTAAAAATGTGTGTTGAAAATTAAAAAAGTACCGATGTAATGGGAGAAATATTAATTAAAAATTTTGAAAAAACTAATGGAAAAACGAACCAATCAGAGCCATGCATGTCTTAATCAATTAACAGTTATCTCAAAAACCTCATTAGTTGAACAGGTGGCTAAAGGAAACCATACAAGTCTGCCATCTGCTGGACTATTTGTCATCAGATATCACTCTTTTTATGGTATGTCTAATCAATATGAGAAGAAACATGATGTGCTATTTCTTTTTCTTTTCTAATGGAATTAACCATTTTTTTTTAATGTTTTTTCTTTTGTAGCATTGCATAGGGCAGGGGCATACAAGTACTTGATGAACAAGGAAGATAAGGAGAATTTGAAGTGGCTTCAAATATTTAAGTATGAATTTCTTCAATTTGTATTCATATCTTAAGCAGTGCACCAGTAATTAGCATTAAGCAAATTACAGCTCCTTTTAACTTTATTGTCAAATTTTGCGCAGCAAATATGACCTCTATAGCAAGAGCAAGGTCAGAATTGATGTGGAAAAAGTTAAACCTTACTACCTTTCTCTGATTAATAAGGTAAATAAAACGAATCTTGACAAACTATAAAGCATTTCTCTTTTCTCCTTCAATCTGGCTTGGCTTCGGTACTGATTTGAGCCTCTAATAAATATTTTTTCTCCTTTCTTTTTGCAGTATTTCCCGTCTAAACTGAAGTGGTGAAGAGTTAAAAGGAAGTGCGTTGACTGTTGAGCTGTGCGGGTTGTAGACTTGTAGTGTTAGTAGTTTTTACTGTATGCGTGGGGTGCCCTGATCATTTTTGGGCCTATTTGTGAAATTCATCTGTTGTTTTTTCACTTTTTTGTTGGAATAAAAAGTTTTAAAAATTTCCGTTATTTTTCCCGATATTTTGATTTTTAAAATTGTACACATTCGTGGTTATCTATTTATCAGGTGCAAATTAATACCCATTACAGTTAATTTAAACTTGTTCATTGTAAATAAAACGGAAGTGACTAATTTTCGTTAGCTGATTTTTTTTTTTTTTTTTTTTGCAGCGTGGAAAATTTCTTGAGTAAAAAATGATACTCTTTCCGTCCCAAAATTATTGTTAAATTTGAATTTTTACTTTTAATTTTTTTTATACTAAAACTAAAATTTTAAACTGGATAATAATTTTGGGACGAAGGAAATATCATAATATCTTTTCAAAACTTCGTTTTAGTACTTTACTCGCTTTCTAACGTATTTTTCAAGTCAGTTAAGATAATGGTTCCATTCAATAATGAAAATTGATTTGCGTTTCGAGTGGTGGCTTTTAGGTAAGAAGAACTAAGAAGAGAGGTCCAATTAGAACAGGTCAAACTTCTAAATGAAAAAATTAATGAAATCAATACAGGAGACTAAAATAATTGAGCTCAAAGCGAAATAAGTTAGTGGGGGCTTTAGAAATTATAAGAGGTCTGAGATTCAATTCCAACCTTAATCTTTCCTGACCTAGAATATTTTACAATTATTACGAGAAGAGACTCTTAACACCCAAAATTAAATTAAATTATATATAAAAAAAAGGATTGAGATTGTTTAAGGTTGGAAATTTATCATGTCTCTATCGTTATTGTTTGTGGTGTTCTGATTACCTTGGAGGAAATACAAGCATTTATTAACATAGGTGTGACTGTGAAGGAGGCGAATCGAACTTAACTCGAATTCAAATTCAAGAATCAACTCTGTTTGTCGAATTCAGATTCAATTATACTCCATCTAGATGAGATCCAAATTAATCTCTGAGAGTTGGAATTGATCATGTTTTCCCCTTCATCATCATGACACGTATGAGTTTTGATCAATGAAGCCGTCCAAGTTCAATTTGACCCATGAATTGGGCTAAAACTATAAAAGTCAAGTCAAGTAAACGGTGGACTAATTACCATTTCAGAAGGAAATAGTAAAAAAGAGAAAGGTCATGAAGTATACTTTTTGTAATAATTTCACTCTGGTCCTTCATTAGAAATTTTCTTCCACGAGGTCAGCTCTTGAGTCTCATCGAAACTACTGAATTAGAAGAATGCCAAAGTAATACGGCAATTTGACCGAATTAAACCAACTCTATAAATCACCGAGAATCTTGTGTTTGGACACGTATCTAAGTCCAGCGTTGTTAATTTTAATTTCACGTGAGTTTTCGTTTTAAAAATGGTAGGAAACTCCTCATCAAAACATTCTCTAATGGCTGCCGTTGTGATCTTTTTAGTTCTTCTTCCACCCGCTCTATCCTCCGTCTCTGCTCAAACTGGATTAACATATCGCGGTAAAACTTATACTCTTTACGTTCAAAAATTAAAATTATACTCGTTGCATTATTTTACGTTCCAAACTTCTCTCTTTACGTTCCAAAATTTTATTACTTTAATTTTAAATACGGAAGATGTTTATAATTATTATATTTTTTCACGCATTTTACGTTTTTCTTTTCCTTAAATGGATGCAGAATTAATGCAAAAGCCTAGTTGCCCACCATGTCTTTGCTGTCAAGATCGATTCCATCCGCCACCACCTTGCTGCTATTGCGCCTGTTTTGTCCTTGATTCGGGAAATAACTAAACTCGTGCACCTTGAATTTGAAAATGGGTGGCACTCAACTTCCTTCAATTTCAAGATGTTTTACATGACACCGAATTTTGTTTGATCAGATTAAGTATACCCTCAGTGATGTTATAATAAGTTTGATCAAATTAGAACGTTTGTATTCGTAATTACAAGAAAAAGAAAGTATATATATATTAAGAAAAGGAGTATGATGATATACTCTTATACACTCAAAATAAAATGAAGGTTGTAAACAACGAGGTTGACTCCATGTTATTTTTACTTTATGGTCTATCATAGATAGCATAAATTAAATGATCGCATCACTTTGAAGTTTGAAGTTTGAATTGTAGTTTGATTATTTGTTTATTTTATGTATTATAGAGATTCTTAGAATTCAAATGATGTGTTAACTTTCTGGTGTGTTAAAAAATAAAAAATAAAAATCGGTAACTCAATACGATTAGGAAGATTAGAGTACCAAATTACCTTTAAATATTTGATTATGTAGGCACGGAGTTTCGAACCCTTTTAACATTCAATCATGTCTGAATTCTGAAACATTGAAAAGACGATGGTCTACGGAAGAGAATTTTGACAGCTTTTGCAGATGAAATCTGGATGTGTTTCTCCCATTTTTTAAGGTGTTTGTTGAAATCAAGATTCATCAGCAGATTACACAGTACAGAGGGTTCAATCAATCAGGAGTAGCGTCATGAATTTATTACTGTCTGTGTCCTTTTTTTTGTTTGACATCATCGTGGCTCGTGAGTAGCCGCGCTGATAGTAGTAGTCCCACATCGGTGCTCAGAGGCTCAGTAGCCTTATTTATTAAGGATGCGTTTTGGTCCATAAATCGTCCCTTCGGGGACATCCGATAAAATTGGAACGATACAGAGAAGATTAGCATGGCCCCTGCGCAAGGATGACACGCACAAATCGAGAAATGGTCCAAATTTTTTTGGGCTTTCTCGCCATTGTTTTGGGCTGATTCGTTTTCTGTTTCTTCGGTGATTTGAGCCCATAAATCTCTTGAGGGCCTTTTTGTACCATCTCTTTTGGGTTGGGCAGCAATACTTCCAGAGTTTCCTTCTTTTCATTTCTTCTTCTTCCTTTTTTTTTTTTTGGTTTGAATTTATTGACATCCGGGGACACGAATATTCGGCAGAGACCTACACAAAGTCCTTGATCGTGTGGTAAACAGAAGGATTTACATTGATCAAATTTCAAATTCATGATGCGTTGAGGATTGAAATAGCTTGATATCGTTGAATAAGTTTAGGCAAGCAGTGACATATGATCACCGATAGAGCGGCAATCTACGACTTAATTTTCGCTTGAGTTATCTTTGAAATAAAAAGAAAATCACAAATGGTTGAAGTTCCATAAATTCCCAAGGTTGATATAGGGAATAATCTCAAGAGTTAGGAGTTAAAATTGTATCTTTCTCATTTCTGCAATGGGAAGAATACGTAATATATAATATTAGTATTATACCCGCACGTTGTGCGGATTTTAATATAGTTTAGAATAACATAAATATATTATTATTTTCTTATAAAACATGTCATATATTTTATTTTTTCTGTTTTTTGGTATAGTAAATATCGGGAGTCCGAAATCAAGAGTGTCATATGTTTTTTTCCCTTCCGTTTTTGGTATATAACTCACAAGGTGTTCGAAGTCATTGTTCCAACTAATCCGTCTTCGATTCGAGTAGGTCCCTTTCGGAAGACAAACATTTCCCAACAATCATTACTACATGCCCATGTGCAGATTTAATCATAGATCGTAGTTAACTTGGTTCAATACTTTTACTACTTTAATCAAGTACTTGTATAGGATTTAAAGTACAAATTAATATGTTCCAACTATCTAATTGGTTTCTTGTTTAAGAGTGTTAGTATATCAAAAAAAAAATAGATAAATATGATTAACTGTCCATTATGCTACTTGTTTAGGGATATAAGTATATAAAAATTATTTTCAACAATAGAAATTAAATCATGTATATTCTAAAAATATATTGGCTGAAACGCATATATTGTTTACTTGTAGTAATTGAATCAAATATGATAAATAATCTTTTTTAGGCATAAAGCAAAATGGAAAAAGAAAATCCCAACAAAAGTAAATAAAACACAAAAATAGGAGGGAAAAACCTTTAAAAAAAAAAAATAAATCATTTCGAAATACATATCCATGTTCGTCAAACTTTTTCCTTAGTTACAAGTGCTTTTCGAGATACTTATTTCAATCTTTTGCTATTATGGTGTCACATTTCTCTTGTAAAACCAAAACACATAGATACTCATGCACTTAAAGTAAATATATTTAACTATTGATATCTAAAATAAAGTATATATTTACCTTGAGACTCTAGAGCATGAGCAATTTCATTTTAGTCTATCTAATTCCTTTATAGCGAAATTGATGCATAACTATTTTCAAGCTCAACTCATTAAAATTTCGTGAATTAAAAACACGTATTAGGTAAAATCTAAGACAAAACCAAAATATATTATATTCCGGACAAGAGGGAGTATTTCACACCTTGTCATTAGTTGTCCCTGCTGTTAGGTTTACCTGGACGGCTAAGATTGAGTAGTAATTTATATGTGAACAAGACGAGTATGAAGTTTGATAGTTCAGACATCATTGTCAAATGTCAGCTATTGTACATATAATTAGTGTGTAAATAGCAAAACATAAAACGAATTGAAAAAAAAAAATATAAAAATAAAAGAAGAAGAAGCATTGACAATGAAACAATGAGAAACTGCAAAATTTTGGTGACAAGTTGGACGGGTGCAAAGGAAAAGTTCACAATCATTTCCATATTAATCAACTGTAGAATCACGTTATTTTGACGACGAATATATCGTTTGATTTTCTTCATCATCATCATTTAATAAATATTGTTTGATTATTTGTAACAAAACCAGTCCATGAAATGACATCAATTTCTTTGGCCCCTTACAGCAAAACTCCTTATAAATATGTGCCCAAAGATTAGTAGATTTACCAAGCAAATTAATCCCTCCAACCAGAACTGGAATATTAATTTGTATACTTAAAACCAACATCATGGCATTCATCTCTTTTCTTAGATCCCCTTTGGTGATGATTCTTCTCTTCGCCATAGTACTCTCGCCAATGTTAACATCTCCATCTGAGGCTGCAAGGTTCCCCGCTCGTGGTAAATATATATTTAATCAAAATCCCTTTTTTGAAATTATCATAACTGCAAGCATCCATAATTAATTACCGTGTGGAAATTTCTTTCATTTTTTTGCTAAGCAATCAAGGCATAAGACACGGTTCATCTTGAGGGGTGGTTAGGAATATAGGATGTGCGATGTTATTATTAGAGGATTGAGACTTCGATTTTTTGCTGAGGCCATCCAATTTCATTTTATATATGTTTTTATTAAAAAAAACACGGTTCATCTCGATCCTATATAATTTATATCTACAAATATTATACTTAGATGTTAATTGTCATTGTGTTTCTCACCGTATGCAGAACTCCTTCAGAACTTCCAGACGTCGCCGCCGATATTCTGTCCGGCATGTGTTTGTTGCGCGCCACCGCCAAGGCCTGGCACTTGTTGCCCCTGCGTGTGTTCACCACCATCTGAAACACAAGGCATCTCACCATGAGATCACCCGCAGAAATTCTTTCAACTCATCTCCAAGGCGCAGTATTGATCATGTTTCCGTATACTCAATTTTATTCCATAATTAATTATTACAATATTGAGTACATCAATAATTTGTGTCACACAATTATAATAAGCGTATGCTAATGTGTTAGCATCCATTATGTGTAGTCAATTTCTGGTTAGATGTTTATGTCGATTAAATATTCCTATATATAAAGTACTCAAATCACAATTTCATTTGTGAAATAATTCCTTAATTAATTGGTATGCCAAGTTACTTTGAACACACATTTTGTAATTTTGTTCCCCATTATGATACGATACAATTAGTATGAAAATATAGGGCATTACAGAAGTTCATATTGCTTTCAAATTATAATTACAGGAGAAATAAATTTGTTTAAGAGATGATAACACTAATCCATTTGAACACACAAATATATATATATGTATCTCTCGCGGAGGGTGTATGATCATGAATTGGAGAATTATATTTGATCATGGGGAATGGCTTTGAGTCTCAGCCTGGATCGGACCGCCGGTGCCGGGTGGACACAGACATGGGCAACAAGACCCTGGTTGTGACGGCGGTGCACAACACACACATGCTGGACAAATCGGAGGACGACCTAAAACTGCGAAAAAAAATATATATGTAAAAATAATACTAATAATAATACCCAATTAACTTGTATGGCAGCAGATCATAGAGAAAAATATGAATGCCTTGGCGCGGATTGTAATTAAAGGAAAAATACCTGGGGTAATTCTTGCTGCTTGACCTGGTGCCATCATCATGGGAGAAAGAACAATGAGGACGAGAACCAATGTAATCACAATAGACCTCACTGAACTGCTCATTGCCATTGTTAATTGATTTGCAAAATTTTTTTCTTTTAATGATACTACTGAATTATTATATTTCAAAGGATGGGGTTTGTCTTGATGAGGCTCACATACATCTAGCCTTGTACCAATTTATAGTGTTTTGCTAGGAGTTTGGTATCTAATTTGACGCCCGCTCACAACACAAAATGAATTATGGAAGGGAGAAAAAAAAAAGTCAATTGTCAACATTTGAAATTGTTTTAACAATAATATATATAGGTGTTGAATTCATAGAATCATTTATGGGGGGTCAAAGAACCCAGCTTCATTTTCATACTCCCTCTGTCCTAAAATTATTGTCCACTTTGAGATTTCAATTTTAATATAATTTGAAATAAAATAAAAACTCAAACTGGACAATAATTATGGGACGGAGGGAGTATTTGTTTTTCCCTTCTATAATGTGGGATAGGTGACAGTATGTAGTAATAATCGATTTAGGTTGTTTTTGAGGCTTTGAATTTCGATATTCAAATTCAATTCACTAAAGTCAAAGTAGGCTCTTGAAAATTTTATACAAAAATTAAAGATTAAAAAACCATATCCAATTGATCCGCAATCATTAGTTGAGATAATAATTTTTAGTGTTTTATATATACGGAAAGAAATCGAAACAAAAGATAAGATTGCAAACGTAGTAGGTTATTAGTTGTCCAATAACTTGTTCAAACTTTTGCTAGTTTTGACTTTTGACTTTTGACAAAAGGGTGCTTGACTAGTAGTTTCGGTGACTAGAGTCAACAACGCACGTGATTCTGTAAACTTGTAAGAGCAATCGGAAGTGAGCTGGTGAAGTTATTTCCGATGAGGTACAAAATGGGTCAGGGAGCTGCAATTTGCAATCTCCACTGGTAAAGTTCCTCCAACGTTGCTGCGTCTCAGGAAGAAAACTCTAAGGTGTTGTGCAGCACAAAGACATTTAACATCAAGAATGTCCCTACTAAAATTGAATTCCAAATCCAGGATTATTTTCTTGATTTTTCCCTACGGTTCAGGCGGCAGGGGTGTGATTTATGCAACTATGGTTGCGAATCAGACATAAATGGTAGTTTTGTGAATTTGAGTTGCATCCTACCCTTTCAGCAAATGTGGGTAAAATGCGGTGTAAATTTTGGACAAATGGCTTTTTGTACCTTGCAACTCTGTCAACCAACTATTCGTGCAGCTAGCCTATTATTCCGCAATCTCAAACTGCAGCATTTTGTTTGTTTACACCATTGCTGCCATGATGACAGGCACTCAGAGTAATATATATGAGTTGGTGGTCACCAGGAATGTATCCTCAGGATCTTCACAAAACTTGTGTAACAACTGTACAAGACTAAGTTATGTATTTACTGATACAGTTACAGGCAAAGAACAAAGGTTAAGAATGCAAAACCCAGGTGGATTGGTGATTAGTTACTTTGATCGTTAAAACAAACAATGTCAGGGAAGGCGCATTCGAATACAGATGTTGCAAAAGTTGTATGATCCACCATATGTATCCGAGATCATCTTTCATCTGCCTCCAAAGCAGGTTTCTTCATGAGCGTAACCCTCCAGAGCTATCCTGTTATCGTCACCTCCAGTAACCTTGAAGATTTGAAGGGCATTTTTCGATGACAGCCATGAAATCCCATGTCTGCACAAATCCAACTTCTTTTTTAAGGCATCTAAGGAAGAAGCAACTTTGTGCTTTTGAGACTTGACAATGAAATTCCAGCCTCAGTATCGTTGCTGGTTTTGTATTGGAATGTCACAATAAATTTAAAATAGGCTAAACTTAATGTACCAAAACATTATACTAGCGCAACCCTATCATACACACGACGTAATAAAGAATACAGACATGAAATAAGCTTAGAGCATTATTCGTCAAATCACATCACTGTTGGGTGTGTAGCTTTGATTCTGATTCCAAATCCTTATTCGTCAAATTCTAGCCGTCAACTCGGTATTTTCTTGAGCTTCTTCAAGATGTTACAGAACTTCTCGGCTCTATCCCAGTCCTCTCTCCCCTCAAAATATTCCAGGAATATCTTTATAGTTTCAGGTTGAGGAAACCATTGATCCTGCTCCCTAGTAACCATTGCTGAACCCATCTCCAGATACTTCAAAGCCGGTTTTATCTGATAGTTCTTCATATAAATGCGGGTTAGTAACTCCATTGTTCTTAAATTTGGATCATACCCTTTTGCCACCATACTTTTATAGAAAGCTTTGGCTTTCTGAATCATGTCCCTGAGAAGGTAAGCTTCCAAGACCACGTTAGTTATTCTGACATCATACTCAAAGAACTGCCCAGATTCCCACGATTTAAACCATGTCTCCAGGTTTTCCAAGCTACTCAACTCAGAAAGAATGCACATCATCAAGAGATAGTCGTCATTATTAGGGATTGGAAAGATTGACTTGAGAGCATTCCATGTACGATAAACTCCTGACACATCTTTCATATCTTTGTACAAGCCAAGTAGGTTGTGGAAATAGTTACGGTCACACGCATTTTCCATCTCCATTTTATGTATAAACTCTGCAGCTTTGCTGTGGATTCCAGCATAAGCATAAATGGCTGCAAGACTCGCATAGATGGTCCATTCACATTTTACATCCTTCTTTTGCATATCTTCAAGAACTTTCTCACATGCACCGAAATCCTTTTGAGCACCATAGCTTAAGATTAACAGATCGTAAGTGGCTATATCTGCATTTAACTTTTTCTGCTCCATTTCTTGCACGAGCAAAGGAATTTGTTCAGGCATAGTACCCAAGAATAAAGAAGCCAAAGAGTTATAGCCCCAAGTGGAAGTATAATCCAGCTCCTTCATCTTCCCAAAAAGTTCCAGAGCCTTATCCAACTTTTTGGCTCTGCAGTAACAGTGAAGAAGCACCCCGTAGGCTTCACGTGTTTTATCAGATTCCTGAAGACCATTGAAATACATTTCTGCCGACTGTGTGCCTCTAGTCCTGGCAAGTAGGTCTATCCATATAACTCTGTCAGCATAAGTCATATGCATTTTGCTGCTTTCCAGCAATTCTGACAGCTACATTAGCAAGACAGCAAGAAATATTTAGAAATACAACAAACTAGACAACAAAGTTTTCCTGCAAGTAACATCCTCAGCGGTTTACATTCTGGGAACAATAAAGATTCGAATTATTCTCAACTCAACTTGAAATTTCAAACTTCTTGACTGCTGATGATTCGAATTATTCTCAACTCAACTTGAAGCAACCAACTTCTGCAATTCTTATGATTCAAAGGAATTTGAGGCAGGAGCTAACAAATTGATCTTCTTGCTCCTGAACATTTGGCTTTAAGTGTATATATTGATATTTCTCATAGAGAAATAGTAACATCAAGGAATGCTATTGAGAAATGCTAATTTAAACCTGTATACAAGCATTCTAAACTGTTGAACTCAAATTGATTTTCGGTATCAATTTTAGGACAACTTACACAAACACGTAGGTTAATACAGCAGAATAATATATATCAACAAACCAACTCAATTGATCTCAGGAGGTTTTATTCTCAAAAATGCTAAGGGAAACGTTCGCGAACCCAATTCCTAGAGATACGTTAGCATCGGGATTGTGATATGGAGACGGGTTTAAGCTATGTACATACTATACGCATGCAGTGGACTGTTATGATGTTCGGAAGGAAAGAATGAAACTGAGCTGTAAGAATAAAGAAGGCAAATATAGAACGAGTGTTCATGCTAAGAGGAGCAAATTCAACACCAATACGCTCTCTTTTGCTCTTCTAATTTACATTCCCTCCCCCGAAAAATTTCTTAGCCTTAAAGCGAAATAAGCTATGGTCGAATTTCAGATCTATTAACAAAGCTCGATTATGTTCTCAGATGCAACAATATCACTTATCACACCAAACTATTTTACCTCATATTGACAACTGATTCTTTCTTATTTCAAAACTCATGACATTGCAGCCGCCTAATTCCCTCACCGACCACAACTGGTTCTTATGAGACCCAACTCTGCCTTTGACGGCTATACAGGTTTCTTGGTGTTTTGTATTCCATCTCAACTCTCTAGTCTTTAGCCTTGCCAAGGTTAACACTTCACCTCCAACTAACTTAACCTCAAAGATCTTTTAATATAGAAACTAAATTATCCTAAACCAACAAATAGTAACTATCAAAAGCCGACTAGGAAATCATTAAGCTAGACCAAATAACAAAGTACTATACAATCAATTACCGAATACTAAAAAAATTTTTTCCCAATTCAAGCTTGATCTATACTTCTAACATAAGCAAGCCAACCAAGAACACACCAGTCCATCAAAATACAGCGTCTTAGTTTACTTGTAAAAAAAACCAAACTTCCATTCTATTACAACCAATGACGAAAAGGAGCATAGTATCTGCATTCCAACAATTTACTACTACCTTGACAATTCACACCTAGAAACCATAAAGACACATTTTTTATGAGGAAACACGATAAAACAAGCCACAGTCACTACAATCAAAACTAATATTCATTGAAAAACCATTGGAACTTTCTTCTCCAGTAAGACCAACACGAACAGAGTTAAGAAGAAGAAAAAATAAATAAATCAATTCAGCAGAGAAAAATTGCCTGTAGGGCAGAAAGGTATTCTTCTTCCAGATTTGGGTGAGGATATCGGACCTTTGAACTGGCTTTCCATGGTTGGTCCATTCACCAATTGATGTCCCTTTTGTTTTTGTGTTATTGTTAGTGTCATAGTCTAACTTGACTTTCACGTCCCACAGGTTGCTAAAAGGATTTTCTGATTTATTATTGGTAACAGCGGCCGCAGCAGCGGCAGAAGATGCCGAAGAGAACCACCGGATTGCCGCCGTTGATCTGAAGATAACAAGACGGACCGCCATTCTCTCGGGGTTCTCAGTTCTCCCAAACGGGCTCGAGGGTTTTACGACTCGTGTGGGAGAGAGAAGTGGAGATGGGATATAATTTATTTCAACCAAACTGGCTGTGGTGGAGTGGAACTCCTTAACTATCGGTCCAGAACTTCCTCAAATATGGGAAAAAGAGAAAAAGATATAATTTATTCCTCCCGTACACTAATAATTTATTTGTAATCCATTTTTTTACCTCTATAAACTAATAATTTATTTATACACTAATAATTTATTTGTAATCCTTTTTCTACCTCTATACACTAATAATTTATTTACAATTTTTTTTTTTGCCACTAAAGACACGTGATAGCTCCTCATATAATATTTTCTCGACTAAAACACAAAATTACTAAATTTGTAAAATTCAGGAAAAGAAAGTCAAAGGAAAAATTCTACTTTATGTACCCTAAGAATTGGTCTCACCAAATTACATACCCTATGTTTTAAGTTTATTGTTTTAGGTGATTTTCAAAGGGCAAAATGGGAAATTATTAAAATTTTGTCCTAAACTACTACGTTTTCTGCGTCGAAACTTTTGGAAAAGAACAAATTGCACCATAAATTCTATTTATTTTACAAAAATTTATCTTTAAGTTAGATTTCAACAAATTACACCGAAATTTTTTGTCAAAAATTTCCCACGACTTCCAGTATTTATCTTTTTTTCAGCATATTTTTTTAAAATTTTATTTTTTGACTTCCAGTATTTGTCAAAAATAATTTATGTCGAAAAGTGTTAATTTTAGTTACTGTAAAATTTTTTTTCAAAAATGATCACTAAACAACAGAAAGTGATCAAAATCGACACTTTTTGTTATTTAGTGATCATTTTTTAACTTTTTTTACAGTGACTAAAATTGACACTTTTCGATCATTTAGTGATATTTTTCGTACTTGATATTTTAATACATATTCCAAAAAACCTTTTCCTAACCACCATACATTGTAGAAAGTGTTTTTTGACTAGAGGCAAATTGAAATAAATGTGCCAAATTTTTGATTTAGTCAATAAACTATTTTTACTTTAAAAAAAGGTCCCTACACTAACAAAATACTACAAGTTTGATTTTAAAATGTAAAACAGAAAGTTGTTTGGATGATATTTTCTTTTCCATTAGATTTTGTGTTTAATAGATAAAATTAGTTAAAATGTAAATTGAGTGAACAAACAAACAAGCACATAATGTCCCCGTTCCACCGATTGAATTCTTGTAAGGGACTTGCCTGGAATGTTTTACATTCCATAATGCAACCATTAGAAGGGATGCAGGGTTTACTCAATTATCGGGTCCCTTAGTCGACGGAAAATTAAAATGAAGAAGAGTGAACTCATGAATCATATATTTCTTATGTCCCAAAAAAGAGCTCACATTGAATTTTGATATTTGTACTGTTTCTAATCATATATTTCTTATGTCTCAAAAAAGAGCTCACATTAAATTTTGATATTTGTACTGTTTCTAAAATAAAAATCAAAATTTAATATAGACTATTTTGTTTTTAAACAGAGAATAGTTAACAGAGAAAGTAGTGCATGTTGTCAAAATGTGATATACAAATTTCGTGAAACCCATTACCAAATCCATTAACAAATGCTTGTCAAAATGTGATATACAAATTTAAGGTCAAGCAGTTTTGTAGGGAACACTGGATTGTGTGGTAAACCATTACCAAATGCTTGTCCTCCATCTCCAGCATAAGCCATATAACCCCCCGCAGATAATAATCATTCATCAAACTTTTCCATCCTATGAGACAATCTCGTGCCTTTATTCCAGATTTCCAGTCATTGAAATTACAAAGTACTCAAGTAAGATTGGACTAGTAGTCTGAATTATTTATCTCTACTAATCTGTGTATATTATTTTCTAGAGGCTACTTCGATTTTAGTAAATTGAATTTAAATATTGGAATTCAAAGTCAAAGGCAATCTAAATCGATTATTACTACATAAGGTCAGCTATTCCACGTTATAGAAGGGAAAAAATATATATATATATATACATATATATATATATATATTACATACGTTTCCGGTATCTAATCGCTATCGTTACACTCGCGGGTGTCGACTGACCGCTGACTAATCTAGACTTGAGGTGGGTAGGTCTCCATCGGGAGGCAACCTCTACCAACCAGCCTTTTAACACGGCTGCGTACGCAAGATCTCGAACCCGAGACCTCTGCTTAAACTGGATCAACACCCTACCAACTGATCCAAGCGTTGGTTGACAGGGAAAAACAAAAATGAAAATGAAGCTGGGTTCTTTGACCCAAATAAGTGATTATGAATTCAACACCTATATAATGTTAAACAATGTCAATATTGACAATTGACAATTTTTTTTTTTTCCTCCCTTCCATAATTCATTGTGTTGTGAGCGGGGCAACTCCGAACTTACACTATAAATAGGTAAGCTTCGCCAAGAGAAAACCCATCCTCTAATGTGAAATATAATTCATTATTATTAAAAAAAAAAAACTCAAATCAACTCACAATGACATTGAGCAGAGAAAAATTAGCGTTTATACCCAAAGTTTTGGGTTCATCGTCAATTCTACTTTATTGATTTCTCATTAGACAATTTTGTCCTTACTGTTTGAAATATTTATCGATTCTACCAAATGGACCCAATTTCCGTTAAACTTGACGGATTTTCGTTAGTTATTAACCGAAAATACCTCGACTGTTTCTGAAAATTATAAAAATAACTCTAAAAAATATAAAAATGATAAAATAGTCCCTTTTTATTCCCCTTTTTTAATTTTATTTTATTTCTATTTATTACTTTTCATAACCATCAAAATATACTATATGATCTCTAAAAAAATAATTATTTATTTTCAAAATCTGTTTTTCATGTGCAACACATGTGATCTTGGTTGAGGAATAATTTTGTCATTTTTAATTTTTTTTTAAATTTTTAATTTTATTTTTGTATTCGTTATTTTTTGAGATTATTTTTCTTATATTTCCTAACTTGTATATTGTTATTAGTATAATTAATAAATTTCAATAATTAATTTATATTTTTATTTCATAGATTATAAAAAAATTAACATAAAAAATGAGGAAGAAAAAAATCAAGTTGAAATAAACATGAAAATTAATAGTTGATCATTCTAAACAAAAATCAAAAAAATCTTTAAAAAAACAAAATCTTCAAAGAGAAGTCTTTCCTCCTTGACTTCCTCTAATTCATACGTGAGTTACGAAACATTAATTATTTAGTTCATTGTAATAAAAATAATATAAAAATTAGATAATCATTTAAAATATGAAAAGATGCTAATTTAATTAGTCCACAACGATTCATTTCTGTAAATTTGGTTAAAACTATTTTTATTCTTTTTTATAATTTTTTTTAGCCAATTGGCGGTTGCTAAGCTACATAAGCAATTATTGAATTTCATGAAAAAGATAAATACGTGTATTTTTTAGAAAAATAATTACTAAATTATACTACATGACTTGTATTGTTTTTATTACAAAGAGTGAAATAATCATTTTAGACTAGATCAAGTAAAATTTATGTTTCGTAACTTAATGATGAAGTTAAGGAGAAAAGACTTGTTTTTTCATTTTTTTAAAGGTTTTTTTTTTTTGTTTTTTTTAAGAATTATAAACTATTAATTTTCATGTTTATTTCAACTTAAGTTCTTCTTCCTCATTTTCTTTATGTTAATGTTTTTATAATCTATGAAAATGATAAATTAATTATTAAAATTTAATAATTATTCTAGTATCAATATATACAAGTCAGGAAATATAAGAAAAAGAATATAAAAAATAGACGAATAAAAAAAATTAAAATTTTAAAAATTTAAAATGACAAACTACCCCTAAACCTAAACAACATGTGTTACACATGAAAAATAAATTTTGAAAATAAATTATTATTTTTATAAAGATCATATAATATATTTTGATGGTTATGAAAAGTAATCCTACCTCCATTTCAAATTACCTATCGTATTAGGGTCCGCATAGGAATTAAGAAAATAATGATTGAAACTTAAATTTAACAATACAATTTCTTTCTTACCCTCATTTAATCATCCAACTACTACACAATTATCTCATCTTCCAATCATTATTTTTTTTTTCTCCCTTCCATAATTCATTTTGTGTTGTGAGCGCGGCGTCAAATTAGATACCAAACTCCTAGCAAAACACTATAAATTGGCACAAGGCTAGATGTATGTGAGCCTCATCAAGACAAACCCCATCCTTTGAAATATAATAATTCAGGAGTATCATTAAAAGAAAAAATTTTTGCAAATCAATTAACAATGGCAATGAGCAGTTCAGTGAGGTCTATTGTGATTACATTGGTTCTCGTCCTCATTGTTCTTTCTCCCATGATGATGGCACCAGGTCAAGCAGCAAGAATTACCCCAGGTATTTTTCCTTTAATTACAATCCGCGCCAAGGCATTCATATTTTTCTCTATGATCTGCTGCCATACAAGTTAATTGGGTATTATTATTAGTATTATTTTTACATATATATTTTTTTTCGCAGTTTTAGGTCGTCCTCCGATTTGTCCAGCATGTGTGTGTTGTGCACCGCCGTCACAACCAGGGTCTTGTTGCCCATGTCTGTGTCCATCCGGCACCGGCGGTCCGATCCAGGCTGAGACTCAAAGCCATTCCCCATGATCAAATATAATTCTCCAATTCATGATCATACACCCTCCGCGAGAGATACATATATATATATTTGTGTGTTCAAATGGATTAGTGTTATCATCTCTTAAACAAATTTATTTCTCCTGTAATTATAATTTGAAAGCAATATGAACTTCTGTAATGCCCAATATTTTCATACTAATTGTATCGTATCATAATGGGGAACAAAATTACAAAATAATAAATGAATAAACAAATATTGCAAAAATATGATTTTTTTTACTCTTTCATCACAAGTGTTTCTACAGTCAAATTGCATTATGAGGACCATATATGGAGCTGTAGTGTAGTGTTTCAAGTTTCAAACCACTGAGACTGTGGTAGAATCTGAGGAATTCCGACATAGCTGCATAACATATTCCTTTTTTTGTCTATATTTTTAGTCTTTTCAATAATGGACATGG